GAGGAGCCAGTTGGTAAAACACAGCGAATCCAGAGACCTTGGCTCCAAAGCGATTTTGTGGGTTTCCTTGGTGGAGGTGTAGTTTACAGAGGCTTTTTCAAATGGCAAGGCACCAGTAATGTTACTGCTTTGCTAAGGAGTGCTTTTGGAACTCCACTGTCTGTACTTCATGCAAATGTGCAGCTGGTCGTATAATACTCATTCTATTCCCTTAACAACTGATCGCCTCTCAAAGCTACCAAAGCAGCCTGGAAACTATTCTCCTAAACAAACATTCAGGTAGTCTTCATAGAGTGCAATTCAAAACCTGTGAAAATGTAGTCATCCTGTCAGCAACAGAATCCATCCCGAAACCTGAGTACTCGGGGTAACTGGACCCTGAGATGGAATAAGTACACAGCCAATCCACTTTACAATATATGATGTGAAGCTCTTTGAGACATCTTGATGACGTGATAAGGCTCTATATCAAATGCAAGAACTATGGTTATTATTATCCATCATCAAAGTTGATGTGCAATTAAGCCATGCCCTCGGCAGTTTGTTTGAGACAGTTCCTCTCCCTTTCTATACCTTTTCAACGGAACAAATAAGACTGATTGGAAATCAGGGAAATAGGCACTGGTCATGGTGCATTGCTGACAGAGAAGTTGAAAGAGAATGGGTGAGCATAAGTATAGACAGTGATTCAGCTCCATGTGTTCTTTGGTTGGGCTACATTGTGAGTTGTTTTGGATTAGTGGTGAAGCATGGCAAGATCATTTTTTTTAAAAAGAGGGTTAGCATCACTTGGAGTAGAATCATAGAAATTTACAGCATAGGAAACCAATGAACCCATCAAGTCTGCACCGGCTCTCAGAGCAAGCCATTCATTCAATCCCACTGCTCCACATAGACCCATAATCTTTCAAGCCTTCACCTTTCATACTAACCACTTTTAATTTGATATAGATATCCACACAATACCTTGGTATTGTTGATTACTCCTTGGGGGTATCCTGCAAAATACCCTCAAAGTTTGCAGATGATGATGACAGTAGATATTGCAGATATTGAGAAATCATGCATCCAGATGTAAAAGCTTTTGGATCATTTAGATAACTGGGCCAATAGACACATCTATTGTGAATAAATTCTAAAATAAATATTCAAAAGAGCATTGAATTGAACCACCATATTTAGTGTAGTGTGATCATGAAATAGATCTAAAGAGTTATTTAGGTTAATCCCTAAACAGGGGCTCAGCGTTTGGAGAGCAATGAGATGCAGTATATCCCCCAATGATACCGGGAACGGTATCGGTACTGACTGGAGTAGCAAATCAGGTGCCAGAAGTACTGACATATTAAAAAGTAGGACAAGTCACTGCATTTTTCCTCTCTCAATACCTTTAATATCAGCTGGAGGTTCCATAGATAGATAGAGAAGGGCAAATAAAAGACATATGGTTTGCTATAGGATGAGATCAGTTTCCTTTAGTGTGTCAATGTGCATCTTACACATAGAATATTTTCAAAAAATCACAATCTTTACACTCTACTCAATTGTGCATTGCAGGTCATGATGGATTAGTAATATTTTGAGAAGTCAGCCAGGTGTTTGGCACACTCGGAAACCCATTATCGTGCTTAGAGTGCCCAAGTGAAACAGAATTTCACATATACATGACACCTATGTATGGAAATTTTCCTTTGTCTGATAAGGTGCAAAGACCCACAAAGAACCAATTCTTCAAGCCTAAAACAAAAGTTTCTTGATCCTCACATCCAGTAGGTGGAATACATTTTAGAGCTTGTTACAAGTATACAAAATCCTCTTTACCTAGCTTTTGGATAAGTTACAATAAATACTAAATGTGAAGATGGAAGTTCAGTTTAACATCCAACAATAAATTCAGGAAAGCTTTACAAACATTACCAAGCCACTTTGCAATTACGAAATAAAAGGCAATATTTTGTGCAAAGCAAAACTGTTCATTGCATTTTAATTAGCTTGTCACAATACCCTTAAGGTCAGTTCATACTTTTACACTCAAGTGTTCCTAAGCAACAAGATAAGACCCAAGACTTGCTCCACTTACTTTTACAATGGACTGTGGAGATTTTCCATGAACCAACAAAATAAAACCTATTGGCTTGTTGCTATAAATTAGAAATAAGACAATGAATAAAATCAAACCCAAACTTTCTATGGCGGGGGGAAGGGGGGAGAAGTTTAGTTAAGAAATAGTTTGCTTACAAAACAAATGTTTTCTCTAAACATTTCTATAATTACTGGAAAGATCCCTGTGGTATAGTTGGCTCTAAACCAGCCGGCATAAATTGGACTGCTTTATTAAGTTAACCCAGATGCAAAACAAAATGTGAAGTCTGGTAGCGTATGTGGATTAGTGGATAGGAGGCAAGAGGACCTGGGTTTGATTCCTGAGCAGGGCAAAACCTTCGGCAAATTTCCTTACTCCACACACTTCTATTTACCTAGCAGTAAGTAGGAACCCGGTTGTTTGTTGATTGGCGGATTGATTTTCCGGGCATAATAATCCATTCAAATTTTTCAAAAAATGTCACTCAATCCACGACGGTTTGTGACACTGCTGTGCACAATTGGCATTCCAATAAGTGGAATTCAGCTTCATTTAGTGTATTAACACAGCTCTTCAAAGCAGCTTAATCCCAGTGGTGGAACATACTCACTCCCTTATTACAACATGAAGGGTTAGGACATCACGATTCAGTACTTCAGCCTGCAGAGAGGAGGATTTTTTTTGGTTAGCCGAGTGACACAGGCGGAAACCCATCACCGTGCTTAAGAGTATCCAAACCAATGCATGGAAATTCCAGAAACGTGCATCCCACCTACACACGGAAATCCCAGAGATAGATTGTTGGGATGGAATGCGCACTCTCCCTCTGGAGGGCACACGGAAAATCTAAATGCCAAATACAAGGTTTTGAAAAATGGGGAATATTCTTTTGTAAAAGATAACTGAAAAAGACCTTCATAGAGCTAATCAACGAGTATTTTTTGGCGGCCTTTTTCATCCCATACCCTCTTCTGCAGACAAACCAGAGACCTCCATTTTCAGCAGCTGGTTCCACTTTTCCTCTGTGAATATGCCTTACCTCTATTTGTAGTTAGATAATAATATAGCCCTAGGTGGAGTGTTCACCATTGTTTTAGTAACTTGAAATACAAGCATGGAGCTATTTCCCATCACTGCATTTTCCCTTGACCCTCTCATAATTATCTTGTATCTTGTCTGGCACATCATCTTATTTGACAAACCATTTGTATTTCTGATGAAATTTTTTTAAAAAATCTCTAATGGGAAAGTTCTTTATAAATGGTTCTTTCTTGCATAATCTACCCTGCAAAATTAGATTTCGATAAAATTAAACAAGGCATGGACTTTAAATGCATTCAAATAAGATATTGTGCACAAAAAAGCAGCTTCTCTCCGCTTCTTTTAGAATAGGAATAAAAATGTCACACATTTATGGGTACCATGTTTTAATAAGTCCATTTATTTTTCAAAGTGCAAATTAAGTCATTTAGAGTTAAAATGCAACATTTGTTAAAATGAGTACTATGAGGATTAATACAATACAAAGGCTCCAGCCACATGTCTGTCATAGCCATTGTATAAACAGTCAAATCAAGAGTCAGTCTGCGGGAATTAGAAGCAGCCTCATTGTATTTTGTTACTATTGTCAGTCTGGTTATATATAAATATGTATATATGTATATATATATTGTATATATACATATATAATATATAAATATAAAAACTCACAGTAACATGGGATACATCAACATTATGAGTCAGTGAAAGTTGTCACATCTTTCATTAAACCAGCCACTGCAATGGTAAGAATTTACACTAATGAACCCTTTTAAGTTTGTTAGATACTGTCATAGGCAATATTTAAAATCACATTGCCCCAAGAATGACAAACACAAGGTTATACACTGTTATATTTGAAATGATAATTATTTTCTGACACTAAAGTTCTGCAGTATGTTAGCAACAACACACTTAAAATGAACTCTGTGGCCCTGCCAGTTTGTTCAAGGTTCTCATCAACAAGTGCAGTCGAGCAAGTCTGTCCCAGGATTAGATATGTGGAAGAAATGAGAAAAGGTGCTTGCACACTTTTACCTGAATAAAACAAGCGAATGCCCAACATGAACAGGGCCAGAAACTCTACAAAAACAAAATTATTGCTTCAAAGCATTATCATGGTTGATTTTGTCTCAACAAAAAAATGAATACAATGTAGTCAAAATGATTTAACTTAATAAGTGCATGATTGAGCTGGCTTTCTGGCTACTCTAAGAATAATTAATTTCAGTTTTTGTAATAGCGGGGAATATTAATACATGTAGCTATGAGCCTATTAAACTAGAACATTACGCCTATAAAAGCAGTCCAAGTTTGGTTTAATACCCTATTAGACCAAATTTAACATTTTTGTATGTCTAATTGCAATAATCCATTATGGCAGTCCAATATGGGGCATCCATTCTCATAATCAAATTATAATCAAACAGCTTTGCCCACATAAGTGGCAAAGAATAAACATTGAGGTTTTATTCAGGTTACGTTGATAATTGAAAACACTGACTAATTTGAACTTGACTCTTTGCAATGTGCTGACTAATGTCATGTTTAACCTCAAACCAAATCCATATTTACTAAATTCATCTTCCACTAAATACATCACTAATGAAATTGATTCTGTTTGCCCTTCTCAAATATGATCTGAATACCAGATCATGATATGTCGACTTCATACCTAATAAATATATTCTTTTCTTTGTATAGTACAGACACACTATGTCATTAAGAATCAAATGCTTCTTTGATGGAAACTGAACTCAAAAGCTGCTTTACGAGTTTGTGCTAAATCAAAATAAATATTCACACCTGAGCAACAGCCACACTCACTTGAACTGTACTCTGACTCCATCCACAGCCAAGGACTGACAGACAGAAGACATTCAACATAGTGGTTTTCTTCATTGCAAATTATGGGATAAATTCATGCATCACAGGTTTTACAATTGTACATACTTTACATGATATATAAATCTTCAGTTAAAAGACAGTTTTACTGATATTACCACATCTTACATCCTGAGAAGATTAACATTTGTGATTATATGCACTAAATTTTACATAAAACCACGTTACAACATGTAACTGAAGAGCCCGAAAATTCTGAAGGAAATTTCAACATGCTAGGAGTGACTTAGAGCACGAAGATTGCAGTAAAACAACCATCAATGTGTCACTGAGTAATGCCATTTTGTTTAATGAATAAGTCTTCTCCACATGTCAAGTGCAGACACTGCATTCACAACTCTGCAACCTGATGGAAGCTTCGCAAACAAGTCAAGAGTTGATGATATGGACTTCCGGGGGTTGCCACCACCTCAAAGACTGACTGGAAGGCCCGGCGATCCAGCTCCTCTTCAATCTGTTTCCTGTAAAAATCCATGGCTAATAGGCAGAACAAGTTTACATCAATCTGGTCCGATTTACCCATTCGGCTGACAATATGGGGAAGGCTGAGAGAACAGTTAAGAGATAATAACTTTACTGCAAATGTTAATAATGACATTAGAGTCAAGTTTACAATACACTTTTTGATTTGCCTAATAATTTTGATCAAGTCTCTTTCAATACCCATTTCCAGCAACATATTTTCCAATTGAAATTCCAAAGAAAACAAGCTGTCTGGTTAAAAGACAATTAGTTCCCTTCTCATATTGATTCTTTCAATAATTACTCATAGCTCAAGCAGAAAGCACGACACTACAGGAGGCTACTTATTATTTCTCAGATTGTTTGCAGACTTCTTATTTTTTCATTACTTTCAAAATCTTTGATCAAGTGGAACAAAGCAAATGACATCCACTACGCTGGATCAACTGAGTTCCTTCCTTCAGCTTTGCCACTAACAAGAGGTGTCAAGCTGAGTTAACACTTCACACTGGTACTTAGTTTCATTATGAAGGGGAATCTTTCTGGTTTCCTTTTTACATAACTGGATTCAGAACAGGATGCTCACCCTCTTTTGAATGGTTACGTGGAGTTGCAAGAGAGAGTCAAAGCAAAATACAATAAAGTGCTTCATCCTTTTAACAAGCAATTTCAAAGCACATCAAATTCATAAATGTTCCACAACTCAGTAGTAATGGCATTTGTGGTTGGAAAACCTGCTTTCAGATTAGTCTCTACTGCACCAGTTTGTGCCATAATTCCTACTAGGTCAAACGTAAAGCTGGGTAAATCTGCAGAATTAATATTGGCCATTTTAATAACTCAACTCTCAATGTATTTTACTGAATGAAGTTAAATTCCTAGATAAGGATGTCTTGGGGCTTATATGCTTACAGACTGCTTCAGCTTGTTTAAAATGTGTTGCGTCTTATAGTTCTCATCTTCCGCGCCTTTACTAGTTAAAATTAAACAATCAAGGATACAGGGCTGAGATCCATGTGCTGGTAGAAGCACTGACAAAGAAACAGGAGAGGCTCCACATTGCCATCGCTACCGGCGTTCTCTGAGTGAAATTTGAGAGTGACAACATTACCCAGTCCCTCACCATGGAAGATTGTCCAGTATTGTGAAGTGTTTGAAACACCTGCAAAAAGAACACAAAAAGAAGTTTTCAATGCAGAATAACAACTCAATCCTGCTTGTAGGACACTGCGGTGTACAGTTGGTTTCTGCGTTTCACCCACAAAATGTACAGTAAATCCTCTCTACAGTATGTTCTGTGAAGGTCATTGAAACGTCAATGATGTGGTAAGGCGCTGCATCAAATGCAAGAATTATTATTATATTCAAACAGAGTGAGAAAGGATGTTCAACAACTGGTTGAAGTGCAGCACTGCATGTTATAGGATTTCACGTGCAACACAAAACCTTACAATCCTCAGAATTGTGGCAATTCTAAATGAAGCTTTTTATAACAGTATGAAAACCCACTCTTAACTCTCACTGTAGTTTAAAAACACCCAAACCTTTCTCCAAAGATTCCTTGCGCAAAGTACAATTAATAATATTATCCTGCAGCAGAAGCCTTGCCAATTCGATAAGAAACGAATGGGAATAAAAAAAATACCTTGTAAACAACGGCAGCCATCAACTGTGGGTAAGGTTGCTGGCTGGAAATAAATTCACCAATAACCTTGTTCATCACATCCTGGGGTGGGAAGAAGTCATCAAGGAACTGTGGGAGGATCCGTGCCACAACTCGTGCCTCACAAGGAAACCCTTTCCTAATTCTACCAACCAGAAACAGATTGAATTTTTCAAGTTGCTAAACTCAGAACAAATATACACTTAATTTTCTGGCTGCTAAATTGGATTTTTTTGAGGGGTTAGCCGACAAATGAGGCAATCCATCAGCAAGCATTATAGTATCCAAACTAGAGAGTTCCACACATGTGTGCCATCTATATATGGAGATTTCCCTGGCTGGAATGGAATGTGCACTGCTGGAATTTAACCAGCTAACACTGCAAAGTTTGGATTGCTTTCAATATGTTTTGGAAACAAACCAGAATTTTGCAACCACCAAAGAAGCATGTTTGTTGCCTTACCAGTTTACCAATACAAAGTAAGTTTCACAGTACTGTCCAGCCATCCTACCTGTTTGAGCATTGACTTCCAAAGTTGAGAACATTTCTATCCTCAAACCTAATGATCTAGAAACGCTGGACAACCAAAACAGTGGTTTGCCTGGGTTTGTCTTCTCAAAGCCAGTACATCCTTCACAGTCACTCCCAATTGCCTCTTCTTCCTCCCCAAGGATTTTTTAAGTAAAATATAAAATAAAATATATTATTTATGTCAACCTAAAAAAAGGATAAGGATTGGGTGGATCTACTTGATTTTTGAACAAGAAACATCTGGTCTTATGATGACCTAGTGATGATTCTTATTTTATCGCATAAGCAATATTTGCATTTAACGTTGGACTACAATTCCTTAAGTTGCAGTTGGTCCTATGAAATCTCAATGTCAAGAAACGTGTGCACTTGCATTTGCACAAACGGCAAGCCATAAGATTACAGCCACCGCAATTAAGCCCAGCTCTATCCTAACTCACCCCACGCATGCACATGTATACCTGCCATTTGTGTGGTTACTAAAAAGGGTAGCCAAGGTTCATTTAACAAGAGGGATTGGCCTGGCATTCTGGATTTACGAGATCTAATAGGTGGTTCCTTCACCCAAACGAAACTCCTCTTCTGAAGTACATCACTTGTGACCAAGAATATGACCACACAAACCCATTATTGTACAATTTCTGTAAAAGCTACATTCCTCTGAAAAGCACCCACCTGTCAAACAGGACTGATACCCGTTCCATAGCCACGATGACAGATTCACTGTCGGGAGCTGTGGAGTCGGTTTCTGTAATCCGTCCAGGGCTGCCCTTCTCTTTGCCTGTTTACACCATAAAAAGATTCAAATTTGGAAAACTCCTGTAACACATCATTTTTTTCTAACAACCCTGCAAGCATTGCTGCACCAAAGAAAAATATTTTATATGGTTTCATACATTTCAATGGTCTTGTTTCAGATGGTATAAAAAAATCTGAAAAGTATTGCTTAAATTTTTTTTTCTGGTCAGCCGGGTGTCTGATAAACATAATCACCATTGCTATGCTTAAGAGTATCCAAACGAGGTAGAGGTCCATCATTGTATGGAGAGCACACACTGTTCCCAGTATAAGCACCCTGCTAACCTAATCCCAGAAAGTATTAGGCACACGTTGCCAAGAACCAACTCTAAAGTGGACATAAAAGCATCGATAGGAGGATTGATCATTTCAAAAGGCTTCCAAAATGACATGACAAGAAGTGAGTGACAAAAATTCAAAGTTTCAAGTCCAAGGCAATGAGTTAAACCTGATAATCAAGTTTACTGAAGCTTCATCAAATATTACATATCACATTCATCTTGGAAAATAAAAACCTAAATGGGGTAGAGGAGCTAAGGGATCAATGGATACACATACACAATTCACTAAAAGTAGCAACACAGGTTAATAAGGCCATAAAAAAAATGCAAACCAGGCATTGGGGTTCATTTCTAGAGGGATAGAAATGAAAAGCAGGGAAATTATGGTAAACTGCTATAGAAATTTGGTTAGACCACACTTAGAATACTGTGTGCAATTCTGGTCCCCACATTATAGAAGGGATGTAGAGGCACTGGAGAGGATGCAAAGGAGATTCACAAGGATGATCCCAGAACTGAGAGGTTATACCTGTCAGGAAAGGCTGAACATACTTGGACTCTTTTCTCTTGAAAAGAGGAGGGTAAGGGGTGACCTGATAGAGGTCTTTCAAATGCTGAAAGGTTTTGATAGGGTAGACATCGGGAAGATGTTTCCACTTGTGGGGGAGACCAAAACCAGGGGCCATCAATATAATAGTTCAAATAGAGAAGTTAGAAGAAATTTCTTCACAGAGAGTAGTGGGAATGTGGAACATGGTGGAACAAGGAGCTGTTGACGCAAATAGCATAGATGTATTTAAGGGAAAGCTAGATATATATTATAATATATATATTTTATATTACACATGAAGGAGAAAGGAATAGAAGGTTATGCTTGAAGTTTAGTTGAAGGACAGGAGGAGGCTCATGTGGAGCATAAACACCGACACAGACCAGTTGGGACGAATGACCTGTTTCTGTGCTGTATATTCTAATGTTTTCTAATGTATTAACAAGTGTGGTGTATCATAGGTCGCAATTCAATACCTGTATACATGCAGGTTAGCATCAATCCCAATGCAGCCATTGCTCTGTGAGGACTGTGCATATTCAGTCTATCTACACTGAGTTTTACCAGCGCCTCTCCATCCAAACGCGAAAGTTGTTCTGACAGCAGAAGACGTTCCATCCCACGCAGCACACAATGATAGATTATAGAAGGAGTAGATTCTTCACTCCCAGAGATCATTACACCACACATCTGAAAACAATTAATTAAAGAAGTTACACTTAAATCTACAACCCATGGCCCCACCAAACATTCGGACTAGCCTAGGTAAGTCCGTGTTCAATTGGTAGTGTGTTTCCAGGTTTTTCTTGCTTGAATACTTTTTGACTTGTGGCATAATTCAAAAAATATTCAATCACAAATATTTATTTTGCTGGCCGACCAAAAGGCTTACACAAATGCTACCTATTTAGAGATTGACTATTATGTCCTTTGTGGGTGATTGGACACATTGCCCCTCTGCTTACTGCCATTTGTTCAGAACAAATATCTCCAAACAAACTCACTATAGTCCAATTTTCTAAATCACCATATAAACCCACAAGCTTTCAATTGAGTGTCTGTCTGGATACAAACCACTGTATTAACAAGAGACTTGAAAAACAACTATTTGTGGCCAAAATAACTAATATAGCTCTGTTACCATTTACAGGAGTAACAATATGGATAGATATTACACAATGTAACCTTTCAGATACTGTACCGTCTGCTTTATACCTATCTAATACAATGCACCACACACTAAGCAATACCTGAATGATGCCTGCAGTGAATTCAGGTCCCACGTCGAGTGGGTAGTTTTCTATCAGGTAAAAGGCTGTTGCACACATCACTAATACATGCTGTTGATTGTGGATGTTAACACAACTATATAAAGAACAAAACAAAATATTAGCAATGCTGTTTAAACTTTGCTCGGTTTATATCAGAATACAGACAATTTTAATAAGATGCATCTTAGTTGAGGATATATTAATATAGCTAGGTTTATTCTGCTACCCTTGGGGTAGGGGGGGGAGGGGAGGAGGAGGTTTAGGGACTATTTGCGAAAAATCTCTCTCTCTAGAAAATGCAATGGGTGTAGAACCCATGATAGGATAGTTTCTACTTGGTTTATCAATGGAGCAAACTACACCTTGACAAAGTCAATAAGGAAGCAGCTGTTCGGAAGGAACTGACTTTTCATGCTCTAAAAGAAATAAGAGAATGGAAACCAATTATCTTACATAAAGCTAGGTTTAAAACACTTAGCCTAAAAAAATTCAGGCAGAAACATTAATTTTTTTCCTTTACTTCCCATTATCTACTTGCATTAAATGGAATGTTTAGAACCAGGTAATATTCTCATTCCCACTCAGCACTTTGGAGGCAATATAGTTCATTAGTAAGTCACGATAAACATAAAATTCTTCCATACTGTGCTATTCCACGCAGGTTGGACAGCAGGTAATCACTGATGATTGGAATGAGCTGTTTTGCTGTATCATCCAATAGATCACATTCCAGAATGTAAAGAATTCCATGCAGTGCTCCTATCCGAGAAGGCATATGAGTACTTCGCAATGTGGTCTCCAACAGACGACTTATAGGCTCTGCAATAGCCTTATCCTATAGAACATACATAAAACAGGAAAAGTGAACGATAAAGAGTTAAAGCTTTTAACAAGCCAAACAAAAAAATAATTTTACATGTAACCTCCATTGTCTCCCCCCACCCTAACTCTGGAACCTCCTTCACCCGTACCAACCCGGCCGTTCCCTTTGCTTGGCTGACAGTGGCTTACTCCACATCTCCTGTTCTATTCGCCTCATCAGCCTCCTGGCCCCGCTCTCTGGAACTCCATTCCCAGGTCCTTCCTCCCTTTTTCAAGGTCAGTCTCAAAACAAACCTCTTTTTGACCGCACTTTGAACCTCAGCTCCGGTGCCCACCAAGCATTGTCAAGCACCTTGGGACATCCTCCCGACGTGAAAGGCACTTTATAAGTGTAAATTTCATTGTAAACTGCAACTATTCAAAATCTTAATGAAGAAAACCAGACCATTGCTAAAACAATAAACAAGTAATGATTATGCTGTAGACTTTTCTCGCCCTTGACAATCTATACTAAGACCTACTCCCACATTTAGATAAAAGAGAACTTTTAAAGTTGTTATTTTAACACCTCATTTATGTTACAGAGATTCTTTAAACAGGTGTTGCTGTAATTTTCTAATTTTAGCAGTGATGTGGAGTTCACGCTGACTTCTCAATAAAACCAATGTATAGTTGTATAAAGACAGTGAAAAATCACAAACCCTGATTAACAGGAGAAATTCAAACTCAGTTTACCTTCAGGTTGCCAGGAACAAAATTGGGAACTTCGAGAATCCATTATTTTGTGATACGAGTAACGTTGTGAGATTTTGCAGGCTATACGTTTGTGATAGAGTGAAGAGATACCATTTCCCCACTTACCATGCCCAGAACGGCTGCTGCCTTACAGACTGCAGGCACTAAATACTGATTAAGAATTTCATCCTCTGCCGGATGCAGTTTCTGCAGTTCTGTCAGAGTGCTGTACATCATTTCAAACTGGTTTCTTTCAGTAAACAAATCCGAAACTGCCAGAAGCTGCAAAGGAAATACACATTTAAATTTGGACATGGGATTACACATGGGATTCAATTACAGTACTTCTGACTTTCCTACATTAATTTTGCATATATTGCTTTGAGAGATTACATACCTGCATTTTTTCCCAGAAAATGAACGAATAAAAGATTATTTCCAGATCAAATGCAACACTTACCGATCTTACCACCTCGCTGATCAGGACAACAGGGGTTTTCTTGCCAGTGTTAGTGGGAAGTATCCACTGAGAGTAGAGTTCCAGTAAGAACTGGGAACAGGAATGAATGTCAACCCCAGCCCGATGCTTCCTGCAGTAAAGTTAGGAAAGTGTTAAAAGATGGTGAAACAGACTAAAATCAAATTTGTACCAAACAAGCCTTCCAACTCATGATGCTCAATGCATTGCTCAGCTGGATAATCACCTGCAAACCATCCCTGGCTCCAGTCAGGTCTCCACTTGACCTAGAGCTAGAGAAATTCACCACCGAGGTGAGTGCATTAATGACCTGAGTTTTGAGGAGAAGTAGACAATGGAGGAACATTGTTGAAGATTCAGTTCAGATCTCCCTCCGGCAGGTGAGATATTTATTTCAGTCATTTTGTTTTCGGACTTTGGCTTCACAGATTTTCTCTGTAAGAGGACCAACATGAGACCTTCTTACAGGTGTCTGTTGGTCTGTAACTAGTTGGGAGAAACGCAAGTGGTGCAAGGTTACCCATGCTACATGCTTTCTCCACAAGGAGTCCAGGAGGCCTTCAAGTTTTCTAAATGATGACACAAATGTATAGAAATTGCATATTAACAACACCACAACAGACCTTGAATTAATTGGCGAAGTTGGAGGAGAGGATGGAACAGGCACATCAGTTTCATCTTCCTCATCTTCATCCCACTCTTCTTCTCTCAATGGGGTGATGTTGTTTCCCAGCCAGATAGAATGAATGGATACCTGCACAGCAAGAAAGTAAACTATTGAAAGTAAAGAAGAAATGCCTCAAATGCTCATAACTGTCAAACAGCAGAGCTAGAATAGCAGATTCTAGCATTGATTTATTGTTAAGATAATAGTTCCTAAACTGCTCAAAGCTCTTCAAAATGTATTAAGTACAATTCAAACTGATTATATTTAAAAATGGATGAAATGAAAACTGCACATGCTTAACCAATTAACTTTAAAAACAACAAATTGCATTTATATATCATCTTTCACGTCAGGAGGATGTCCCAAGGTGTGGAACAGTCAAGGGTTTGCACCCGAGCTGCAGATTGGAGTCAAGAGAGGTGGAGGGCAAGTGGGGTGGTGGTGGGAAGATAACTGAAGGTCCCACTCTCTGGAACTCCATCCCTGGAGTGTCATCGCCTCATCCCTTCTCTCGCTTCCTTCAAGGTCCACCTCAAGACCTTCCTCGTTGACTGCCCTTCAGTCATCTTCCCACTTTGGCCCACACCCCAAATGCAAACCCTCGACTGTCGAGTGCCTTGGGACATCCTCCTGACTTGAAAAGCGCTATATAAATGCAATTTGTTGTTGAATATTAAAGGAGGGCAAATAGCTGCTGATTCTCACACATTCAAACAAACAAATACTCCATACCTGTCCCAGTTTATAATTCATGTTCCCCATTTCCCGCTCGGTATTTATCTGTAGTAAAAGCTTTTCATGGCTTATCAGGGCACCTAGATTTAAGAAAAATGCAATAAATTGTTAAAAGATTTAGTAAAAGATACATGGTTAATATCAATTAGTTTATGCAGGTAAGCACAACTGGCAGATCAGGGCTTTGTATCTTTTAGTTTCAAACTTTTGAAACCAATTGAAGGTGATAAAATGTACAAATGAGTTCAAGAAACTATTCGATGCATTTCTGGCAAGAGAAAGGCATAAGGAATATCGAGATGGTTGCTAACTATCAGAACAGGTACAGGGCTTGTTGGCTCTTTTTCTGTTTTAAAAGTATTGTCAAGAATAATTTCTAAATATATTGTGACTGGGAGCAGTGCTAGATTTTGTGTAAGGAACTCAATTGACTCTAGTCTGACATCATTGCAATACAGAGCAGCTACGGACATCCACCAAAGGTTCAGCCTCTCATTTATCCTGCCAGCCCCGAGCAAAGTGTAATTGTACACTCCTAGTTTAACAGCCACGTCCATTTTCCAATTTACAACAGTAACAACTATCATTCTTGTTACAAACGCAGAACAAGAAGCATACATTATAGGCAATATTTGGGGGGTTTTCCCTGTATTTCACAAATCATTAAGCAATTGAATACAAGAAATGGATTGAATATGCTCTGAGGAAAAATGGAAAAAATAGTTTTAAAGAGCCCAAATTTACAAAGACCATCACAGAAAAGTTATGCAACTTCAACAGAGGTTCACGAAAAGTTCAAACAGGAAGCATGAAATCCCAAACAGAATGTTGCAGTGCAACATACCAGTTGTCGAAGCAGATAGAGATGGCACAGGGTCCCATGCTTGGTACGGATAGTGGGATGCTATGTTGTCCCTCTTTGATACCATTGCTTGGATTTCCTGTTCCACAATTCCCCGGATAAGAGTCAATTTTCTTCCAAACCTGCAAACAAAGTTGCCAAATGATCAGCTCAACAACTTCCATATATAAAGGCCTCCCCGCATGATAGTTTCTCGGAGCGCTGACCCTCCTCATCAACATCACCTTCGGTCACCCTCCTACCCTACCCTCCCTGACCTCCACCCTGTGATCCCAATCCCCAGCTCGGGTCCAAATCCCTAATTGTCCAGCGCCCTGGGACATTCTCCTGACGTGAAAGGCGCTACACAAATGTAATTTGTTGTTGTAGTCATGTTCATCAACTATCAACTAAAATCTGTAAATGGAACATTTTAAAATTATTTTTTTGCAGAAGAATTTTTAATCGGATAGGTTCTAAGAATTAAAGCTTCAGTGCCTCTTAACTTTGATGGACTGGAATAACTCTCAAAGGACCTGGAAGAGAAACTTTCAAGAGTGCAGTACAGTGGTTAATGATGCATTAATATGCAACATCAGAGCATGAGACATTTACCCTGATTTCGAATTTCCTTTTGGTTCCCAATCTCAGCTGCAATACACATGGAGAATAAATCAGTGCTCAGATTGCTGGCCAGAGTGTCATTGGTGTGGGATTAGAAACAAGCCATCTTCATCCCCTCCCTTTAAGAAGAAACACATTTGGCCTTGAAAACAGCAAACTAAAGGGACCAATGGGGGAGGGAAGTCAAAATTCCATTCATGCACGGATAATGGAATGAAAACCTCAGAGAGACATTCTTGTCCATACCAGATAACAAAACGGTTGTGTGAGTTCCTTTATACGTGAAAATTTATTACAGCTGGATAAGCAAATATTGTAAAACTGACCTTGTATCGAGAGACTTCAAAGTTTTATTACGAGGCTGGTGTTCAAGGCAGCTAGTGGCTGGATTCCCTGCTGCTGGAATTGCCATGGCACTTAGCACCAAGGATGTTATTGCTTGCACCGCAAGAATATTAATCTGGGTCCTCTCAGTGTCCTCCTAAAAACATGAACAGGATACTATATCATCATAAAACAAAAGCAACCTCAAAATAATAAGCATGACACAATATGAAACTATTTATAAAATCAACTGAAGGTGAAACAGTCCAAATATCAAACTACCAATGAAGTTAAGGTCACGACAGACAAAACACTATCTGATAGCAAGATTCCATTCAACAGCATTCTTTTGCAATTCTTAAAGTAGGTCCTTGGATTTGAACCCATTAGCTGCTATAGGGGAGTGCCAGGAATGCTATCATCACTGTTGTCTGTATGCAAAATTGGTCATTCACTTCATAGCTCTTTGTGGGATATTGCTGTTTGTGGGATATTGCTCTGTGCAAGCTGGCTAAAATGTTCGACTCCAAATAAAATCCCTATACTTCATAGTAATACTGAAAAGCACTCTGAGACTTCCTCAAAACATGAAAAGAGCTCTATCAAATGCAAGGATTATTATTAGACACTGACTAATTTCCCCCAAATTTAAACGGCCAAGTATCCTACTCCTATTCTGTAATTCCAATGTTAAAGTATTTTAAATGAACAACCTGCTCACATCATAGAATATTACAGAAGGAGGCCATTCGACGCATCGTGCCTTCGTCGGCTCTTTGGAAGAGATACCCAATCAGTCCCACTCCCCCGTTCTTTCCCCATATCCTTGCAAATTTTTACTTTTCAAATACCTATCCAATTCCCTTTTGAAAGTTGTTATTCAATCTGTTTCCACCACCCTTTTAGGCAGTACATTCCAGACCTATGTAAAAAAAATTCTCCTCATCTACCCTCTGGTTTTGTCAATTATCTTAAATCTATGTCCCGTGGTTAATGATCTACCTGCCAGTGGAAAAAGCTTCTCCCTATCTACTCTTATCAAAACTCATAATTTTGAACACCTCTATTAAATCTCCCATTAACATTCTCTTCTCTAAGGAGAACAATCCCAGCTTCTCTAGTCTCTCCAAGTAACTAAAGTCCCTCATCCCTGGTATCATCCTGGTAAATCTCATCTGCACTCTCTCCGAGGCCTTGATATTCTTCCCAAAGTGTGATACCCAGAATTGGACACAATACTCCAGCTGAGGCCTAACTAGTGACTTACAAAGGTTTACCAGAACTTCCTTCCTTTTGTACTCTGTGCCTCTATTTATAATACTCTATTTATGTGGAGTCCTGTAGCTCAGTGGTAAGAGCACTCACCTTGCAAGCGAGACACCTGGGTTCAATTGCAGGCAAGTTTCCTTACTCCACGCCTAATAATAATCTCTCCAAAAAACAATAATAAATTGGTCATTTTCAATCCACGACTGTTTATGGGACACTGCTGTGCGCACTTGGCTGCCGCGTTTCGCCCACAAATATACAGTCAATTCACTTTACAGTCTATTCTGTGAAACGCTTTGAGACGTCGAGAAGATGTGAAAAGCGCTATATCAAATGCAAGGATTATTATTATAAAGCCAAGGATCCCTTATGCGTTTTAACAAGTCTATCAACCTGTCCTACAACCTTCAAAGATCTGTGTATGTGAACACCCAGGTCTCTCTGCTCCTGTACCTTCTTTAAAACTACCAGTTATTGTATATTGCCTTTCCTCATTCTTCCTCCCCAAATATATTACCTCACACTTCTCTGCATTAAACTTCATCTGCCATGTGTCTGCCTACTTCACCAGTATATGTCCTCCTGAAGTCTTCTACCATCTTCCTCACTGTTTACTGCATTCCCAAGTTTTGTGTCATCTGCAGACTTTAAAATGTTGGTCGCTATATCCAAGTCCAAGTCATTCACTTATATCAAAAAGAGCAATTTTGCTAACTCGTCTATTATGTAGCACCTTATCAAATGCCTTCTGAAAGTCAATGTACACTACATCAACTGTACTGCCTTCATCAATACTCTCCGTTATTTCATCAAAGAACTCAATTATGTTTATGAGAACACAATTTCCCTTTAACAAATTTGTGTTGACTGTCATTATGACACGATTACCAACACAGCTTTATTTGTGGAATATATTTAATTGGCCAATGTATATTACGAGATCCTGCTGCATGACCTTTTTAATATTTCAAGTGTCACATTTGATGGTAAAAGATGTAGACCAAACCGAAACATGCACAAACACCGACCGCTCTGTTAATGGTATATTTAAGCAGGGATGTTTTAATGAGAGGCGAGTTCTTGCTGAAGAAAAAAATTCCCAAAGCCTAAGTTAGGTTCAACGTTATTACGTGTGGATCAATTTAAAAAAAGAGTCCTGCTTTTCCCTTCTTTCAGAAGTTCAGAGGAAAATTTTACAAATGCAAAACGGGCAGCCACAGGAAAATTAAGCCAGACTATTTGTGTCTCTACTTTTGTGTCGCAGTCACCCTGCAATACAAGATTAGCTTTACATCATGTACATTCCTTGCTGCTTTTGTGTGTGTATGTAGTGGTTTTATATGTTTAACTCCTCGATGATTTATTTGTTTTCGTCAGGCCTAACTGTTCTTCTCAATCTCACAAAAGGAGCTTCTCCAGTTCTGAAAAAGGTTCATATTTGTAACATTCAGGCAGTCTCCTCTTTCAGATGCTGGTTGAACTGCTTTAATTTCCAATTTAATTCAGCTGCTCCCAGCTGAACTGGCCGCAAGGTGACATGCTTGGTAATGAAATGCCAAAATCGAGTCAACCTTCTGTGGCAATCTTGGTAGTCTGCTTCCTGTGTCAAGTGGGTCTGCAGTACTCTGTGGGTGATTAATTCCTTAGCTTATGGACAGGACTTGGGAGGGACATGGATTCTTTCCACTTGGCTGTTGTTAAACCTGCAAGTCAAAGCCTGAACAGGTTAGGGTGGTCCTAAGAGCAGGAAGTTTGCTCTATGGTGCTCTGCAATTTTAGCTGGTTAAACACCAGCAGTAACTTAAGGCTTAGCCTTGGCTCTCCCAGCTTGTATCTAGTACTCTCCAGGAATTAAGTAAGCAGGGAGGAAGGCACTATGGTGTGTCTGACACCTGATCTGCTCAATCAATTCTTCTGTACATCAGTTTCGAAACTCAATTTTCATGTACCTCTTGTGGAACCTCCTCTTCCTGATCCATCGCTAACGGCTGGGTCACGAGCACACCAAGCAGAGTTGCCCAGGTTTCCTCAAAGTGAGTTCGGCTGGTCCATCCTAAAACATAATTAAATAATTAATTGCTTTAGTTATAATAATAATATAGTTCAAATAAGGCTTTGGCTCCTTACAACAATCCTCTGTGGCACATTGCTCATGGAGGAATTAAATGTATCAAAACAGAATCAGCATGTTGCAAACAAAGACTTTTGTGAAGCTAAGAGCACATTTAAATAATATTGTGCTGAAACTTGGCCAACATTCATTTGACTCAAGTGTTTCTGCACTTACCAAGGACATTTATCCGATAAATGAATTCCTTAAAAACTTCTTTCTCCTGAAGGAACTCCACTGGTATTTCAGGGAGAACTGTACCAAATTCACCACCCGGGCTTGGCGACCACCCCAATTTCCAGACCTAAGGAAAGTCAATTGTGAGTTAATATTAAAAATCAAGCCTTGGTGTTACTGCATTAACTTATTCTTGGCATTTGATATTTCAGGCTCCTCCCTTTTAGAAATAGGAATAAGCGTAGGACCCACATACAGAGATTTCTGAAGAATTGTTTAACTTTAAAACCTTAGAAAAGAATTAACCTAAATAATTAAGATGGTAATAACAGAACATAACAAACAATATTTTCTCTTATAGTTCAAGGTATGGAGAATTTTATTCTGTACGCACATTATTTTAGCCAAATTTAAATCGTATGCCTGCAAAAGGATTCTTTTACCAATGCCATCTTTATTAAAAGTTAAAATGTTACTCAATTGTTTGACATTAAAGGCAATGTTTAATGAAACATTCCCATAAAAGTCCCTAAGGTAACTCCATGGATTCAAAACTGGCAACCGTAAATTGATTCAAAAGTCCCCTGTCAATATCCTCACCCGTACCAAAGTCCACCCCCCACCTCCCCATCACCTCAGTCTTTGAAAATACCCATTTTGAAAACAATACTTCACCAATGAAGTAAGCCATACATACCAAAGGAGGAGCATGGGTGTAGCTGTTAACCAGAGGCAGTCTGGCCAGATTGATACTAATATTTCTGAGGGGAGGAGTTAAGAACGCTGGTATTCGATTATTGCTGGGGTGTCCAAAGAATAGTACAGACTGAAGACACTCCACCATTTCAGCCATTACTTCACAAGCTGTTGCAATGTACTTGGCCCCTAAAATAGAAGGGAGAATCAATAGAAGTTTGTAGCCTTGTTTTTCACCAATGTTACAACAACCAATTCATTTCTAAAGTTTCTTGCAGCAACTGCTCAGGGCAGGAAGGATGAAAGATCTACATTTTTATAGTAGCTATAATATAAAAATATTCAACATCATTTTATTGTTTTATTTTAAGTATGGTAACTATTTTTCATATGCAAATAGTGCAATCAATGTGTACACAGTTAAGATCCTACAAGCAGCAATGAAGCAAATAGCTGATTTTATCTACAAGATTCTTGATCAGGACACCGGGAGAATCTTCATTCTCTTTTTAACTAATGTTATGGGATCTTTAATGTCCACCTCAGAATAGGCAGACAGCCCCATCCTCTGAGGAATGGTACCTATGCGAGTGCTGCACTCCCCTTGGATGGATACTAATGGCTAGGTTAAATGATCCCAATTTCCAAATTAAAGTAATGTGTAATTAGTTAACTCCAGGAAGGGGTGAGGGCTGGAAAGAAGGTAAAAAAGGACAGAAAGAACAAGGAGAGCATTTACTTACTCTCAGATACATTTGTAGCCTCTTCATCTTCATTTCTATTTTTTGATTTCCTCTTGTCCTCGAGATGAAGAAGCTCATCACCTGGTTCAACTGCCACTGGAGAAAAACAAGTTTAAATTGGTGAAAAATCACCAAATTCAGAGATCCTGCAGCAGATCATTGGTCAGTTTCTCATCACAAGTGAACCATTTTACTCAAATCAAGATGCTGTCAAAAGTAGAACTTGTGTGAGATGCGCTATAAACGTTGTTGTCTAGTTTTCTACTCGTTTGTTATCTCACATAATTATATAACTTTGAAAGTGATCTATCATTTAGTATGTTTAAGGCAAAATGAATAGTTTATTGAATAATTAAAAATGCAACACCTTAACTTAATTTACTTAAGCACTCTGGGACACTACCTTGCATGAGAGGCGCTATGTAATTGCAAGTTGTTGTTATTGTTGATTTCTGACAGCAATACAAAAAATTCTTACCCGCTTCTATGATGAACCTTATACAGTTGATAACTGAACAGGCTTGCGTTACATATGCTGCAGATGCCAATAAGTTCCAAATAGCAGGCTGCTGCAAGGCCAAGCAGCAACAATCCAAAGTGGCTTGTAAATCCAGGCTCAGTGGAACTTGATCATGCATCAGCTGCCAGCTCACCGCCTACACAATAGAAAATAATACCTGCACATATAAAGTCATACTATCCCTCTGTTCCGCTGAACGGAATAGATATCCAACATTGCCACATGCAACAATACTCCTCCAGACAGTTTCAATTATTTCATACAATCAAACTTACGATGACAGACATATTGTTCCCAAATGGAAATTAGACTTAAAATGATATTTAAGGTCAATGATTTTTTTTAAATGTTAGCTTGGGGAAATGCAACCTAACTAACAATTTCACAACAAAGAGAACATGGCAGGATAGAACACAACAGCATCTTGGTAACAAGAACTACTTCACACCTGTGCCTGATATTATTTCAACCGAAATACGCTCAACTAAAGAAATATCACAATATCCATGGGTAAAAATTGTTGGGGGAACACAAGTTTGCTGTTCATCGGTGCTAGAGACAGTGGTTTGAGGCCCAATATAGTACAGTAAGTGGAGGTTGAGAGAAATTGGGAAATGGAAGAGGCAAAAGAGAAGGTTGAGAAATGATATGGTTGCCGTTTTTAAGATTTTAAAGGGACTAGATAATGTAGACTATGACAAGCTGTTTCAACTTGTCCAGAACAGTAGAACCAGAGGATTGAAGAGGGTAAATTTAAGACTAATCTGCAAGTGATAAATCTACGGAACAAGTTCCCGAGGGAGATGGCGTAAGTGGAAAGTATTGATTCATTCAAATTAGATCATTTATTTTAGAAAATAATATTTTGGATACAGTATATTAGTAATTTGAGCCATGACATATAGTAAGTGTAGGATGGCTTGGAAGAACCAGGCAACTTTGGATCTAAGGTTCCCAAAGTTCTGTTGTAGACTAATCCATACAGAATTAATTGCTATCAACATCTCCATTATTGTAGCTTGCAACTACCATGATGGTAGAAGGTGAACTAGATGGATCTTGGGTTTTTTTGTCTTGCAATTCCTATGTTCCCACAACAGCAGCAACTTGCACTTTTATAGCACAGTCTCAGAGCGCTTAGAACTTGCTGCGTATATCAGCTGAAAATTGGTTTTAACCAAATGGAAAGTACAAACTGGGTGCTTACAGTTCTCTGGCCTCAATGTTGATTTCAACCACTTCAGACCAAAAGAACAGCTCCCATCTTCCATAAAAGCTTACCTTCCCCTTCTCCCTCTTCTGTGACCATAAACACATTATCTAGGTCCCAGTCACACCTTGTCTCTCTGGTCTTCCTCTGCTGCCCTCCTTTGTTTTGCATCATTAGCACCATTTTAACCCATCATCCCCTGTCCCCCACATCATTTTCTCCTTTGTCTTTCTTGCCTTATCTCCCCTCTCTGTTAGCCCTTAAAATCTTTCCCCCGCCCAACATCCCCCAGTTCTGACGAAGGGGCATGGACTCAAAATGTTGACCCACTTTCCTTTCTCCATAGATGCTGCCTGACCTGCTGAGTGTTCCCAGCGATCTCTGTTTTTGTTTCAGATTTCCAGCATCTGCAGTATTTTGCATTTTAGGAAAGTACAAAGTGTTTATTTCTACTTGGATTCCTATGTTATATACATATATGATGGTACATGATAGATGCCATAAAGAGATTGGTGAGGATTTCTATCTAGGGTTTTATTTTGTATGGGGCAGTGGAGGGGGAGGAGTAGTAGAAGAGAAGTTGAGGTACAGTCTGGGGATTTCAATTTGTAGGTGTCAGTTTTATTTTTCTCAGCTTAATGAAACATCAACTTTAGTTGCCGGGCGTATGCAGGTCATTTGGTTTGGATCATTACAAAGCAGCTCCTAATAAATAGGAGGAACAGCCCTTCTAACATCTACAACACTAGGAGACAATTACAATATATAACTAGCAAGTATTAGCTTCAAAAGTAAATTCCTTTTCTCCATTACACAACTTTTTTTCCCTCTGTTCCAAGCTTCTCAAACCTTACCTCCAGGGACAAGACAACAAATTTTGCAATGTCTGCCTCTTTGTCAGTAGGAATCTGAAGAGCTGCAGGTAATTTGGGAAGAGACAGAAGGTACTGAGCCACTGCACTGCACAGACGAAGGACAGTTTGATAGAAGAGAACATCTCCTGCAAAACAAAAGGTTTCATTAAACAATCAGGTTCATATCTACAAGCCTTGTAGAACGATTTTTTTAACAAAACCACACATTCAACAAGATATATGTAATAACATTCAAGGTGATGAATTTTAAAACGGTGCCATTAATTTTTTTTAAATGCTGCAGACAGCAGCAAACATACTTTGAATGTGGTTGTTGAGGTTGACAAACTCGGTTCTGTTTTTAGCTATCCAAGACAATAAAAAAGCTGGAATGTGTTGCATCAATAACTTGCATTTATAAATCACCTTTCATTTAAAACATCTTGAAGCACTTTACAGAAGGTGATTGATTAAAAGAAATGAATTCAACACTAAAGCTTTGGTTTGTTATCTCAGCTCTAAAATGTATTATCTCCCTAAAGCACACTCTCATAATACTAAAGATAGTTACAAGGAAAGATACAAATTAAATTTGTAATCTTTGTTTTGTAAACCAGGTTTCATGACAGACATAGTGATTTGGCCAGTGTCTGAAAAAAAAGTGATTCTGGGTCATATTTCATTGCATATTAGGGCTAGCTTTTTTTTCTAATAACTGAAAGATCATTCCCCAGCAGTACCATAGCCCAAAGGCTGAGCCAAGATCATTCATTTCATCCACTACAGAATAGCACTTACAAGCCTGAGAGCAAGAATTGTAATTGTAAATGTCACTCAGCTTTATATACAAAAAGGGAAATCCACTAAGCATATGGAAATGCCACTATTTCTTTTCTAAAATATAATTGTATTATAGTTCAGGGTAACAAATGCATCAACAAATGATACTCATCAGTGAAACAATTAATCAAAGCAGCCAGTTATCAATATCTGAGAGGAGGATTTTCACAAAGATTCAGAACTTCTGATTTACAGTGCTGATAGCAAACGGCTCAGACACAACACAATGGTGATGTAAAGAAACAAATCTGCTGGGGGAGGGAGGGAGAGGGATAGAAGAGGAAATATAAAGAACGCAGATTTTCCTGCATGTTCAAGATCCCAATAGACCCAGAACGTTAAGGGATAATGTCCTAAATTTGTAATTTTTCCTACAACTACAGAGTCACTACACATCACAGTAAAAATATTGTGAAGCACTTGAGACTTTTCAATGACGTAATGAGTCGCTATATTATGTGCAAGGGTCATTATCATTTTAGTTTTCCAACAGAGAAATTAATAGATAGTTTTAAGGAGAGAGAAAAATAAATCTTTAATCCAGATGTCAAGGCCCTTTCTTAGAAAGCAGCAATGAGCTGGGCATAATATCTATTTATTAAAGCACTGGGAAATGATGAGACTACTGTGTGATAGACAGCTGTCAGGTTACAACTGAAGGGGCTCGGGTGACAACTTTTGGTTTATCTGAACTGGTTTTGAAACTTCCAAAACATGGCTCTTGGGAACAATTAAATTACTTGTAACAATATGAAATGTATAACCCACTGAATGTTATGCTTTTCTTTAAACAGGTTGGGGGAAATTAGGTCAAAATCTGTTAACAGTCTAATCTTGCCTCATTGCATTTGCCTTTGTAGATTCATACATTTACAACGCAGGAGATTACTTAGTCCATTATGTTAGGTGCTGATGCTAGCTTTTCTAACGGAGTTATCTACTCATCCCATTCTACGTGGAGTCCTGTAGCTCAGTGGTTAGAGCACTCGCTTTGCGAGTGAGAGACCTGAGTTCAATTCCAGGCAGCGTGAAACCTTGGGCAAGTTTCCTTACTCCACACAGAGCCTAATAATAATCCCTCCAAAAAAACAAAACAATAATCAATTGGTCATTTTCAATCTACGACTGTTTGTGGGATATTGCTGTGCGCAATTGGCTGCCGCGTTCGCCGACAAATATACAGTCAATTCACTTTACAGTATATTCTGTGAAGCGCTTTGGGGCGTCCTCCCAACGTGAAAAGCGCTATATCAAATGCAAGGATAATCCTGGAGGCGAAGAACAACCCCAGGCTACTGTTTTCCACCACATCCCGACTCCTCCGTCCCCCCCGCCACCCCGCGCAGGTCATCTCCTCCAACCTTCACTGCGAGGAGATGCTGGATTTCCTTGAATCCAAGATCAAGGGAATCCGCTCCGCGGTCACTTCCCCTCCAACTTCCACCCACCACCCACCCCTTCCCTCCCACACTCCGACTCCTACCCATCCTCCCCTACACACCTTCGTACCCGTTTCCCCACCCTCTGTCACTGAACTCATCCTATCCCTAAAACCAACCACCTGCTCCCTTGACCCCATCCCCACTCCACTCCTTATCTCCCAGCTCCACTTTCTTGCCCCACATATCACTGACATCATCAACCTGTCCCTCTCCTCTGGCTCTGTCCCCATTCCATTAAAAACTGCCATCATCACGCCCACCCTGAAAAAACCCTCCCTTGATGCGTCGCAGCTATCAAGCTACCGGCCCATCTCCAACCTCCCCTTTCTCTCCAAGGTCTTGGAAAGAGTTGTCGCCTCCCAACTGCGCTCTTTCCTCTCCACCCATTCTCTTTTCGAACCCCTTCAGTCAGGTTTCCGTGCTGCTCATAGCACAGAAACTGCCCTGGTCAAGGTCACCAATGATATCCTGACCATCTGTGACCAGGGCTCCCTCTGTCTCCTCGTCCTCCTCGACCTATCGGCAGCATTCGATACGGTCGACCACGCTATCCTACTCCACCGCTTGTCCTCCCACCTCAACCTTCAAGGCACTGTCCTTGAATGGTTTAGCTCTTACCTTTCCCACCGTCTTCACTTCGTCTCAACGAATGGCTTCTCCTCCACCCCCCGTACTGTCTCATGTGGTGTCCCTCAGGGCTCTGTCCTCGGTCCCCTCCTCTTCACCCTCTATATGCTCCCCCTCGGTGACATCATCCGCAAACATGGGGTTAACTTCCACATGTATGCGGATGACACCCAACTCTACCTTTCCTCCTCTACTCTCAACTCCACGACCACCGATGTCCTGACAGCTGCCTGTCCGACATCGAGTCCTGGACGAGAGACAACTTTCTTCAGCTCAACGTGCGAAAAACCGAGGCCCTCCTGATTGGCTCACGTCAGCGCCTCCGCACCTCAGGCGCTGACACCATCAGCATCCAAGGCTGCACTCTCCACCTCTCAAAGCCAGTCAGGAACCTCGGCGTTTTGTTCGACCCTGAGCTGTCCTTTCTCCCTCACATCCGCACCACAACTGGCACCGCCTTCCATCACCTCCGGAATATCGCCAGACTACGGCACTACCTCACCCCTCACGCTGCTGAAACCCTGGTTCACGCCTTTGTCACCTCAAGGCTGGACTATGGGAACTCTCTCCTCGCCGGCCTTCCCGGCACCTCCCTCCACAAGCTGCAGGTCATTCAGAACTCCCTGACCATTTCCCCCCCTCCTCGTTCCCTCCCTTCCCTTCCCTCACCCTGACCATTTCCCCCCTGCTCGGGTCATGACCCAACTGTGCAGCGCCTTGGGACGTCCTCCTGACGTGAAAGGCGCTCTATAAATGGAATCTTGTTGTTGTTGTTGTTGTTGTATTATTATTATTACTGCTCTTTCCTTATACTCTATTTCTCCTCATATTTAGCTGTTTCCCACTAATTCCTATTAAGGACTATGTTCTAATTACCACTTGTAATAAAGCATTACATATTATTACAATCCAATGTTTAAAAAAATACTTTGGAGTAAAGAGTCCATATATTCAGGATTTTCAATCACTGAGTTGTAGAAATAGTCTCACTAATTACCCTAGCAAAACCATTCAGTTTTGGAAACCTGTATTAGATTAATTATTGTTTGTGTCAATTTAACACGATTATCTCGGTCCACAGAACAACGACGACAAATTACACTTGTATTGCAGCTTTCACTTTGGAAAGACATCCCAGGGAGCTGAAACTGACTTAACAAGAAACAAGGAGCTTCTCCTTCCAGAATACAAGTTAGCCTCTAATGTTCAGTAAACCCTGATCCAAATACATAACAATTTGAATTTATATCTCACCCTTCAAGTGAAATAATCATAGAGGAGCTCCTGTACACACAAAAATTGGTTGGCTAGAAAAACTATATAAAGAAAATTCAGGATGGCACAAGAAATGCAGATTACACTGTGCTAACATAACAAAGATTTATCTGAGTTTAGTTCCCAACTGTTCCTCTTAGTTGGATATTTTGCACTCGGACCAAACTGGTACTAGGGATAAGCATCATGACTTTGGATGCAGAGCAAAAATTGGTGGGGACCTGCAGACATGGATGCAAATATAACATTCTGTGCTGCATCATGCCATGATACAGTTGTACAAACATCCATTTAACAATTTTTCTTAGTAAATTAACCATTTTTAAGGAATTTTAAATATATGCTGTGAAAACAATGTTCAACATATTAGAAGTCTTTGTTCTTTGGACAATACAATCATTTGTTCACTAAATCAAACGTTTGTTCTATAAAATGGTATATACTTACCATAAAGTTCATCAATTTTATTCCAGTAGAAGGAATTCTGCCATGGATGCACCATTTGGAACACCTGATGGCTGCTGGGAAGACGTTGTACACGAACAGTCATGTGATCTAAGGTAATTTTCCTGGCAGTTTCAAACAAGATACTGCTTTTCTCCATAGAAATTTCTTGCAAACCCAAAGCCAAACAAGGAGTCAGAAGATTCAAACTGAATTCCTAAAAGGGTAAGTATAGTGAAAAAAATAGGGTATTAATCCTCCTACCTTATCCATTATCTCCCCAAGTGCTTATGCCTTCTGGGGTGCAGATTAATAGGCATTAACAATCCTCCCATACCTTGCCAATATGCCAGTTCTTCACAGGTGACCATCAACAAGTTGCTCAACTGTGTGTTTGTGTGTGTGTGTGTGGTGGGGAGGGGGGCGGGGTGGATGAAGCATCAAGGCCAAGATTGATCTGGTCTGCACCAACACGCACACACACAATCTTCAGAACAAGGTCATTGGATATCTGTTATGTTATTATCACTGGCTGACTTCCCTCTTTCCATTTTGACACTGAAGCCAAATTGTAATGCATCCTTTGATCGTTCAGCTGAAACCAACTGACTCACTGACCAGAATCAAACCAGGTCCTTCCTGGGCTGTATTGCTCATACTACAACAGATTGTGTACTGCACCATCAAGCTACCAGGAGAGATAACTTTACATCAATAACCAATAGCGTTTTAAATTTCTAGCATCTTTCACCTACAGGGTATTTAAATTTATAAGAAAGATTGTGACTAAATTAAGTGAGCATCAGTAAAAGACATCCAAGTGATCCTCTCCCCAGATTAAGATGTCTCAGGTCCTGGCTGGAAAGGTGCGTGCTGCAATTTATGTGGTTTGCATGAAATGACTCCCCCAACACTGTTGCCAGTCAATGGACATATGGACATCACATTCGTAAAACAGAGCATAGAAGGCATTTAGCAGTCATCCATTACAGTTAATGACTGGAGGACAGTCTTGGTGTGTTAAGGTGACACCATCCTGGGATGTATTAATCTACCTTTCTTGCATACATAATACAAAATATAAAACCCTTGGCTTCAAGGTTTCATTTGATTCTATTTCTGAAAACATGCTTAATCCTGTGATTTACTGAGAAGACTATAATGAAACAGTCAACCTAATTCTATCCAGTCTGACCAAAGCATTACCTTAACTGTTATGATGGTGTGGAGATCAGCTTCAGGAAGCTTGCTGAGTAGTTCTGTGCACTCCATTAGTGTTGTAGTCACACGATTGCAGCACTGGGATTTTACAAGCGCTACGTACCATTCCTACAATACAAGAAAAAAAACGCATGTATTTAATGTAATACAATAAGGCTTCAAGTCATGTCACAACAGCAAATGCTCTTTTCTATAATTTGTTATTTATTGATGTGGAGGTATTTGAGAGCTCTCTCCTATATTATACAAGACAAGAAATGGACTGTATTACTAAAGGGATCTTCTCCAGCAAAGATAGGCATCTATTAATACCTTTAACTCCGCACACCCAGGTCATTAAAACCTATGGTTTTAGAAAGAATCAAATAAAAGTGATAGGCCAATTACCAAGTAAATGGACACACTTTCTTTAGAGTCAAAATATATTAATTTCCTCATAGTGCACTGAATTCTTGAAAGCATTAAAGAGACGACATAACTAAAGAATGATTCATAATGAATTTGTGTAACATATTTTGACTGTTAGAAAAATGATTGAACCCACACCTTCCAGATTTTACATTTTTATCTTATGCTTTCCCTATTAATGTTTATACTTACGATCTCTCCAACCCCCCCCCCCAACACACACTACAAAGATATCACCAACGTGAGTTCTTTAAGGTATCCTCTTATCCGTCTCAACTGTCCATTCAAACAAAAGTAAAAAAAATTCCAGATTTGACTGCGATTTCAAACCTGTTGGCTAAAACTTTACATATACACAAGTTAGGGTAGTGCAGTAAATGCAACCCACTAAAATCACAAAATAAATAATTCACTATAATTTTACAAAGATATTTAATTCAACATCAGTGAGACTTGATTTTGCATTGTAGTGGCAAGTGATAAGTTCCCAGTAAAGTACTCAAAGACATCGTTAGCTGCTCAATTAAATTGTTCAATAGAGCAGCTCTCATTGTCCAAATGAAGCACTTCTCAGGAACACAAGAACATAACTATTCTAAGCATCACACAAGACAATTAAGTAAGCGTTTTCATTAATCATTGAAAACAACTTGCATTTATATAGCACCCTTCACTCTGGAAAGAGTCTCAGAGCGCTTAAAAAGAACACACAGAGTGGGGGGGATGGGAGGGAAACAGTTGCAAGTTTCAAGAATTCAAAGAAATTAAAAAGGTTAATAGGAAACGTTTGTCTATCAATGTATGTAATAACATGCATTCAGCCCATTCCTTCCATAGACTATGCACACTTTGTTCTAACAAGGACTCCACTCAACCCAATCCCCTGAACAGAAAATGCTACTGTGTTTCTCCACCTTTAAAATAACTCATTCACACCTCCTACCTTTGCGCAAAACTCAAGTAATGAAAAGTAACCCTTTAAAACCCTTTAATAAATGTTCTGGGAGTTTGCTGCATCTTATTCACATTCTATCACAAAATGGTTAACAAAAACACCCTTCAGCCTAATAGATCTCATCTTCCAGAACACCAACCTTACAGTATTCCTACTGCAAACTATTTCCTAAATGAATCCAATATTTTTGCTTCAATCAATTCCAAAGGTTTATCCTTCATGTAAAGATCCTTAATGTCACCAATCCTAACATTGCCTTTCACAGCCCTAATCATACACTTTGTGGTTCTGCTGCCTTGATGTAATTGACATTACTTCACATTTTCTGTTTGTACCCCATTTAGAATCTTATATTCCTCCATAAATTCCCCTGTGAAGAGTTCAAGTCCAAAGAATTGCCATTCCTCAAGTTCATCCTTCCAAAATTGAAATTTATCCTCAATGCTCTGCTCTATATCTAGGATCTGCACTAAAATCACGGTGTACTGGAACTGAATAACAGTTACAGCCTGGCCAAGAATTCTAGGAATCTGTACTCAATTTATTTCAGGACATAGTCCAGCATCCTGCTCATTTTGTCTCACACCGATGGACCTTGTAAGCATCAAGTCAGGCAACTCTCCAAGGCTTCTATCAACCTTCTTGCTGTGACATTCTAGCCCATACAAAGAGTACAACAACAACTTGCATTTATATAGCGCCACTTATACAGGGTAGCGTCCCAGAGAACAAGACCTCCTGTTTTTATTTCCTATACAAAGTAGCTTGCATTTATCTTTATTGAATCTCATTTGTCAATGATTGAGCTATCTTTGTAAGACTCTGGCCATCTCCTCGGATTCCTGTCTCTTCCCTCAGTCCCCACCACTATCACCTCCAAAGCTTGGTGAAATCTTGAAATTTAACTACTTTGCACCAAGTCTGTGAATCATTAACACTTCAATAAAAACAATTAATAGCTGTTAAAGCAGAATGCAGAAGTTTTTACAAGAAAATTGGATAAATTCTTAAAGAAAATAAAGAACATGGGGAAACGCAGGGGAATGGGACCAGAGAAGATAGCTCCAGTTGCTGAGCTGGTATAAGCACAGACACAATGAGCCAAATGGCTGCTTTTGTGCTGTAACCACTTGGTGATAATTGCACACTAGCAGAGAAAGCGAATTTCAGTTTGAATGTGAAAAGGTAAGAAAAAGGCAAAGTTAAATATGTTTGCTTATGTATTCTCACTTTGTCCACAACTATAGATTCCACAGCAGAAAGCTTGTCCCCATCCAGTGGGTGAGAGGTCACTATTGGCGATGGGCTGACTGTGTCTGTTGCAATTGTTGTACGGAACCTGTCCAGCAGGGAATACAATCTTTGGTGTCTGAAATGAAAAAATGCTGTCACTTAAGGTTAATGAAACTAATTAAACAAGACCTAGTGTCAGTTAATTTGTATTAGTGGGTAGCTCTCTCGCCTCCTCTAAGTTAGAGGGTTGTTAGGTCAAGCCCCACACCAGGATTTGAGCTCATGAACCAGGATGATGTTCAATTGCAGTGGTGAGGAGGGCTTCACTGTTGGCGGACTTCATCCGGATACATTATATCAAGATCCTGTTTTCCTTGTGCATCACATGGCACAGATTAGAGTCTGTCATTCATTTATTTGTTGATTGTGGCGTGCTGCTGAAGCAGATTAGCTACCACATTTACCTACATAAATGCACTTCAAAGTAACTCATAGTAAGAAGCATTTAGACATTAACAAAGGGCACTAGTCCATTTTTTTTAAAAAGGCCTACATTAAAGCTAGATGTCCAAGTTGTAACTTGCTAGTTTATTCTATCACAAAAATGATTACTGATATCTGACCAAACAGAAATTCAACTTAATGAATGTGCCATATAATGGATCTGCAATTCAAACCCATTTAATAAATCCCTACATTTGGTATAGCTTCTTTCACATCAAGAGGACATTCCAAAGTGCTTCATAAGATATATTGTGAAGTAACTGTTTCACAAGTATCTTGTGGGTAATGCCCACATTTGTTAATCATCAATTAATAGCCCAAATTTACACCACTTTTGGTAAAAAGCAGAACTATCAACAGGCCATGAACCACATGGCTATTAAAAGGTTTGTAAAATAATACAGCATGGATGCAGTGAACTTTTGGAAACAAATAGCAATTGGGAAGAATATTCCTCCAGCATGAGAGAGTGCACTCATCTACAATCCGCTTTGTTCAGTCACGTTTTCATGCATTTTGTGCCCAAGAATTCGTATTCTTAAACATCATATGGCTATATCACCATGTTGTGAAAATCCTGGCCGCTTCCCATGCAAAATGTGAATAAGGGAACCCCCATTTAATCAGTTCTGACGAAGGGTCGTGGACCCGAAATGTTGACTCACTTTCCTTTCTCCATTGATGCTGCCTGACCTGCTGAGTGTTCCCAGCTCGCTCCGTTTTTGTTTCAGATTCCAGCATCTGCAGTATTTTGTGTTTTGCCCCATTTAATCTCATCGCTCACGTATAACGTATAAAGTTGCATTCTATACATCCCAATAAGTAAAATATCGGATACATTATCAGAACAAACTTAACTACCACATAGTCAGCGCGTGGCGTGGGGTCCACTCAGCAAACTCTCATGATGAAAAAGGTGGCCCTCAGCCAGCCCTTCGTGGCTGTTTTGACAATTGTAGCAAAATCTCTACAAGTAGAAATGTCAAGACATTTCCCAGTGTCGGCAATGCAATGAATTCCTTTTTACCTAATTCCAGAAATTACTCGGTGCAGGTTGGCAAGAGCCAAGGCTTAGGGATCCCAAAGTATGCACTGGTGTACAGCTGGAGTCTAACCAGCTAAAACTACATTGTTTGCCACTGAGAGAACTGCCTGGAAATCTTTCCGCTGCTTGTCGAGCTAGCACCATCCCACCCGTGAGGGTTTTGGCTTGCAGTGTTAGCAGGAGCGAAGTAGGAAGCTCCCAGTGAGTGGTCTGCCACTCCAAGACCCGCTGATGAGCCAAGCTGGCTGATCTCTTGTCAAGTGTGACCCAGAATACTGCGGATCCACATTACTCAGGAACTCAACTATCAAGAAGATGGAATTGATTCCAACATTCCTTTGCAAAAATGTCACCTTGGAGCCAGATGAGTTCCAATGAGACCCCATCTACCTCTTATCCCCATCCAGAATATATCCATCCCCCCCATGCCAGGAGGATGGACACTAGTGGGCCATTTGACACCTGACAAGTACAGGTTTGAGCCCTCACAAGGTGGAGAGCAGGTACCGCAAACTCCCTGAGAGCTTCCTGGTGAGCAGCAAAGCTTAGCACGAAATGCATTAAGAGACCTGCTACCATCCTCCTGTCCATAGCTGCCAATACAACAGATCTTTACTGTGTCAGAATTTGCAGGCAAGGCACATTTTTTCTTTGAAAATGAAGTAATAGTTGCATGCAATTGATTTCTTTGACCAATAGTTTCTGAGTATGGCAAACCCACAGTACCGCATAATTTGCTACCTTGAAGGTGGAAGCAGAATTGCTTGATCCAACAGAAAACAAGCAAAGAATTCACTGGATTGCAAACTGGTGTGAGAACGGTGGACAATTTATTTCCTCCTCCAGGAATGCTGAGGTTGTCCCTGTTTGAGATCAGCTAACAGTGCAAAGCAAAGATAGGTTCAGGATATCCCTGGTCTATATGACTCATTAGCCCACTAATCGATCAATTAATCCACTGAACGATCAAGGGAGCAATGCATTCTTCAGTTTTAATACAAAATGTTGCTACCTCTGAGCCAGACATGTGTTCTGCAGATATCGCTGTATCCTTTCCAGCTCTTCACGTGGCACTTGAACAACACTGTTCTATAAAAGAGAAATAGAGTTTGTTCTGTAACTTTATTTGTTCACCAGAAAACTTTCATTGAATAGCTGTCTAACGAAACTGTGGTTTCACGCATACAAAATATTAACACAATATTAAGTGTATTAATATTTTGTATTATGAAGCACTTTGCACTGCTTCAGAAAGGCATCAAAAGCCTTGAAGCAATGGGATAAAGCTGAATCATTCAGCCATTTAATAAGAAGATGGTGCAACTTCCAAATTTGTAACAACATGCAATTGCCCAGTGTCCCAATCCAAATTAAATTGAGAATTAAATTTGCTTGAAAAAATATTGTGAAGTGATTCCTTATGGTAAGAATGTAAAATGCTATAATGAAATCGTATAAGCTGGAGGCAGAAAAGCCAACGAACACAGTAGTCAACACCATGAAAATTGATAGTATTTGCATAATGCAGTATTTAGATCTTTGTTTCATCCAACAGAAGCAATTTCAATTATAGGTACACAAAGAAAGGAAAGAAATTAATGCAGACGTAGCAAATGACTGAGCAAGTAACTCAAATCAGTCTAAATTTAACTAGATTTTACCTGCAAGTTCTCTGCCAAAAGCATCTCGACTCGCCGGCAAGCAAGAGTATCCACCATTCGTGCCAATACTCGGAAAGGTGTTCTGATTAGTTTATCCACATAGAGCATTAGGACAGCTCCTGACTGGCTGAGATGGATTCCTTCTAAACACTGCAGAGTCTTCTTCAGCATGGTTGGCTATAAGAAAACAAGGCTCTAGCTAATCAAACTAGTAAAATCAACAATCCAAATCAGAAAAAATATTAAGCTACAAATATGTAAGTACTTTGAGATGTCTCTCCCACCCCCGTGTAAATTGTACTGTATATTCAAATATAGAGTCACACATTCATGTCCTAGACTCTGCATTAGAATACTTCGGTAGGAATCAAACAGGCTGAAATCCATTAACCAGTAAATAACCTTATAACCATATACAGTGCACTCTGTATAATTGCATGGAGTCAGGTCTGGAAAGACGCCACGCAATTATATGCAATTAACCGAAGTAGCGTTTCCCCCACACTACCACAAAAATGAAAACATTGGTTGTTGTGTGGATCAGTGTCACCTTATCTGACCAACTCTTTTGCTTTGTTGCCTCTTGACACGTTTTCTTTGCCTGGCACTTTTATTTGACAGTTACCTGGCCCAATCCTGAGTCATACCGGGCAATTTCGCCCCCATCTCCTCCCACCAACTATGCTATTTGTCTGAGATTACAATGTTTGCAAAGAAAGTCAACCCTGTAGATCTGCCTTGTTGGGTTCATTCCTCGGGTTTGGAAGTCGCTTTAACTGTAAATCAAATTGTTTGTGTTCACACGGTCAACTCAACAACAACAACAAGATTGCATTTATAGAGCGCCTTTCACGTCGGGAGGACGTCTCAAGGCGCTGGACAGTTGGGTCGGGACCACAGCAGGGGGGAAATGGTCAGGATGAGCGGAGGGAAGGGAGGGGGCGAGGAGGGGGTAGAGAGTTGAGAGGGGAGCTGAAGGCACGGTTGAAGAGAAAGGTCTTGAGACCGGCCTTGAAGGAGGAAAGGGAGGAAGCGGCGAAGGCACTGGGGGATAGAGTTCCAGAGCCTCGGGGCTGAGAGGCTGAAGGCCCGACCACCGATGTTAGGGAGGTTAGGGCGGGGGACGTGGAGCAGACCGGAGCCAGAGGAACGGAGGGTACGGGCAGGTAGGTAGGGGGATAGTAGGTTGGAGAGGTAGGAGGGAGCAAGGCCGTGAATGGCCTTGTAGGTGAGGATGAGGATCTTGAATTCGATCCTCTGGGAGATGGGGAGCCAGTTGAGGCGAGTGAGGGTGGGAGTGAGGGTGGGAGTGATGTGGTCGCGAAGCCTGGCGTGGGACAGTACACGAGCTGCAGATGCATACTCCTCAACCAATGCAATTATCTGAACTAATTATATAGGTGCGAATGAAGTCAACTGGCTAACTTCCATGCAATGAAGCAAATTATGCAATTATCTGATTTGTAATTAAGTGCAGTGCATTGTACTTACAATAGAGAAAAGAGCATCTATCATTCATGCTAATGAATGGAAAGGTATGTAACAGGAGTTTACCTACACCTAACTTTAAAACAGCACAACTGGCTAATGGCTTCCTCTTAATGCAATCTTATTATCATGCTATACTGTACAGGCCAGTAATAATAACAAACCAATGGAAAAGTGCATCAGAAATGAGTTCAACATGTACACATGAAAACACTGATTTATGTGGGTCTAGAAAATGTCATTCAAGTCTACAATGAGGCTTCTGAGAAGTTAGGGGCTGGGGAGTTTATTAAATGATTTAATAGTCAGCTCAGAAATGTTTTCTGCAATCTCCTTTGAAGCTAGTACTTACGGTTGTAAGATTGTCACATCGAGACTGAATGGCTTGAATGAAAAGACCACTGGCAGCAGAGTTTCGATGAATAGCGCTAATAAAATCTTGCACTGGAGGTTCGTGGGAAAGATTGATGAGGTCTTGAACATGGTTGACTATCAGCCAGGTCAGGTGTTCTGAATCATGAAGATTTTGACACTAGAACGCAGTTAAAGAAATGAGTATTCCCACATCAGCTTTATATGGTCTTGAAGCATAAGTAAAACTGAACCAAAGCAACTAATCCAGGTCATTAGAAATTAATAGTAAAATCACGTGAAGTTGCATATGTATTAAACAGGCCCAGTTTTACAAAACACTAAGGTAATTCTGAATGTAAATCTGCTTACCACATAATCACAGAAAAGAATAAGGGCTCCTCTTCTAACTATTTCTCGATTGCACATGCCCAATTTAGATGCAGATTTTGTTTCTTCATTTTCCTCAGATATCTGAGGACCTAGCAACTTTGTGCTGGACAAGCTGTGTCTCCTAAATGATGAGAAGAGAACATGATTTACACCAAATATCACCTTCACACCTCTTGACCAAAGTTGCAACACCTTTCTAATCGTTTCAGGTCTGACATGTAGAAAATACAGTTGAATGTTGTATATTTGCTTGCCCACTACTGAAATATCATGTCCACTTATTGGATGTCAACATGGAAGTGAATTTGGGATTATATTCGGGACAAAAAAAATAGTTCTGCGTAACCCACAAGGTTACAGGTTCACAATTTAGCTATGCACCATGACTGAGTCAGCAACACAAAGGTGCTTGTTTAGCAATCTGGTAGATACTGTGCAGGTTTGATGACCGGCAGAGTTAGAGAGGATGAAAGAATCAAAGGACAGAGAATGAAAGAGGTAGTTAGAGTCATATGAGAAAAGAGTCAAAGAAATAGACAGAGAAAATGTCTGAGATAGAAATGAGAGAGAGAGAGGGGGGGGGAGAGAGAAAACAAAAGGAAAACAGCAAAGAGAAAAAAAGTCAGGCACAATTAATCCCATTTCTTTGCTCTTTTATCATACTTTTTATATTGTTTCACTTGCTTCACTTACTTGGGGGTTTGGTGCACTTCTGACCACCACTTGTAGTTTGTGTAGTTCATAAGCAACAGGATTTGGCACCAAAGCAGCACCAGAGAAGGATGAGTAGGAATAATGGACTGAACCAGGATATTCAAGCTGTCCAATGTCGAGAAGTTACCATCAGAACCATCCCCTTTGATTAACTTGGTGGCAGCTGCAGTAATTCTTCTAAACGTCCCTGTGTTTCAAACATCCATCAGGATAAGAATTAACCACCATGCAACTGAAGAGTGGTTTATACAACAATCTTATTTTCCAACCAGTTTTTTTTTTACATCGAACACGATATACATACTAAATACTTTTACATTGATTAATCTGCTTATTTTATTATTTTCTTAATAATAATCCTTGCATTTGATATAGCGCTTTACCACATCATTGAAACATTTCAAAGCTCTTCACAGGAAGGATATACTTTAACATAAATTGACACTATATTTTTGTGGGCGAAGCGTGGCAGAGAATTGCGCACAGCAATGTCCCACAAACAGCAGTGGATTGAGTGACCAAATTATTATTATTTTTGAAGGGATTATTACACCTGGAAAGCAATCCGCCAATCGCCTAATAACCAGATTTCTATTTACTGCTCGGTAAACAGAGGTGTGTGGAGAAAGAAAACTTGCCTAAGGTTTCGCCCTGCCCGGAAATCAAATCCAGTCGTTTTGCTTGGATGAGAGTACTAAGCTACAGGGCTCCACAAACATTTCTTGGACTACAAGTGTGGGCTTCTAACATCACACACATTTATTTGGCACATATTGCTGACAACAAAACAACCAAGGTCAGCAGAATTTTGTTCAAGTAAAAGAAGGTAATTACAATGGCACAATTCGGCTCAGAAATACTTTTCAGGTCCACTGAATTACAAAATTGGAACCACTATAACAGCATTAGCTGCCAATCTCGTGCTGAGCTGATTTGGTGCAAGCCGGATGTCTGCTAGAACAAACTGCCAGTAGACCAGTGAATAAATTCCAATCGGATTTCCCCTATTCACTCATCATCTCTTTGCCACCAATATCATAAATTATACAGCACAGAAGGAGGCCATTCAGCCCATCATGTGTCTGTGCCAGCTCTTTGAAAAGAGCTATCCAATCAAATCCCACTCCCCTGCTCTCTCTCCATAGCCCTGCAAACGTGCCCTGCCCAATACAAAATTATAAAACATATGTGCAGACACACAGACACTAAAACAGAGAAAATATTTTTATATGTGCAGCTCCACTAATTCCACCACTGCAGATTCAAATGCTGAGCCCAGATTAATCCACTGAGTGGGATTGAGCTGAAGACTGGCAAATAGCTTTAATAGCTACACTTAAGCGCTGCCTGTTCAGGTGCACATGAAAGTTACCATGGAACTATTCAAAAAGAGAAATTTGTTCTGGTGTTCCAGCTAACAAACCCCAGATAAAATTCACTCACTTCATGGCTGTGTTGGGGACATTATTGTGGGCCAATTGACTGCCATGTTCTCCTACAAAATACAGTCTTTACTTAACAGTAAATCTTACGAAATGCTTTGAGATGTCCTTGTGATGTGAAAGGCGCTATATCAATCGCAAGGATTTATTATTCTACTTCCTCCTCAGCAAAATTGCAGTATAATACAGGTAATTTCTGTGCAATTCACTAATTGACCATCTTACCTGACTTGAAGATATGTATCAGACCCATCAGCAAAGTGCCAAGCTGCTGACAGTAAAATGAATGCTGCTGTTCACTCATGTCAACCTTTAGCTGTTTGTTCACAATATCTTCTAAGAGAATCCCCACCAGTTGTAACAGAAACCTGTTAGAGCACAGGACACTTAGAGCAATTAGTCTATTAAATTAGTATATCCCAGATTGAGGCAGACAAGTTTCTCACATTTGGAAATGCACAACTTTTGCAGGTTTCTCCTACAATTCCTGTACTTCTAAACTTGATATGTCTACCACAGGAAGAACAGTTAGTATTAAAGAGCAAGAAAGACTGTTGATGATGGACAAGCCTGCAATCTTATACAATATCTCAGGCAATCTGATCAAATGTGCTGGAAATGGTTAGATCTTGCACCAAAGTTTAAATTCAATCTCACTGGATAACAATAGCCTCAATTTAGAATTATTTGTTATTCTAACTTCTTTAGCTCACTCTTGACAAGACTGAGCATTTCCTGCTTGGCTCCTCTACAGTGCCTTCTCATCTCAAGTGCTGATTGTCTCAGCCTCCATGCATGCTCACTCCACATGAAGCTGACATGGAATCTTCCTGTCTTGTTAAATCCCCAACTCTCCATCAAATCCACATCTAGGCTCACTCACTCTGCTTTCCCTCACCGCCTGCCTCTACCGCCACCTCTCTCCTCAAGTTTCTAAGATCTTCACTCATGCGGTTATCCCCTCCAGCCTCAATTACTCCAATACTCTGATCTCCGAACTCTCTACTTCCTCCCTACAGAAACTGCAAGACCGTCCACAATTCTGCAGCCTATGCCCTCACCTGCACCAGGCTCTGCATACCCATCACTTTAATCCGTGCTCCCCTCCACTGGTTCCCCATTCCCCCAGCAGATTGAATTCAGTATAACTGATACTAATACCAAGCTTCAAATCATTAAATGAAATTCACCTCGCAAAGATTTCTTCTGGTGAATGTTTACTCAACGTTTCTTCATTCTGCTCCTCTGCTGGTGACACCTGGTTTCCTCTTTCTCTCAACCTATTGATATTCTGAGAGGAAATAAAATACGGGGACAAGGAAAGCTCTTGGACTCGGGACAGGACAATATCCTCAGTGGACTGAGAGATCAGCACTCGCAGGATGGCAAGAATGCCTGAAATCCAAAGCTGAACTGTTCCCACTGAGATCTGTAAGAAAAGAGGTTTCCAAGTATAGAATTTATTTTTTTACATTGATTCCCATAGTTATTGCTGGAAGCTGTTGTAAGTTTCAGACTGTTAACGTGGCCAGTCCAGTCCAATTTTCAATCAATGGGCATTTCAGGGCATTTCAACCATCACTGAGAATGAAGATTTTGTGTGGGGGGAGGGGCATTTCACGCATTTTGTAAACTTTATTGGATTCAACTTCCTGAAATTTACAATTGAGGAATGGAATGACTACAAACTGATCCAATCACTTGTCTGAATTTTTTTTAAATACTTTGAAAATGGTTCAGTGCTCTGTGGATGTGAAAGCAACTCTTTGAGGTTAAGTTAGAATGGAGTTGATCCTTTGTGGCAGGTCAGTGGTCTGGTTCCTGAGTGAGGCCGGTCTGTAATCAGGGCACTGTTGATGAGTGACCTGCCAGTTTGGAACGAATACTGCATAATCCCTATTGTGTTAAAATGCTTTTAAACATATCTAGAAACCATTGAATCAGAAATTTATCACAGAAGATGACCATTCAGCTTTTCGTGTTTGTGCTAGTACTTTGGAAAAGCAATCCATTCAATTCCAATTACTGTACCTGCTCATAATTATTCAATTTTAGATATCTATCTGGTTCACTTTTGAAATCTAATAAGGATTGTGCCTTGACCACTGCAGGGGCAGGACATTACACATCCAAACATCTCTGTATATAAAACAATCTTAACTTCCCCCTTTGCTCCCTTGCTAACTGACTTAATTTGATGCCATCGAGTCACTGATTCACTGCCAATGGAAAAATTTTTCCCCATCTATCTCCCTACTTTATCAAAATCTTCATACTTTCTCTATCAGGTATCCCCTAAACCTTCTCTTTTACAATGAAAATAAGCCCAGATAACCTACTGATCCCTGGTGTCACCCCAGTAAATCTCCTCTGTACCCTTTCTAGGGTCCCAATATTCTTCCTAAAGTTGGGTGACCAAAACAGGACAATCTAACTGTAGTCTGATAAACAATTTCTACTTCATGAAAATTAACCCTGAACAATAAAGAAACAATTTTCAAATTGGCTACTTTGGGAAGTAGACTTACCAGAGTCGCAGGCATAACAAACATGCTCTTCAGCAACATGTCAACTGGTCGCAGGGAAGATGGCGCCACCGTCTCGAATAGAGTATTTAATACTCCCAAAGCTTCATGTGAATCAAGGTACATCTACCAAAACCGTAGGAAAACAATGGTGTGTATCAATTTATCCTTTGCTTCCACAAGATGTAAAATTAACTTTGTTTTTCTACACAAACTCATATGAAAGCTTTTCTCTGATGGTTTAGTGAGTAGAGGAACTGTCCGAAGCAGCACTTATTTATATATTATTTATTGCTATTTTGAGTCTGTACTGAGTTAGCCAATTTTAACTGTTGGAAATGTTGGGGTGCTACAATTGCACTTAGCACCCCCAAGTTAGGAAAGGGAAAGCTAGGGTTTCCAGCTGATCACTAACTACAGACCCAAGCTGGAAGATCACTTTGATGTCCCCCATGGAAAAGTAGCTTGTGAACATTCAGTGTTAAGACTTACACACCAACAATAACCATTTGGGCTAGGTGCCCTAGGATGCTACATGCTTGTAGAAGTACTTGACAGCAGGCAAAATAAAGTCCAAATATTGTCAGAAGAGGAGAACATTTTGATGAAAACAAATTAATAATCCTTGCATTTGATGGTGTTTTTCATGTTGGGAGGATGTCTCAAAGCACTCAAAAGGATTTACTGTAAAGTGTAGTGACTGTATTTTTTAGGTGAACAAATCAGGCAATTTGCATGTCCTACAAACAGCATGGAGTGAATGACCAGGGTTAGAACATTAGGAGAATCTCCCTTCTCTTTTTGAATAGTTCCAGAGGATCTTTACTATCCACCTGAACAGATAAGACTTTAATAAAGATAACACTTTAATGTCTTATCCGATGGATGGGCTCATGCATTTCATCACTGTCACTCACTGAGTTTTCTAATAGCTACAAAACAGATTCACAAGAATCTGGAACCTGAAATACATACCCATTTACAATTCAATTAAAAAAGTGATTTGTTCATTAATAGATCTACCTGTTGTTTAGCAAGCAATGGTAGTATCATATCAGCTATCTGACGTGAAAGGCGTTTCCACTTATCCTCATTCTCTTTGTGGCACTGTTGGAGCACCAGTATCAACATCTCTAACACCTGAAAAGAAGGAATAGCAATTATAATTATTACACAATACAAAACTTTTCATCAACATTTGTGACAAATTGGTTGTCATACTAAAGAATAAAACTTTTCCACCCTGTGTCACCTACATCACAGCGTAGACAATATGCATCCCACAGCTCTGGCTGAATCATTACAATAATACCTCAACCTTACAAGAACATCATGGACATAAACTTGTTTTACTCTGGTCAGTTAGGTGTCTGACACATGAATCACCATGCTTAAGAGTATCCAACCAGATAAGAGTTTCACATATGCATTCCACCTATGCAAGGAAATGTTCCTGCATCTGGAGCAGAATATGCATTCACTCCCTGAAGGGATGGCAACCTGCTACTAATTCCAGAATGTATTAGGTACATCTTAGCAAAAACCAAGATTTGAGACTCTAGAGTATGCGGTGATATAAAACATTTACGTTAGGTTGAGAATGGACTGTAGCTGACTGTTGCCTTTCTAAAATATTTATAATGTTCTACTTTCCTTTTGATCAAATTCATTTATCAAGTGTTACTTCTGTAATTGTTTAAAAGCCTAATCTGTGTTGTCTTCATATCAGCTGAATAAAATTGCTTGTCTGAGAGAAGTACTTTAGTATTTAGATTCTGACAATAGCTTGATCATCGGTTAGAATAAGCGAGGATCTTTTGATTGGGGTCGTCCATTCTCTTGACGAAGTAAGGGCTGGTGCTCATTACAGTTCACAATGGAAAGGCTGAGTCCAATTCAGAACAAAGGACCTATTTATTCTGTCCAAGAACAAACAGGATAGTCGGCTTGTGCTATTTGTTGAAGTGAAGATAGAAAGGACTGTATTGTTCATCTTATGTTTTGTTTGTGGGATCCTCAGCTGTGTGCGCAAAATAAAGAAGTGCTTTGAAGCACCTTTTGTCCGCTTAAGTTCTGCATTGCTATAAAAAATAATTGAACGACACATCAATGATGGTTGGCTTCCTACACTAAAAATGGTTGACTTCAGGGTCACCAGCTCACCGCAGTCATTTCTGGCATGCTACACATGCAAAAAGAAAGCTACTAACCCTGCAAAACACAACCTAAACTACTTGCATTAGCAGACTAGGTTGCACATTCTCACAATGAACAACTAAACCTACTTCCATGAGCAGATTAGGTTGTGCATTGATGTGACATTTATTTAACAGGTAAGTTATTATTCAGCTTATCTTGGATTTCTAACTTTTTTATCTTGAATAAAATGATCTTCCCCAAATTATTCTGGCTCACTACAAGCAGCATAGATAATTATTGCTGGAAACTGGAATGAGTGAATACAATTAAAAAAATAAACTGAAGTTTTTTTTTAATATCTAAAAACGCTCACCTACAAAATAGAGTCACTACACTTCATAGTACAATCCTGTGAAGCGCTTTGAGACTTCCTCCTGATTTGAAAATCACCATGTAAAATGCAGATTATTTTTTAACCCCAATAATAGTCTCATTGAATTAAAAACAGATTGGTCAATTGGGAGAGCAATTTTAATTAGGACAGATCGGGGTACAAACTCTTGGGTACTGTAAAATTCCACTCATTATTATAATAATCCTTGCTTTTGATATAATAATATAATAATAATAATAATCCTTGCATTTGATATAGCGCTTTTCACCTCGGGAGGACATCCCAAAGCGCTTCACAGAACACACTGTAAAGTGAATTGACTGTATATTTGTGGGCGAACTGTATATAGTGCGATAAGGCGATATAGTGCCTTATCATGATGTTGAGATTTCTCAAAGCACAGAATATACTGTAAAGTAAATTGACTATATATTTTGTAAGTATATATATATATACTTACTGCTAGGTAATCAGATGCGTGTGGAGTAAGGAAACTTGCCTAAGGTTTTTCCCTGCCCGAGAACTGAACCAGGATCCTCTCGCTTTCATGGAGAGTCTTCTAACCAATACACTACAGGACCTCACAACTCAAAATTCCTCAAAGCGCTTCACAGGATTTTAGTGTGTCGTTGCAGACAAATGTGACAGCCAATTTGTACATTAGCAACATCTCACAAAAAGCCATAAAGTGAATGACCAATTTTATCTGAGGATTGTTAGCCAGGTCACCGGGAGGAACTCACGTCTCTTTCTGAATAGTGCTATGGGATCTTTAATGATAAGATGCTGTTTAACATTCTGACATTACGATGACACATTCCAGAGTTAAGCCCTCGAACTTCACAGTCTAGCACTGGAAAGAAGAATGTAACACAGATTGCATCATATACCTGGTGGTACTGGATGAGTCTCAACAACATAGAAACCACCACTTCCTTCTGTGTGTCCAGCTCCTTGCCTGCATCAGCTTTATTTGTTCCTCGTAGAACAAACAGATCATGGACTATAGGTTGTAGTGCTGGGATTGCTATGGCAAAGTAAAAGGAACATTACCCAGTAGAATTTGTAGTTTAACAAGTTTGCTAGTTCCTTTAATTACTTAAATGCTGCTATATCATTAAATCAGATGTGCAAAATCTTGACTTAAACATCAACCTTGCTTTGCTCACAAAATAGTTACTATTTTTGACTGTAATTCCGTAAAATATTTTAAGATTTCTAGATATAAGATGCAATAGCAAAACAAGTTTATTTTTTTCTTTTGACATATATGAGACAGAGTATCAAGCAGAGATAAGAGAATTAAAGTTGTGGGGAAAAGCACAGACAAAAGATTATGCTTTAAGAGGGTTTTGCAGGGAGGGAGTAAGTAAAGCAGTGGGGTTTTGGAAGAGCATTGCAGAGGCATAGGGGCTGAATGCTCAATCACTAATAGTGAGGTAGAGTGAAGAATGAATAACAGAATAATCCTAGTTAGCGAATACTTTGTTGGCTGAATAGTCAGCTGCTTAATTTAAGATTGAGATAAGAGACGCATTTGGGCATTTGCTCCTTTTATGCTTATCCATACTGAAATATGTTTCCCAGCCTTATTCTTATTCATTATTGCATTAAAAAACCATAACATTAATTCATTACTCTTTACTCTTGCATTTATAAAGGTGTAAAAAATGTTTCAAATGAAAACAGAGAAGCAATTATTTTCGTGATGAACTGATTTAAAAATGAACTCGGATACATCCACAATAAAATTTGAAGAGTTTACATTCTTTTGCAGAAACCTAAAATACTTTATCAGCAACAACTGAATACTTTAGAATTATTTTGAATTTTTTCCCTTTGCTATCAATACTTGTGACTGAAGAATTTAGAATAGTTATGCAACAATAAGATAAAGCATAATCAGAGTGCACTTCATTACCATGTGTTACAGCTTTCCGGCCACTGGCCATGATTCCATCACACAGCTGAATAATTTTGGGAATTCCAATAATCGGCTTGGAATGATAGCGTTCGTATGACAGCAACACCAAGAAGAAAAAAATGTTGGGAATGATCATCTCCGACTCCCTGTTAAATAAGTGACACAGTAGATTTCAGTAGATTTCATCGCTCACAAATGGAACCTTTCGATAAGGATTTGGGCTCATTTTGGACGTAGGTGGGAATGTTTTCAAAACCTTCTAAATTCAATATTTAATGAATATGGAATTTCAGGGCATCAACTGCAGATTATCTAACAATATACACATTGGATTGATGTAGAATTATTTTAATCCAGTCATATGAATGCACTCACTCATCAAGAGCATGGAGGTTCTTTACTGATAGCTGCTGCTGGCACACAACACATCAAAACCACATAAAGATTTCATGTAAAACCACAATAAGTCCTTTTTTACGTCAGCTATGTTAAAAGGTTAAAAATCCAATCAGACAACCGTTTCAAACTTTTTCAGATCTGCTCTTAACACTGAGAGTATCTGAATCCCTTGATTAGATTCAAAGTTTCTTACTCATGATAGTTTACGTTTTTATGCTGAGGTTATATTGGTGTTTTTAAGCACTCACCTGAACTGGCCAACCTCTATGTATTCAAACTGCTTCAGAACAAACCCAATGAACACCTAAACAGGAAGATGAATAAATATATCAGAAAATGCTCTTCAGTTATAATTTTTTCACTTTGTTGTAACATGGCATCAGAGATATTTGACCCAGACAACATATAGTGGGATTGCAAAGCATTACAGAACTGAAGGCTAATGTATCCTCCTAGTGATGGAACACCAAATCTTCTCAGGTCATTATCACTTGTTAAATCGGTTCTAGGGTACAGTTGGCTTAACAAAAATGACCTTTTCAGAAGCTACATTATCTGCAGCTGGCCAGTCGTACCAAATGATTATTTATGTTGAATGAAATGTCACTCACTGCAACTTTTAAGTTTTAACCATTCGGGGAAACTTTCCCGCAGAAACCAAAAAAATTGAAATACATAATCCTAATTCTTGAATCTGTTAATAAATTGGAACAGATCAGCCGCCCATTCTCAGTGGGACAAGGATGTATGCCGTGGGGAGGGGAGGTGAAAAATGTAGCCATTCCTTTCCCTTCACTTCTTTAAAGTCATTCTTTTATGGACTGAAGATATTTTCACTGATACGCAATTAATTTAAATCCTGAATCTTCTGACCATCCACCACCCTCTGACAAATAGGAACATTAAAAAAATCTACTTTGCCAATTTACATTTCATCTCATCGCAAAGCAAGAACAAACCTGGTCCGAATCAAGTAGACAGTAGTTCACTCTGAGCTGCACAAGTTGGGCCAACAGGTCAAGCACTTGTCTCTGCAGAAATACTGAGGTGGTTGTTGTGTACTGCTTTAAAGCCTTAATAACCAGTGGTTCGAAGAGCCGGATATAGTTGTGTATCATATTCTAAGTAAAAACACAAAACAATTTAAACATTTAATATTACCACAGCTAAACAATCCATTTCTAATCCATCTCAAGGCAGGATTGTAATACTACAATGAGGCAGGTTAGAATTTTGCATTTATAATAATCCGTGCCTGTAGCTCAGTGGTTAGAGCACTCGCTTTGCAAGTGAGAGACCTGAGTTCAATTCCAGGCAGAGGGCGAAACTTTGGGCAAGTTTCCTTACTCCACACGCCTAATAATAACCCCTCCAAAAAACAAAAGCAATAATAAATTGGTCATTTTCAATCCACGACTGTTTGTGGGACATTGCTGTGCGCAATTGGCTGCCGCGTTCACCCACAAATATACAGTCAATTCACTTTACAGTGAGTTCTGTGAAGCGCTTTGGGACGTCCTCCTGACGTGAAAAGCGCTATATCAAATGCCAGGATTATTATTATTATAACGCCTTATCACGATGGAAGGACATCTCAAAGCACTTTACAGGAATTCTGTGAAATGGAGTGACTGTGTATTTGTAGGCACACGCAGCACAGCAATGTCTCACAAACAGCTGTGGAGTGAGTGACCAATTTTATTTGGAGGAATTGTTGGCCAGGACACCAGGAGAAAATCCCTTCTCTTTTCGAATTGTACCATGGAATCTTCAACATCCAACTGACTCATTAATTAGAAACAAATACCATTATTATTTTCTTGACTTAAGGCGTTAGTGACTAGTCACGGCATATTTTCATTTAGTCATCCAGAAAAGCAAAGTACCAGTGGGCATTTTGAGTCTGCAATGATCATTCAAATTACCTTTTCATTGCTCGTCCTTAATGCATGGAATCCCCAGAAGCAATGCTTATAAGTGACAAACATTTTTCAGGGAAACAAATTGAGCTCTATTCAGCAGGCTATATTTACATAGCGGATTGGACTAGGGAGTTCCCAGAAGTTATGATGTATTACATCAACACTTCCTAAAGGGAAATCACAGTCCTGTGATTTTGCCTGGCAGGATACAGCAATCAAGCCAGCAACAGCTGGAGACACCAGTGAAGTATGGCTAAGAACTGGTGCTGTTTTACTGCCTCCTCTTAAAGCTATGATGAGGAACCAACAAGGACCAAATGTTAACAGACAATTTACTTTTTTGGTCAGCCAGGTGTCTGAAACATGAGAAAAACCATCATCATGCTTAAGAGTATCCAAAGCAAACAGAATTGCATGCATACACATGGAAGTTCCAGAAATAAGATTGTTCACAAACGAGCATATCACAATTTAAATTAACTGTTTTTCAACAAAAAAACGATTTTAAATGAAGGGATAAACACCTTGTCAGCTCGATGTCTCGTGACATTTGTCATATTGCATTTCAGCTGCGTTGAAACCTTCTGTAGCACATCAAACCACCTGGGAGGAAAATAACCAAAATCTTCACTTTAAAACAGGATTTTTATATGTACATTTTTAATACTTTTTTAAAATAATTCAACTGCACAAAACATTAGCATTTTCTCTTGTACTTTTTTTTACAGTAATAAGTTGAATGATTCAGGCACAATTTTTTCTTTATTTTTGCAGCATATAATTATACTTTTTTTTGTTGCTTTGGTGGTTTATATTTTATATAGATACACTTGCTTCAAAAAATAGTTCAAAGTGCTTAATTAACTTGAAATGTTTTAGTGTAATTCAACAGAATGATCGCATTACACAGCAAATCAGAATTTCTTTTTTAACTACAAATAAACCTATGCTTTCTAGGAATAAATGTAATTCTTCTGTTGACAGTGCACTGACTTCCAAATGTAATATTTACGTCCACACTCTGTATAGCACAAACAAATCTGGGTCTGCGTGTAAATGCCTTACCCTGATGTGTCTTGTTCAGGCTCAGCTTGGACCATGTTCCTCAGACTAGCATCAGCAAGTGCCTGAGTGAAATGAGTGTAGGGCGCCATGAAGCAGTAGTGATACAGTCCCGGTCTCAGGTTAGAGGAGCCAAGACGCTGCACCTTGCCTTGAGATTTACTGGGGTTGGATGAGCAGCTGTCATACTGAGATGCTAGGTTTGTTCCAAAAAGAGTCTTCAATAGCTAGAGTTCAAAGAATGTTTAGTATTGAGCACATTAGGTGAGAAAATGATTTTAAAAACATTTAACAAAATAATCAAGACAATCACAAATAGTGTGTAGGGGTAGAAGGAGAAGTATATATAGTATCTCCTTTTTTCTAATTCTTTCTACCATTTTGGTTTCTTATTTACACTCTTCATGCCTCACATTTTGTTCTTGCTCCTCTTTTTACCTTGTTCCTCTTTTTACCTTGTTCCTCTTTTTACCTTGTTCCTCAGTGAGCAATCAATACCTAACTGATACTTTCTCAATGCTTTCCAGCTCCAGTTCTCTGGTTATTATCCTTCTCATTCACCTGCATCTCAGGGAAGAGACAGGAGGTGACACAGTGGCACTGGCCACTTCAGTTAACTGAACGGAAAACCTCAAGACAAAATTTTAATACAGTGGAGATTCAATCGGTTTTAGAAACTAAAGTGTAGAGAAATGCTACTGAAATGTTGAATGTTGCTAATGGGTAAATAGTGACTTTCTTTTCTTTTGAATTTCGAGTGGTTAGTGCGTATGATTGAGGCTGCTGGTGGCTTTATGACTGCTGGGCAGGATTATGACAGCTTCCGACACCTCCATTGGTGTACACCATTTGCCTCCATCATTTGGGGAGACCATAATAGGTATTATAATTAGAGTAGCTACAACATTATTAAAATGGTTGCAATCCAGGCATTTTCTTCCCAGACATTTCTATCTATTTATAATTTTGATGCTAAGTATTCTCAATTGCATTTATTTGTATGGGGAAACTTACTAATTTCAACAAATCTATCTGGAGATGTGTAACATAGCTGCAAGCTGTAGTAGCTGTAACTAGGTAGATTTTTTGTTAAATAGATGGAAGCATCACTTCTGGGGAGTCACATATTGATTTGAATGCAATAGTATTTTTCATGCAACCCAATCATATACTTATGTACTTCATCTAAGACTCTTAACCTGTTACTACTTACCTGCTGTACGCAAATTATGACTGCCATAGGCTCTCTGCTAAAACAGGACTTTAGGTAGCCAAGGATTTCTTCCACGCACTGTGAAGAGGTTGTTAAAAACAATACGTTATCCTACTGGTTCCCACAAGCAGAATGTTTCTAATTAATTCTTTTTAAAGAGAGTGCTCGTGCAAGTTTCTTCCATGAAAGGAATCAGCACAATTAAATACTTAAGAAAATCATAAATATGGAAAACCAACCACAATACATATCAAAATTTTCTTAGGTTACTGTTCACCGTATACATAAAATGATTTAGATTCAGGTATAGGAAATGTGGTGTCAAAATTTGCAGTTGACATCAAACAGAAGCTATGCTTAATTGTGAAGGGGACTGCAGAAGAATGAAGGAAGGCATAAACAGGTGAGCAGAATGGGCAGACAGATGGCAAATGAAGTTCAATGTAGACAAATGCAAAGTAATTCACTTCAGCAGGAAAAATAAAAAATCCATCTAAAGTTTTGATGGTATGAACCTAAGAGGAATAGAGGCGCAAAGCGATCTGAGGTTTCAGATTCACAAATCTCAAAATGTAACGGCACATAAGACTTTAAAAAGGCCAGTGGGATTGTCGGCTTTATATCTTGAATGCTAGAGTATAAAAGGAAGTGATGTTGAATTGCTGCAAAACCTTGGTGAGACCATATTCAGCACTATATCCAATTCTGGTCTCCACACTATAAGGATAAAGCAGTGATGGAAAGAGTGCGACATAGGATGATACCAAGGCTGGCAGATTACTGCTATCAGGATAGGCCGGAAAGGTTAGGTCTTTTTTTTGCTACAGAAGAGACATTTAAGAGGGAACCTAACAGAGGTGTTTAAGAACATAAAAGAGTTTGATAAAGTTAGCATAAATAGGCTGTTTAGGGAGTTCAGAACCAGGAAACACAGGGAATAAGATAGCAACTAGGGGATCTAAAAGAGAATCAAGGAGGAACTACTTGACGCAGAGGGTAGTGAGATTGTGGAACTTTCACATGAGCGAGAGAACAGAATGGGTATGGGAGGGAGTAAGAAATAGATGGAAACTCATGTAGAGTATAACCACCAGCACGGACTGGTTGAATTAAGTGGCCTGTTTACGTGCTATACATTCTTTGTAAAACATACACAGCACATACCTTCCCAATGTCAGGAAGGGTTGCAATCTCTAAAAGCTGAGATAGAACATCCAAAGCGGCACGTAGAAAGTTCCCAAATTTTTCATTACTGTTTTGAAGGTCCAAGGTAACCTGAAAGAGGGAGGGAGCAAAGTTTAAGACATTATTTTATTCACAAGTTTATAACCTTTTTCAAGTGCACAATCCCTCTTTTTTCTCTTCCCTCACAAGACAGTAGCTTGCTCTCAGGCACCACCAACGGTTTCACGTTTTAAATAGAAAGTAGTTATCATCTGTTTTCCCAGAATTTGTGCATTGGTAACTGTATTTCAATAAAACTTTATAAAACACAATTCCATATTCCATCATTTATATTTGGCAAAAAATTGTCAATATTGCATTACAAAATAAGTCTGGTTTTCATTGTGACTTCAGGTGGCTGGCTGCCATATGACAAAAGGTTGTCGTTGTCCCAAAGTTACCTTGACTTGTAAACTGAATTAAGGTACATTACAGAACAGAAATAGTGTAGGTTTAGAAGGTAGCAAAGAAGCACCACCTCCAGAGCTGATCAAAATGCTATATCAACTTGTTCATTCCCTTCACTCAGCAGGCTCCGGCCTGCTTCACATCCCCTGCTCGTCCTGTCCCACCGCCAGGGGTCAAGCCTTCAGCCTCCCTGCCCCCACCCTATAGAACTCCATCCCACAGCTTTGCTCCCTCGCCTCCTTCAAGGCGCTTCTCAAAACCCTCTTCGACCGAGCCTTCGGCCACCCTCCTACCCTCCACCGATCCAGCGCCTTGGGACGTCCTCCCAACGTGAAAGGCGTTATAGAAATGTAATTTTGTATTCTATTGTATTTACCTAAATTGATTAAAATATATTAACAGATGAAAACAATTCCAAACAAAGTCAGACTCTTCTTTCCATCGCTTGTAGAAGCTTGAAGCCAGCTAAATTATAGTAATCCTAATAAGTATTTTACATATATATAATACATTGTACAATGTACAATACATTGTAAATAGGTGCCAGAGTGTTATGACACTCTTTCAGGTACATATTCAGTAACATGTTCACTGCTGTGTACCTTATAGTTTGCATAGGTAGCCTTCAAGACATCATGTAATTTCAGATATGGGGGAAGGTGGTAAAAACTACCCACGGAGGTGGACTTGCTTGTTGGCGCAGCTCCAACGGTATCTGTAGGCCGGGCAGCTAAAGCGTTACCCGAAAATAAAACAAAATACAAATTGTTAAAACTATTTTAATTTGCATCATATAGGCTGTAGGCTGGTTACTAGGTAATACCTCAAAAACTCGGAAAATAAATTTACAATACCACCTTTCTCCTTAATGAAATCATAAGAGAACCACATTGGGCCAATCTGGCCTTCCCAACTTCATGATGCTATTCACCTTCAATTAATGACACATTTTACCTTCACTGTCTCCATTGGTAGCCCCAGTACACATATTCCCAGAATATATTTTCCATCTATCGAGTGAGGTGTTAAACCTGTGCTTGACGGTAGTCAAATGATTGACTAACCACCGGGGTGGGGTTGGGGGGGGGGGGGTCGCGGGTGGAGGAGTAAGCGGGGTCGTCTGGGACTAAGGTGGTTCCAAAATGATATGCATGATTGGCAAAAGAAAGTCAGAATCAATACTGACCACCTGTGACAGTCTTGAGTTCTATCCTGAGCCAGTTGGGTCCACAGTCCTCCAAGACACCAATGACAGACAAGCCAGCCCAGCTTGACTTGGGAGGGGCAGGGATTCTTTCCACTCATCTCCCATTAATCGGACAAACTAAAGCCCCCAAACAGACGGTGTACTCCTAGCTGAACAAGCAGCAGGAAACTCAATGGTAAACTAAGCACTTTACCTGGCTTAATCCCAGCAATACGCAATGCACATTCTGGGGTCCCTAAACCTTGGTTCTTGCTAACCGGAACCTACTTTTCAGAATTAGGTAAGTAGGATGCGTTTATCCAGAAAGTGTGTGCTCCATTCCAGACATGGAAATTTACATGCATAGATGGCATAGAGGAACTCTGTCTGGTTTGGATACTCTAGAGGATGGGTTGGGTTTCCTCATGTGTCAGACGCCTGGCTGACCGCCAAAGAAAAATTACATATGTTTACCGTGGAAATAAGTAAATTTGACCCATTTGCCCTACCACACATGAGATTTGGAGTCAGTGATCTATTCGTCTCTTGTTTGATCTCTTGAACATGTTGGTGTCAACATAGCAATACTTTAATATTTATTGTATTGTTATTTGCAAATATTTCAGAGGTAGAGCCTCTTTTCTCTTTCTCTTGCCCCCAAAACCCAGTTTTAGTGGCCACATCCATGAATAAAGGTCTGCAAGGTCAAACATTTTCACCGCTCAGCATTCAAGCAGGATTGTGACTTTCTACTAAACAATTAAACCTCATTGGGAGGCAGTATCCTGCTAACCAAATGTAGAATGCAATGTCAGATATCGATACTCAAACATCAATAGTGGATCACTTCCAGCACATCCAGGGTACTCTATCTTTTAACCAGGGCCTGACTGATCTCACCTATTAATAGGGTGGGTGAGCAGTAAGCATATGCCTCTTACCTTGATTGGATTCAGTTATCTTCTTTGGACTCATTGGTGCAGTTGTCTGCTCCACTGACTCTCTCTCTTTTCCTTTGCGCCTGATTGGGCTGAGGGATGGGGTGTTCGCAAGTGAAGGCAGAGTTGCCTGTGAAACCAAACACATGCAGCAGAACATTATGGCATTTGCTCATGAGTTTCATCAGGAAAAACAAAATCAGGTTTACTCTTCTACCATCTGCCTACTTGATATATTAGAAATGGACTGAGCATCTAAATTTAATTGCACTTATACATAAGTATTTAAATATCATAATAATAATACTTGGCATTTAACGCCTTTTCATGTCGTTGAAACGTCTCAAAGAGCTTCACAGAATATACTGTAAAGTGAATTGACTGTATATTTTATGGACGAACTTTAGCATTGCTTTACAACCTGAATACCTGTGGCCTGTTATTTTTTTTTAAAAAAGAACATAGGACAACAGAAACCATATCTGACACCCACTTTCAATTGTAAGCAATAACTCAAAATAACTAGTCACCGAGATGTGCACAAGAGCAGCAATGACAATTTACCTCAGTTTTCTCTGCTCCCTATTGGGAAATATCTGGGGTGTAACAGTGTGGCTAAGATCAGAAAATTCTCCGCATTGGGGGAAAAAAATTCAGGGACATAAAACTGTCTTGCCATTTAGTGCATTGGGCTCAATCCCCCTTCATCCAGTTTTAGCTATCTAATTGCAAAAAGATAGCTAAAACTAAAACCCAGTAAAGATTTACTAGGACGATACCAGGAATGAGTTATGAAAAGACTTGAAAAACTGCAATTGTTTTCACTGGAACTAAAAAGAGAGGGATAATCTAACGTTTTGCAAAATTATAAATGGTTTTGAGAGAGAGATTTCCACTGCCGGTATCAAAAAGGTATATATTGAAGATTGCAACCAGTAAAAAAAAGCACGCAGTTACACAATTTTGTCTTGTTTGCACACAGAGGGTGGTGGAATATAGAACATTCTTACCGCAAATAGCAGTTGAAGCTGCTGAGTCCAAAACAAACACTTCAAAGGTAATTGGATAAATAATTCAGAAAAATTATTCAAGGGAAGAAGGAAAGAACAGGGGAATGAGATTTGAATAGACGGCTCCAGTTGAGGAAGCGAGTAAAAAAGCAGACATAACTGGTAGAATGGCTTCCTTCTGCACTGTGAGTTGGGTAGCTCTTTCAAAAAGCCGGCACAGGCACGATGGGCCGAATGGTCTCATTCTGTGCTGTAAGATTCTATGATTCTCTTCTATACTGCAAACTTTCTAGGATTCTGTGATCTTTACTTTCAAATTGAAATGAATAAATACGAAAGTTATTCACATACCTTGAGAGCTGGGCCAGGTGCAACATCATCAATCACATGCGCACAGATATTTATGACCTTCATCAAATGGGAGAAGAGCTGTTCCACCATGCCTACCAGGGTCCTGTCAGCCAAAGCAGGCCATGGCTCCTCCTGCTTGTTGGACACACCGGTATCATCTTCAGTGCCCCAGGGATTCTTCAAAGATTTTGGTGCGATGGCTATCAAGTATTCCAAAAAAAAAGTTTTTTGGTTTTTTGCTTCTGCACAATGACAAAACTGCAACTATTCTTTAAAGGTAGCCCATTTCAAAGTGGTAGTCTTGATGATTCTCAAGTTAATAATAAGGTAGGTCCTGGAAATGAAAAGACTTCAGTGTTCATAAGATCACTAGATTTGTGGATCTGGCTCAGGAAATGGTCAACCTAGACTGCCAGAGGAATTACCCAATTCCAACACTCCATTGTCAAGCATGTCACCCTGGAGTCAGCTCTTACTTTCCTCTTCCCCAGACTCCCATTACAGCATCAAGGTATTTTTGTTAATGAGTCCAATATCCTGCCCTCAACCACGTGGTTGTAAGATGATGAGATAGATGCAAGGAATTCAAAGGAATTGGGAAGTTGGATGTATAGATTAGATAAACTAATGGTCTGTCTACTCCTGATACTATAACCACACAAATGTTACGTTCCTATGCAAGAACTGTAAAACAATATTATATTCACATTTATGTAGTGACTTTCATGTTAGGATGACGTCACAAAGGACTTTACACAGCTGACTGGGAAGGCAAATTGAGGGTGGATGGGGGTGCAATAAAGAAAAGACAACTGGCTGAAAAGACTGTCTAAACAATCATGCCTCATTCAACAGTCGTGGTCTCTTCGATGAAAACAAAAAACAAGACAACTTTGTTTTCTGAAGGTATGCAGGACAGAATGGTAGTACCAACAAATAGTGAGAAAGTGGGCTCACTGAGATGCAATGCAATAAATCAGCCAATTCCTCAAATGCATCCTTTACATACTTGTAAACTGTTTGAGTTCAAACAGAGGCGTTTCTCAACATTTTGCATAATGAAAACAGTTTAATGCAAAATTAAACATTTTGCTTATATTTCCTCTATACAACTTTGCACTTACCAGACAGTAAATTTCCAGATAATATTAAGGCATCTTGATGGGAAGAAAGGTCCAAAGGAAACCAGGCTGATGAAAGCAGAGAAAGTATCATATTGACCATTCCCACAGTACAGCCCTTTCGAGAGTCATCTGTTGGACTGTTTTGTGATACGCTGAAAGCAAAACAGTGCATTAATAAACCTCACAGTGAATTAACAATGGATTTTAAATACTTCACACAAATATTTAAAGATTAAATATATTCTCTCAAAAAGTATTAATACGGGGAGAGGCGGCAGGACAGCGTGGGGAGGAGCCTGGGCCTCCTACCCAGGTATTTAAGCACGAGGCGGCAGGGAGTGCAGCTAGCGGGGCTGATGAGGGAACGGGTGGGGGCGGAACGGGGGAACCACTGACGTCATAGTTTAGTTTTCAGAAGTGTGCGCACGCAACAAAAAAAAAACCTCTGCGCCCCCCCCAGGGCTCACATCAGAGCCCACCATGGTCCTGTTGGGTTGGCTGCCCCAGCCTATGGGATAATACCATCCACCTGACCGCTCGCTCCCGGTCCCCGCATGCGCACTATGGCTGCCGCTTTGACCCGAGCCATCTCACCCCCTCTTTCCTGTCTACCCCCAAAACCCTCCCCCCTCTGCATCTCTCTCACTCTGTCCTCCTCTCTCTCCGTCCCTCTCGTCTTCTATCCCCACTTGACCCTCCCACAACCTCCCTCTGTTCCAGCCTGGGAATCCTCCGCCGGGCTCACCGCGGCACTCGGTGTTGGCTGTCCAGCAGCAGCCACACCGACTGCCCCATTCCCCACCACACTCGCCAGCCACCCCGGACACAGACCCGGGGAGTCAACCTCTCCTCCCTCATCCCCATTCCCCCACCCCTGCCTCACAACCTGGACCCCCTCCCCTCCCACACACCCTTCTGTCAACCGCTCCCTCCACATCGGACTGCAAAATGTCCGCTCCCTGTGCAACAAGGCCCTGGTCATCAACGATCTCATCCTTGATGAGAGCGTTGACATCATGGCCTTAACAGAAACCTGGCTCACCCCAGGCGACACCTTCCCCTCACGGAGGCCACACCACCCGGCTACACCTCCCACCACATCCCTCGCCCCAACCGCCGTGGCGGTGGTGTTGCCCTTATCTCAAGGACACCTCTTGCCCTATCCCCCTACTCTTCTGGCTCTTTCCCCTCTTTCGATCACCTCACCCTCTCCCACCCCTCCTTTCTCTCACTCAAAATCCTCCTCCTCTACCGGCCCCCTAAAACCTCTCCCACCTTCAACTCCGATATTTCTACACTTCTTACATCTCTCTGCCTCTACGCTGATCGCCTCATCATTCTGGGCGACTTCAACCTGCACTTCACCCCCTCCTGCTCCATCTCCTCAGACTTCTCTTCCCTGCTCTCCTCACTCAACCTCTCCCTCCACATCAACTCCCCCACTCACAGTCACGGCCACCCACTCGACTTGGTGATCACCCGGGGCCTCAGTGTCTCGGATGTCACTATCACCGACAAGGCCATCTCCGACCACCACTTCATCTCCTTCACCACCTCCATCCCCCTCCCCACCTCCACCAGACCCACCACCATCTTCTACCGCCCTTGGAAGAAGTTACCCCCACAATCCCTAACCGCTGCCTTGGAGTCCTCTGAACTCCTCTCCCTCTGGCCTTCAACCCTCACTGACCCCTCTTCTCCTCTCACCCTCCTCCACAACACCCTCTCCTCCACACTCGATACTCTTGCCCCCATCACCTCCCGTACTGTCTCCTACTCTCGCTCCTCCCCCTGGTTCACCACCCACCTCCGCTCACTGAAGAGCCAGGTGTGGGCCGCTGAACGCACCTGCGTCAAATCTGGCCTAACGGTCCACCGACAAATCTGGCTGGACCTCCTCAAAATCTACCGCTCCACTCTAGCCTCGGCCAAGTCGTCCTTCTACTCCAGGATAATCCTGGAGGCGAAGAACAACCCCAGGCTACTGTTTTCTACCACATCCCGACTCCTCCGTCCCCCCCGCCACCCCGCGCAGGTCATCTCCTCCAACCTTCACTGCGAGGAGATGCTGGATTTCCTTGAATCCAAAATCAAGGGAATTCGCTCCGCGGTCACTTCCCCTCCAACATCCACCCACCCCCACCCCCGCCCTCCCACACTCCGACTCCTACCCATCCACCCCTACACACTTTCGTACCCGTTTCCCCACCCTCTGTCACCAAACTCATCCTATCCCTGAAACCCACCACCTGCTCCCTTGACCCCATCCCCACTCCACTCCTTATCTCCCAGCTCCACCTCCTTGCCCCACATATCACAGACATCGTCAACCTGTCCCTCTCCTCTGGCTCTGTTCCCATTCCCTTAAAAACTGCCACCATCACTCCCACCTTGAAAAAACCCTCCCTTGATGCGTCGCAGCTATCAAGCTACCGGCCCATCTCCAACCTCCCCTTCCTGTCCAAGGTCCTGGAACGAGTTGTCGCCTCCCAGCTGCGCTCTTTCCTCTCCACCCATTCATTATTCGAACCCCTTCAGTCGGGTTTCCGTGCTGCCCATAGCACAGAAACTGCCCTGGTCAAGGTCACCAATGATATCCTGACCATCTGTGACCTATCGGCAGCATTCGATACGGTCGACCACGCTATCCTCCTCCACCGCTTGTCCTCCCACCTCAACCTTCAAGGCCCTGTCCTTGAGTGGTTTAGGTCGTACCTTTCCCACCGTCTTCACTTTGTCTCCACGAATGGTTTTTCCTCCGGCCCCCGCACTGTCTCGTGCGGTGTCCCTCAGGGCTCTGTCCTCGGTCCCCTCCTCTTCACCCTCTATATGCTCCCCCTTGGTGACATCATCCGCAGACATGGAGTTAACTTCCACATGTATGCGGATGACACCCAACTCTACCTTTCCTCCTCTACCCTCAACTCCACGACCACCGATGTCCTGACAGCTGCCTGTCCGACATCGAGTCCTGGACGAGAGACAACTTTCTTCAGCTCAACGTGAGTAAAACTGAGGCCCTCCTGATTGGCTCACGTCAGCGCCTCCGCACCTCAGGCGCTGACACCATCAGCATCCAAGGCTGCACTCTCCACCTCTCAAAGCCAGTCAGGAACCTCGGGGTTCTGTTCGACCCTGAGCTGTCCTTTCTCCCTCATATCCGCGCCACAACTGGCACCGCCTTCCATCACCTCCGGAATATCGCCAGACTACGGCACTACCTCACCCCTCACGCTGCTGAAACCCTGGTCCACGCCTTTGTCACCTCAAGGCTGGACTATGGGAACTCTCTCCTCGCCGGCCTTCCCGCCACCTCCCTCCACAAGCTGCAGGTCATTCAGAACTCTGCAGCTCGTGTACTGTCCCGCACCAGGCTTCGGGACCACATCACTCCCACCCTCGCTCGCCTCCACTGGCTCCCCATCCCCCAGAGGATCGAATTCAAGATCCTCATCCTCACCTACAAGGCCATTCACGGCCTTGCTCCCTCCTACCTCTCTGACCTACTATCCCCCTACCTACCTGCCCGTACCCTCCGTTCCTCTGGCTCCGGTCTGCTCCACATCCCCCGCCCCAACCGCCCTACCATCGGTGGCCGGGCCTTCAGCCTCTCAGCCCCGAGGCTCTGGAACTCCATCCCCCAGTGCCTTCGCCGCTTCCTCCCTTTCCTCCTTCAAGGCCGGTCTCAAGACCTTTCTCTTTGACCGTGCCTTCAGCTCCCCTCTCGACTCTCTACCCCCTCCTCGCTCCCTCCCTTCCCTCCCCTCACCCTGACCATTTCCCCCCCTCCTCGTTCCCTCCCTTCCCTTCCCTCACCCTGACCATTTCCCCCCTGCTCGGGTCCTGACCCAACTGTACAGCGCCTTGGGATGTCCTCCTGACGTGAAAGGTGCTCTATAAATGGAATCTCGTTGTTGTTGTTGTAATAACTCAAATTAATTGATCTAATAAGCAGCAAACATTGGTGACAATTAAATGAAGGTATCACTTCCCAACAGCTTGGGTAAATGTTGCAAAAGATATGGTGGTAATATTCAAAGAGAGAAGGGAGTTTTCCTCCTGTGTCCTGGACAACAACCCTTCATGTCCGTTTATATAGTGTGCAAAAGATTGGCTGTTGTGTTCATCAACAAACAGGAAATCCTATGAAGCACTTTGCGATGTTTTGACAACGTAATATATATATATATATCAAATGCAAGGATTATTAATTATTATGATAATAATTATTGAATGCAGTATTCAGCCTTACTTAAGCTTCAATGAACTTTAATGTATACCTGAATGACCGTCCCCTGTTTTTGTAGAGATGGACTCTGGAGGCTTGTGAACTAGTTGCCGTATATCCACAATGCCAGCCAATGCTCCAATTACACACAGGGTAGTTCAATGAAAGCAGGCACAAGACCTCACAACAACCAAGCTGGAAAAAAAAGGAAATCTTACAAGTACTGCTAAAACAGAGACAAAGCATCAAAAATAATGGTTAAAACCTTGTTTATTAACAGTGAAGTTAACATTCTTTTCTCTTTTCTGCAATTTCTGACATACGTCATTCTGGGGCTCACCAATTGACGATGATATAAAAGTCTGATACTACAAGAACACATTTGACCACATCTGCAACAACTGTGTTTGGCTGTGCTGTGTTCTGAAAATGAGTTCAGAGTGTTTTTTGTAATTAATTAAGTATGCTTACTTAATTCATTACAAAAAACACTCTAAATTCATTTTCAGAAAAAGTTTCCTCAATTCCTTATTGGAAATTTGGAATACTGTTCTGAATACAAAAGTACATGCATTAAAAAAATGTTTTGAAAGGAGCAATGACCCATAATTGTCCATGTACATGATAGCTCATTTGTATTCTGAGCTTGAAGAAATTAAGGTAAAACATTTTCAGTAGCAGATGGGGGATAGAGAGTGGTAAGAAGACAGAGAAGCAGAGTTTATTTAGACAAAGTTACATTACATATATTAGCAGCTGGTAAAGTTATGCTTTCAAATAAAGGTAAAAATGAACCAATGTATCAAGTTTTAGGAATTAACGAGACTAAATTTGCACCCTTTTAAACCATTAAATTGGATGATGCTCACACTTACTCCATGCATAAATATACGGTAAAAGCAATTACTCACTATAAGGGCACGTGAGGTAGATGACGTTAATGCATGAGACACAGCAGTAATGATGCGGGAGAGATTATTTTCTATTGTTACATCAGTGGTACTCTGTGAAATGTTGAATCCTCTGTATGTTCTGGAAAAAGATGGGGAGAGAGAAAAAAAATCACACACTACTCAACAATTTAAAATTTGTATTCATTCAACTTCCAGCAATAAGAGTGACAATCGCATGCAGGACGCTAATGTTCAGCTGCCTTATTGCACTGCAACACACTGCCTCGTCACATTAGCAGGATTTGGTGAAAACTTGCAATATTCTGACACTTAAAAGTAGACTGAGATCCAGTTTCCTTCATTAGGTGCTTCCGTGCTAAAGAGTACACAAGCATAGGTATTCCAATTGTCAATTTTCTCGCCTCTTGTTTACTACTGAATTCACCCAACAAAATAGAGGGAAACTGAACAAACCCAATGTAATCACATCATCTGCAATGTATTCTAAAGTCATGTGTTGATATGATTGATAAATAACATGAGCAATTTATATGAGGTTTACTTAGTTAACTCCACCACTTCATGCATTACATTAAAAAGCACTGTAGTATCATGAGCTCTTACATTTATTAAAATGGGCTGCACATTCTGCTGGAAAGTATAGTTAAATTCTATGCCATTTGAATTGTCTCTTAATCCCCTAACCCAAAACAAAAAGACTGGACAGCAAAGAACAAGAGTATAAGGAAGCAGACCTTTTTTTTAAGCTTACAGTATTCTTATACCTCTTCCCAAATATAAGCTGTAATGGTTCTTAAATATTGGTCACATTAACCCCACCCTTAAAACTGCACTCTTTCCTGGTGGAGGGGGAGGGATGAGAAGGAAACCAGGGTCTCACTGGGGCTGAGCTGACTCCAAGGTGACAGGTTTGGCAATGGAATGCCACCATCCAGTCAAACTTCTTTGGCAATCTCAGCGGTTTCTGAGCCAGGCAGCTCCACAGTGATCCAGGGCTCTGTTGAAGGCAGCCCAGCCAACCTGGCTGATCAACAGGACTTGGAGAGGCACAATATCACTGGGGGCAAGGATTCTTCCCACTAGTTTCCTGCTATCTCTATAAGCCAAGCTTTTAGGGGTAAAGTTTTGCCCACAAAATACACAGTCAATCCACTTTACAATATACACTGTGAAGCACTTTAAGATGTCTCAACGACATGATAAGCGCTATTTCAAATGCAAAGATAATTATTATTATTATTAAGTGGTACTAGCTGGAAATAAGTTCTCCCTTCGGAAATGGATTGCAATTTGTAAATAACTAAGACAACCATAACAAAAGTAGCATCTCAAAACAAGTACCTGGTAATAGTGCTGACTGCAAAGTGAGATGGAGATTGGGTCTCATGCATCAGCAGTTGCAGATATGCACTGCTTTGGTCTCTGGCTATTGCTACCACTGGATCAGACTGTCCTTGATCACAGTCAAAAAACAATCGAGGGACAAGCCTGGAACAACAGAGGAAGAAAAGTTGAAATACGTATAATTGTAGAGAGCCTGGTGACAGATTCATGTGAATTACAAGGTTTTGCAATAATTGTATGAAAATATGCTTAGAAATCCTCAGCCCAAGCTGCAGCCAAATAAATTTTTTCACTTAATATTACCAATTTTAATGGTTAGAATCATAGACAATGCACTCTGCTTCTCGTCCAGCCAGGGTGCCGTCATGTGCAGTGTTCCTCAGGGCTCTGTCCTTGGCCCTCTCCTTTTCAATATCTATATGCTCCCTCTCGGTGACATCATCCGCAGACATGGGGCCAAATTCCACATGTAAGTGGATGACACCCAACTCTATCTCTCTGCCTCCACCCTGGACTCCAGAACCACTACTGCCCTGACAGAATGTCTGCCAGACACCATGTCCTGGATGAGAGTTAACTTCCTGCAGTCAAATATCAACAAGACTGAGGCTCTCCTGCTTGGCTCCCGTCAGCGCCTCCATACCTCGGGCCCTGACAGCATCACCATCCTTGGATGCACACTCCACCTCACGGAGCCAATACGGAACCTCGTTCAACCATCAACTGGCCTTCATATCCCACATCCGCACCATGATCTGCTCCTCCTTTCCCCACTTCCGCAACATCGCTCAGCTCCACTACAGTCTCACACTGCAGGCTTTACATGCTTTCATTACATTCAGGCTCGACTACCCAAACTCCCTTCTTGTCGGCCTCCCCAATTCCTCTCTCCATAGGTTGCAGATCATCCAGAACTCTGCAGCCCGTGTCCTCTCCCACACCAGGCTCCGTGACCCTATCATCCCCATCCTCACCCGACTCCACTGGCTTCCCATCACACAGAGGATACAGTTCAAGATGCTGGTCCTCACCTTCAAAGCCCTTCGTGGTCTTGCTGCCCCTACCTCTGTGACCACCTAACCCCCTACCAACCTGCTCGCTCCCTCCGCTCATTGGGCTCCAGCCTGCTTCACATCCCGCGCCTCAAGGTTGAAACAAGCAAATCATTAGATGTGGACAAAATTGATATTCCCAACCATCACTGTAGGTTAACAAAATAACCTCTCATCTGAATAGTTAAATTCTCCCAATTATTTTCATTTCCATGGTTACCTTACTAATGTCGTTGCTGCTACGTGCCGAACTCTTGGATCTTCATCACCCAGCAAATTAATAACCACATCATTGATAGCACGTTCCTGTAGCTTTAACATCTTTAAAATAAAAACATTCAACCAACTTGATAGGTAGGCACAAACAGGGTATTATTTAAGCCTTAATATCCTTGATTAACTTCAATATTTCACTTCTAAATAGTACACCACAGCCACTCAATTTTGGGATAAACTAATGCAGGATGAATCTAGCTGAATTCCAGATCCATATTGCTAGCAACCCGACTGCTCTCAACCACAAATACGGCAACTCGCACAGCCATCTGAATGATTCAATGATAGTTAAATAGTGATATTGTCATGTTACCTTAATAATAGCAGCATTATAACTAACCGAGTCCACAGTATGTCAAGTTTTATCAACAGTACATTTATGCAAAATGTTCTTGATGTACAAGGTGTCCACAAAGTCATGTTACTCCTATGTGTTTTTCTACAGTGCACTGACCAACAACTAAAACATGTGGAAGAATGATGTTAATTGTATTTAGAACAACAACAACAACTTGCGCTTATATAGCGCCCTCCACGCAGGGTAGAGTTTCGGAACTCTTAACAGTGGCGGAGCCTGACTCCGAGCCGGGGGGGAGGTGGCCGTAAGCATGGTCGAAGAGGAAGGTTTTCAGGCAGGACTTGAAAAAGGGGAGAGAAGGGGCAAGGCGGAGGGATTGAGGGCGCGTTTCAGATTTTCGGGGTGTAGTGGCTGAAAGCACGACCACCGATGGTGGGGCGGAGGGTGCGAGGGACGAGCAGGAGGTCGGTGCCAGTTGATCAGAGGCACCAGTTGGTGGATTGTGAAGTGAGGGGGTCAGAGAGGTACGGAGGTGCCAGAGAGCGAACGGATTTGAACACGAGTGTGAGGATCCTGAAGTCGATCCATTCGGTGATGTGGAACCAGTAGAGCTTGGCCAGAACTGGTGAGATATGGGAACGGAGTTTGGTCCAGGTAAGTATACCACTCCATTCTCATACACCACCTCTTCTCTTTACTTAAGCTTCACGGACCTGCCCTAGCCTGGATCGAATCCTATCTCTCTCACCGTCTCCACTTTGTTATCTCTAACGGTTTCTCCTTCAGCCCCCACACTGTCACGTCTGGCGTCACCCAGGGCTCTGTCCTTGGCCCTCTCCTCGTTAATATCTACATGCTCCCCCCGTGGTGACATCATCCGCAGACTTCCATATGTATGCGGATGACACCCAACTCTATCTTTCTGCCTCCACCCTCAACTCCAGGACCACTGCTGTCCTGACAGACTGCCTGTCCGACATCAAGTCCTGGATGAGGGCAAATTTCCTACAGTTGAATGTGAACAAGACTGAGGCCCTCCTGATTGGCTCGCGCCAGCGCCTCAGCACCTCAGGCTCTGGCAGCATCAATCTCTATGGTTGCACAGTACAACTCACCTCCAGTCAGGAACCCAGGTGTCTTGTTCGATCCTCAACTGTATTTTCTTCCCCACATCCAAGCCATGACCCGCTCTGCCTTCCCTCACCTCCGTAACATCGCCCAACTCCGCCACTACCTCACCCCTCAGGCCGCTGAAACTCTTGTTCATGCCTTCATCACCTCCAGGCACGACTATGCAAACGCTCTGCTTGTCGGCTTTCCCAACTCCTCCCTCCACAGACTGCAGATAATCCAGAACTCTGCAGCCCGTGTCCTCTCCCGCACCAAACTCCGTGATCCCATCTCCCCCATTCTCGCCCGACTCCACTGGCTCACTATCCTTCAGAGGATCCAGTTCAAGATCCTAGTCCTCACCTACAAAGCCCTCCATGGCCTCGCCCCACTCTACCTCTGCGACCTCCTAACCCCCTACCAACCTGCCCGCTTCCTCCGCTCAGCCGGCTCTGGCCTCTCCACGTCCCCCGACCCACCCGCCCCACCATTGGCGGGAGAGCCTTCAGCCACTCTGCCCCCAACCTCTGGAATTCCATCTCCCAATTACTCCGCCTTGTATACCAGCAGCAGTGTTCTGAATGGGCTGGATCTTTTGAATGGTGGAGCTGGGAAGATCGTCGAGGAGTGCGTTTGAGTAATCCAGGCGGAGGTGACAAATGCATTCGCAAGGGTTCAGGCTGCAGTTGGGGTAAGGGACGGTTGGAGGCGGGCAATATGGCGGAGGTGGAGGAAGGCGGTCCTGGTCAGGGACCTGATGTGGGGGAGGAAGGACAGTTGGGGGTTGAACCAACGCCTCGATTGCATACTGGTTTGGTGAGTCTGAGGGAGAGCCCAGGTAGGTTGAGGAGTTTAGATCCACAGAAGTGAAGACGTTGACGGAAGCCAAAGAGTATGGCTTCCGTCTTGTCCATATTCAGCTGCAGGAAGTTTGCACTCATCCAGGCTCTGATGTCTGCAGACAAGCTGATAGAACATTGGCAAACCCGGAGTTAGTACTGGAGGAGGCAAAGTAGATTTCTGTGTCATCAGCATACATGTGGACGTTTACCCCGTGTTTGTGGATGACATCGCCCAGAGGGAGCATTTCGATAAGGAAAAGAAGGGGGACAAGGATGGAGCCCTGGGGTACCCTGCAGGTGACCGGGCGGGCAGGAGGAGAAACTATTCGCAAAGATGAAATGGAGGAAGTTGGTTAAGTAGGACTCGAACCATGCGACTGCTGTCCCACTAAGGTGAATGAGGGAGGACAGACGGCGGAGGAGGAGGTCGACTGTGTCGAACGCGGCAGAGAGATCCAGGAGGACAAGGAGGCAGAGGGAGCCCCGGTCACAGATAGAGAAGACGTTGTTTGTGACTTTGACAAGCGCTGTCTCTGTGCTGTGGGCAGGCAAAAACCAGACTGCAGGGACTCGAGGGAGGAGTGGAGGGAGAGGTATGACTGAAGTTGACCTGCAACAATGCGTTCCAGGACTTTGGCAAGGAAGGGTAGGTTGGAGATGGGACAGTAGTGTGAGAGATTACAGGAATCAAAGGTGGGTGGTGTGCTAACATTTAGGAATACTTAATTGTATTTAGTACAAGTGTTTAACTATGTTTAGACTTCCAAAGGATCAGTGTGTGTGAGCACCATCATTTTCATGACAGATAATAATCTGTCGCCATGTTCAGTGTGATGTCTTCCATAACATGATGGAGTGACGAGGAGAAATGCATCTCTGACGCTTGTTTCAGTTCCTCCGTTGTCTCTTATCACTGTCTTGTAACAGGGTGTAAGAGGACTAGGTGGACACCCTGTACTTAAGTCATATGATCTCAAAGTCCTGATTCTGTGCAACCCATTTATACTGCAGCAAGGTTTACACAGTAACTCATTCACTGGAGCTAATTACTCTTTCCCAATTCTCATCTTTAAACACTTAGCCAATTTGTTTTTACATGGCAATTGTAATTGTGGCTTCAAGACATTTGTGGTGAAGCATTCTATGTTCTCATAACCTGCTCCTTTAGATCTTCCAGTGACATTCCTGAATTTATGCTCGTGTTCAACCAACCAGCTGCAATACTCTCTCCCTAAAATCAATGCTTCCAGACATTAGAGAGCAAAACGTACCCCAGTGTAGTGATGATCACCCTTGTGAAGTTCTACTGTTTTTCTCTCCAAGAAACCGGCTAATCTGAGAAACAGATTCGATTTTAAAATTGTTCAGTTCACAGAAATATGGGAACGGTCAACTATTTTCCATAAAATGAATACCATTAACTCTTGCAATCCTGGCTCTTGAGTTCATTTGAAATGATGGTTTAAGACTGGGGGTTGAGTATTAATATTTTGAAAGTGAAGTTCACATCTATTTTCATTAAAGTTCGTTGAAAGGGCCAATGGCTGAAAAGCACCTCTTTTGACTGAAGCATACAAAGCATTTACCAGAAGTGATCTCTGGTCTGTGCTGAGGTAGCTGAGCTCAGTACAGTGCTACAATTGGCGGGAGGAGTAGGGGTGTGGGACAATCAGTGTTGCTATCCAGTACCTCCTACTGGCCAGTGCACATAACTTGTCGGCTGAGGACAGGGTCAGGCTTGGCTGTGATGCTCTCCACGGTACAAAAGTCTGTCGAGACTCACCGTTCAGGCTCACACATGAAGATAGGCCACTTGGGCGAGGTACTGGAGGATTGCTGCCAAGAATGGAACTGTACCCCAGCCTGAGTCACCGCCTTTGGGAGAGGAGAGGAGAAAATTGGAGAAAATTATTCGATAGAGAAGCTAATCTGTTGGCACTATTTAGATGTACACGGTTTCATAAAGCCTGCATTCAATTAAAACAAAAAAAATCCTACTTACACCTCCTAAGCCTAAACAACAAAATAGAAACAGTTGAAGTGTACCGGAAATCCATCTCTGCCAGTGTTTCCAACAGCTCAGTCCTCACAAGCCAGTAAGAATTATTCTTCAGGGTCAGAAGGTCAATGATGAGCTGCAATCCTAGCTCACTGTAGCTGCTGTTGCATAAACTTGTGATGCAGTGCTGGAGAAAACATAACAATGAAACAACTGTTCAGCAAGTCCAACATAAAATAAAATGAAAACAAACACGATAAAGTCATTGCACTTATTTTTTGATCATGCATTCTGGTATCTGGTTTGAATTCCCAATACTTCTCCCTTCCTATTCCATCAGATGATTTTATTTGTACACTGATAAAAAGTAAATTTCACATTTAGAAAGTGGTTCACGCTGAATCGTACAACAAGATAAAAACTGCAGATACCATTACAATTGTAGTACCATTAAGACACCAGGAGGTGCACTTGAGCAAAATAGATTGCAACCTCTATATAGCTGACATCGGTAACTTTACATCAAATATATACAGTGGATAAATGTACTCCACAGTTAAAACAGTCACATGTTCTGTCTCTTTCTATGCAGAGGCACGTATTGGTACGGCTTGGGTTTCTCCCCTTCTTCTCAAAATAAAGCACAAATAGCATAAATGCCAGAAAACTTTTTATCATTTGCCATTTCAGCACAAATTGGATATATTTTCTTGTAGATTTCTACTGCATGATAGGAATTTGATGAATCTTTATTTTATTATTTGAACAAACATCTGATTGGATAGTTGTGTGGCGTTAAGGACTAATGTTTAGTGGCATGGAGTGAAAGAGTATCGAGATTTGATCTCCGACTCTGCTCAATTACTGCTCCGGACCATATTAGGCTAGGAAGGAGAAGTGACAGGGTTAGCTACCAGGTGCCATCTAGTTACCTAGTTACCACCAGGTATCCTGGTAACCAAATCTTGCCAACCTTGCAAAATCTTGGTGACAGTCTGGCAAGGCAACAACCTACTCAACGTGTGAGCATAGAAATTTGCAGCACGTAAAGGAGGGCATTCATGCCACCCGTGTCTGTGTTAGCTCTTTTGAGAAGCACAAGTTCAGAAAGACTGAACATATTTGCTATGGAAAATTGCGACGTGCAGTAAATTAACATCATTAACATGTTTAAATTATCGGACTCTTCAAATATACAATTGTATGCAATAATAATAAGCCATCATTGATTGGATTCTTGAAAATTAGCTGATATACATTTTAGTTTGATTCCAGAAGAATTAATAAATAGTGATACTTACCCTGACAGCAGCACATGCCATTTTACATGTCACCGATGATTTATCTTTCAAAGTTTTCTGAAGTAAAGGCACACAGTCCTCTAAAGAGACGTTATACCCTATAAAGAAAATAAATGGTGAGAAATGCCTTAGGGAAGGTACACAACTTGTCTAAGGTCTCTGGCAGTTGTTTATGACCAGTTTTCCAGATAGAATGTGGAAGCAGATTCATGGACCAACTAGCAGTACTATTGGGCAACCTTATATTTAATAATTACTAAACAACTGACATCCAAATAAAGTCAGCAAATTTATGCGTGGTGAAAGCATCTTTAAATAAATTATTGGTACATTAAAAATCCACTATTTTTAATTTGCAAGTTTATCTGATCAAGAAGAATCATTAATGCTCACATCTGATATAATGGCTCCAACGTCAAAATGTCTCAAACAGCTTCCCAGAGAATTGTTGTAAAATATGGCAATTGTGTATTTATAGGCGAACCCAACAGCTAATTTGCCTAACAATGTCCCCAGAGACAACAATGAAGTGAATGATCAATTTATCTGAAAGATTGTTGGCCAAGACAATGGGTGAAACTTCCTTCACTTTTACAAAATAGCCTTGTGGGATCTTTAACATCCATCTGAACATTACCATCTCTGTCTAGTTGATGGGACCTCAATTTAACTTTTCGTCTGAAGGATGGTACCATTGACAACACAATGGAGTATCAGCTAGACTGTGAGCTCAAAATCCCAATATGGGGCTTGAACCCACAACGTTCTGACTCAAAGGCAAGGCAGCTCGATTACAAACTCTACAGTTATAAATGATCCAAAGCACCTCTCTAGCAGCCTACTTCATGCCTGCAAGTCCCTGGAGTTAAGGCACAGTCAAAACCTGATCACATACAAATGCCAGAACAATAATGCGTTGCTTCAAATGGGGCAAGGTAGTCAGCATCTAACATCACGTTGCTTGTTTTATTTTTGAAATTATAGAGATTACACCTGAACAGGTGGCACAGTTCACCACAGATTTTTCATTAATCATAGAAATAATAATCCCTGTATTTGATATAGCATCATCGAAAGGTCTCAGAGCACTTCACAGGATTTACTGTGAAGTGGATTAACTATTTTGTGGGCGAACACGGTAGCCAATTTGTATATTTTTAGAGCAATTCATGGTGAGGGGAAACTGGGGTGTTAACAGAAAATATTTGCCATTGTTGTACAGTATCTCATGTATTGCAGTGTATGTTTGCAAAATGTAAACACTGCTCATCGATGATTCAAGAGATGTAGGTGGTTAAAGGGCAAAGTAATTACCAGAAAAAATAAACAAACAATATAAATTGCTTCAATGTTGTGCATCACTCATTAGGAACAACAGGCCTGTATTGCTCTAGAACAGGCTGGTCCAACCTTTTGGCTGCTGGGGGCTGGATTCCCTACTTGGGAAAGATCCACGGGCCACATCCAGCCTGGGCCAGCTTGCCTTTAGGATCACGCTGCTCTGGAACCGATACATTACATTAAAAAATGTTTAACCCTATGCCTGCCGCTAGATGGTGCTACTTTACTTGATATTGACAGCGGAACTCAGAAGAGACCATTCAGCAAATTAAAGTGCTGCTTCCAAGTAAAATTTGCTCCATTCCATCGTTTTTCTTTCATTTTCATTTCCTGAGAAAAGATCCAGCAAAGTCTCCCTGTTTCCCTTTAAACCCCTCTCTCAGTTAAAATTAAACTCCAATATTCCCAATACTAACTATACTCCGGGGATGGTTGGGGAGGGGGGGAGGGGTAAGGCAGGAAGGGTCGCTTTGCAGATGAACTAGCTCCAAGGCGACTTGGCAACTTGGATGAGCAGATTGGGACCTGGGATTCTGCCCCCTCAGTTTGTGTTAACTCTGCAAGCCAAAGCCCTAACGGTAGGGTGATCCCAGCTGGACAAACAACAGGAAAAGCTTGTCATGACAGTGCTTTGAATGGCAAGCTGCGCGGTTTTAGCTGGTTGGATTCCAGCAGTACCCCAACACACACTCTGGGGTCCCCAAGTTTTGGCTCTTGCCAACCCGTACCTAATACTTTCCAGAATTAGGTAAACAGGATGCGTCCCTCCAGTAAGAGTGAGCATTCCATTCCAACAATCTATCACTGGGATTTCCATGCGTAGGTGGGATGTGTGGAAATTTCAGTTTGGTTTGGATACTCTTTAGCATGATGATGGGTTTTCACATGCGTCAGACACCCGGCTAAACTGCCTAAACACGTTTATGGTTTCAGTTATTCCCTCCTCATTTCACAATGAGTCAGAAACAAAAGCACATATACAAGAACCATCATTTGAGATGAGGGACTCAATTCTGGTAGAAAAGGGACACAGAAATAGAGGTGCACAACCGCGCACTAAATGATGCAAATACAAAGCTTTCAATTCTATACCTACACATATGATTAAATAGCAAAAACTATTGGGGGCGGGTGGAGGAAGAGAGGAAATCAATCAGTATTCCTGTTCATGGTGACTGTTGACTGGTATGAGCATTTGCATATTTCAGGGGAGAAGAGCATCTAGCTCAGTTACAAGGCCCTCCGTAGGTGAATAGCCTGTCAACACTCACTGCCTAAGCTCTCATATAGAGAATGACTATTTGATCAAGGTACAAAAGCCTGCTGGCATCCATAGAACTGGCCTCAGCACATCAGAACCTTCAAGGGAGGAGAGAAAACTGGCAAAATACTGCAATTAACCTTCAACAACATCCATTATGTTTGCTTTGGTTTTGCTAGAAATAGACGCTTGATTTCGGCAGTGAAGAAGTTACTTGATTCAAAGTGCTCCATGATTTACAGTGGGATTTTCTTTCCCTCTCTCACGTTATTTTAGTTCCACTGCAGTGCTTTAGAACCCAATAATTTGGAACAGCTCCTAGATTAGTGGAGCAGTGGAGCCTTGATGGTCAACCTGGAAATAATTACATTTCTCAATTCACTTACCAAGTAACAACATGGAATTATGTTACATTCAATTAGTGTGCTTTACATTAAAAATCCAAGTGATTATCTTGAAGCATTTAATCCATAAAAATAATGTGCCTCAAAGTCATCTTGTTCCTTCAATTCCTTCCTACAGGAAATCACATCAGCCAGCATTCACATTCTATCAATTACTTCTACCAAGCACACCATGAATTCCAGGGTTAATCACATCTCACAAGAGTGACAAATATAACACTCTGGATCTGCGTCAACATACAACCTCAAGTAGAAATTATGCTCTCTTTCCTGTGAGAGGACTGCTCAGTCAGATATCTTCTGATTCAATTACAATGCTGCTGTGCTAGTCTGGAGTTCACAATAAAACATTCCTTTTCTCCCCCCACCCCCCCACTACATACTAAAATGAGGAAATAACTTTTAACAGAAAGCAACCACTTGCCTCAACATGCACAGATGTTTGTTTTGCAAAACTCAAGTCCAGACTTCAGATTAATTTTCTCCCTCTTAAACCAAATGATTTTCATTTCGCTCTTTTGTATAAAATTGTCCTACCTGAATCCCTATTGATTCCTAATACTTGAACCATCTACGAGCACAAAAAATTGCCTAGATTAGCGATCCCTTTCGTAATTTTGAAAACTTCTGTTAGGTGATCTCAGAGTCTTTCCTTTCCCAACCAGAAAAGGCACAACTTCTTCATACAGCCTAATGTGACTGAAGTCAAATGGAGCTTGTTACCTGCAGTACTTCGTATGTTGGCCAACCAAGTGTCAGGATGAAACCGGGTCTTGGTAAGAACTGAATGGATGAACGTTGAACAAAGGAGCGCAGTTGCACCTCTGATCTGTGGATCTCCATGCTCAACATATTTCATGATATCTGATACATACTGTTCTTCTGTTGAAAGGAAAAAATAAAAGCTTTTAATCTTTAGATTTTATTCTGATAGATTCACAAATAGAAATTTAACATTATTATTCCAGAATAATCGTTAGTTAACATCTACTGTAGCCAAATCTCTGTTTTCTCCACATTTCGCTCTTGATCAATCTGGTCTGTCTTCAACTTGTGGAACTAAACATGAAACTGATCAGTGTATTCAACAATATTCTAAACAATGAATAACTTGATCAGTCCTACTGACTGAAAACAGACAAGTCTGGAATTAAATACACCCAATTTTTTTTTAATAGAATCAGTCCACTTGCAATCAATAGCAGCTGACAGTATTCCGAGGGCAACATCAATTTCCAAATTTAACAGGAACAAAATAAAGGTACAGGCAGGGAAACAGGTAATATCAAACATCTTCAAATAATTCTTTTGTAATACTTATCCAGTTTGATTTTCACCAAAGATCATCAAAGAAGATTTCCCTCTTTAATTTGGTTATTTCAATATTTTACAATCAAAGCACAGAGAATGGTAAAGGTGGAAATATTGTGCAGCAGAACAAAATAAACCAGATTCAGTCAAGACAAGAGAATTTGCCTTGGGCCAATATTTCAGAAGATCAAAAGTAGGATTATAGTTCAGCATCTTATTTGTGTTTTTTATTGCTGCCTTACACTATCTTGGTGTTCTATAGTTGTATAATTTTGTTGTAGTGCTCTCACTCACAAGCAAAACAGAACTGTCATAGACAGACTGAATTGTAATATACAGTTTGACTGTGATCTGTGAATGCTGCAACAGTTAAATGAGTGTACTGCACATGGCAAACCAGATTCAGAATCCCAGTCTTGCCTGACATTCATATAAACTTGGTTTGACTAATGAGTGCACCAAGAGATATTAAAGCTCTTGATCTATTTTTGGTAATTTGCACACAACAGACCGAACAAAAATAAGGTCGCTTTGCAATACAATTCATATGAGGTTTCAGCTTTCTTAATGAAATGGCCTTTTTTTAAAAGAAACAACACTACTTTGAATGATCAGAAAACTTTTATAATAAATCACTTACCATTCAAGCTGCTTTATAATAATAATAATAATAATCCTTGCATTTGATATAGCTCATCATGTCGTTGAGACATCTCAAAGTGCTTCACAGGATTTACTGTAAAGCAGATTGACTGTATTTTGGGACGAATCGCGACACCCAGTTGCGCACAGCAATGTCCCACAAACAGCCAATGAATGAGTGACCATTTTTTTTATTTGGGAGGATTATTGGCCAGGACACTTATTAAGGGCATTTAAGATTTTTCTCAGTAACAAATACTAAACCACATAAATTCTCCTTTCTTTTAAAAAAAATGTGGAGCTGCTTTTAATCACCAAACGCACACAGAATGTGAGATTTATTTCCAAACAATCCAATTACTTACAACTTTAATGCACATTTCCCATGATCTATATTAAACCACTTAACATGCATTGTCCGGGCACTATTTAAAATCATGTTAGCATTTGCTCACCTTGCGTCTCTGAAACCTCAAGTGGGGTCCTGTAGAGTTTACTGAAGAAAGCTTCAGGATGAAGTCCAATGGCAGCTCCAACACAACTCACTGCCAATGCTTTCACACTGACCCTCACCTCTCTGTCAGGGATGAGACCTGTATCAAAGAAAAGTGTTTCATGAGTAAAAATAGTTCTAAAAGTACTAATCTTTCCATTTGATATAGCCTCTTTCACGTTGAGAACTTCAAAGCACTTCACAGCATTTATTATAAAGTAGTGACTGTATTTTTGCCAGTAAACATGGCAACCAATGTGTGCAAACAACGTCCCCATAAAGAGCATGAAATGAATGATCAGAATAAGTGTAAACCTTAATCATAAAAATGATTAGAAGACAAATGTTTTTCTTACCTTTTTTCTGGCCGGTCAGAAGAAACGATGCTGTAAGGAGGCGGACACAGTGAATCAGAGGAGCAGCATTCTCATCTGTATAGTGTCCGATGTCTCCCTTTATTCTGCAAGGCTAATTTCAAACAAAAATACCAACATGTAAAAGTTTATATTTTCACAATCAATTTGAGCTTTTATTAAAAATCACAAGTTCCCAATGGGAAATGACTTCTTCAGGAGTATAATATATACTTGAAGTATTTTGAGACATCTTGAAGACTTGATAAGGCATTATATCAATGCAAGGATTATTATTATATTATTGTTATATAGGCAGTGATGAGAAAAGAGGCCTTTGTTACAGCATTCCCATGGAGAATCAGCAGCTATTGCCCAGCATTTACCTGACATGGTACAGGGTCACATTACACTCAAAGCCAAAGCTTCCTAAGCATTTGTTCCTGGCAATTCGCTCCTTAAAACATGTTGCTGGAATAAAATTTATCTCTTGGAACATTAAATTCCAAATGAATCCGCAAAAGTGAATCTACCTTGAGGTAAACCACTCCTGCTACAAGTTAACTTCAAAACTCGACTTTGATCATTTATCTTGTTTCGTTGTTGCTGAACTCTGTTTCATACCTACAAGGTAGTGTGCTGAAATACATGTTGATTTCAAAGCATAGTCTTAAAATAATTCTCACCTTAATTTCAAGATCTGCTGACTCAACGCAGTCATCCTTTGACACAAAACGGTCAACACTGCTGTCTGACGACTGCCGGCTGTGACCCAGGTGACTTAGCAAGTGGGGCTTGTTTACTGCTGTAAAAATCAAAAGAATTTTTTCTTCCTCTCTTTTAAATATATACCTGTATCACTCTGACTGATATGGGAAGGTGACCTCCTCACAGAACTCTGCCAAGATGCCCTATAAACTGGGCCAATACAAAAGTCCAACTGCACTTTTTCTGCGGAATCCGCTACGCACACCACCTCTGCTCCAAACGTGTACACAGTGCGCTAGCCCCCAGGCCTCTGCGCGATGCTTGCTCTACGCTGCTACTGTGGACGGAGTGGCTCCGGTTGCGCATGGACAGAGAGTGTTGAGAGGCGGAAGCAGCGCGAGTGGGAAATCAGCTTTGTCTGCTAGTGAGTGAACCACGATAGATATAGCAGCTGTGATATAGAAGCCGCTAGTGAGTGAACCACGATAGATACAGCACTACTGCTGTCTATTTGCTCGACGCCCGGCCTCAACTGAGCTCCTGCAGCCAACTCTTGCTAAGTACTGTACTATTGAAATTAACATTTTTAGTATTTTAAACATAACTGCATGTTCAGAAAATATGCCTATAGTTTTAATCTGGATTGTTTCAAATGTGTCTCTCAATAGCACCAACCAATCCTCCACAATTCTCCCCAAAATTTGACAAATCCCTACAATTTTAGGCAAACATTCCCTCACTTTTCTATTGGCTCAGCCGATAACTAAACCTACCATTGGGGAAACCTCGCTCTCCGGTGGTCAAGTCAAATATAGAAGTTCACCTTAAATAATCTGGGTTTCAAATTTATGTACAGCTATGTGTCGCAGCACACCAATCATTAAAAGAAATAAAAGTTGTATTAATTCCCTCTCAGAATATTAACCACTAAGGCAGCATTCACAGCACTTACACAGCACGTCAACACTGACAGGCTTAATCCAAAGTGGTGAATTCCAACCTCAGATACGCTGGTGTGAAAGATGCCAATTGCACATAAAGCACTTTGGCATCAGGAATACTAATTCTCTTGCTGCTTGTCATTTCCTGGTAAGAAAAGTTTACGCTATATAATATTGTAGGAAGAAAAATGATTGATAGAAATTAATTCAATGGTTTTGGTGCAACTAACCCAGCAATATCGATTTTTTTTAAAAAAATGTTTTAATTCAGACACTTCCATAGGTTTTAGATTTTTCAAACTCGGTGTCATGTTAGACTTTAACACTTCTTCTCTCTTCCCCCACTACCCAACCAAATAAAAAATCAAATTTGAATTCAGTAACACTCACTGAGGTCTCAGCTGGCCTGCTTGATACTTTCAATAATAACTTGGTGCACTAATTTAATCATTCATTGTAACTTATTTCCAAATGAAAATCCCTAGAATTGTTTTTAAAACGATCAAAAATCCAATCAAAATTGAGCGTGATTCCCGATTCTTTTTCCATTGAGGTCCTTGCCCATTGCAATCCACAATATTACATTTTCACACAAAGGGTAGTGGAACTCTCTCCCCCAAAAGGCTGTGGATACCGGATCAATTCAAATTTTCAAGACTGAGGTCGATAGATTTTTGTTGGGTAAAGTTATCAAGTGATATGGAGCAAAGGCGAGTAAATGGAGATGAGGTACAGATCAGTCGTGATCTAACAGAATGGCGGAATTCTATTTGAACTGAAAGTCAATGTCTTCATTGAGATGAAATGAGACATGGCTCTCCTATCAACTATTTATTTTTTACAATACATTACAACATACCAAGAGAGGAAGTAGTAAAGCCATCTTGGAGTTCCTCTCCTGGTGGATTGGTGCTATCTTCCTCCTCATCCTGAAGCTGTCCAATCTGCATTGCTGAATACTGACTGTCTGTCCCGTCAAGTACCTGCTTTTAAGTGAACAGAATTAGTGTTAAGAATTTAAATACAAACATTATAGCAATTAAGATTTTAAACTGCAAAACCTTAAATATACCATAACTTGTCAAAGGTAGTTACTTAACCCGAGTAGCCGCTTAATCCAATTTTGGCTCCCATTTAAAGCATGACAGCAGGACTGACTACAAGGAAAGACTACAAGAGAAATAATGTAGTTTCTGCAACACATTTTAGTACCCTTACAAAAATGCTCATTTCTAGGGATTGTTTATCAAATGCACAAGAATACTTTGCCTGTCACTTCAAGAAATATAAAATTTCAATCTTGCTGTACTTTATTTTACTACAAGCAGACTTTTGCACTCCTCAAAGATCTGTAAATATCTTTAGAACAAAGAAAACATCTGTTTCACAAAAACATTCACTGGATACTCTTTCCACTACAGAGTACAAGTATTCAGAGTTTTGCAGATTTAAACAAATTGGCCTCAATGAGAATCAGTCATTAAATTTTAAACCGCAGAAAAATGTTCCATCCAGAGAACAAAGATAGTTCAATCAAGCCTTAAAGAAAAATGAACATTACAACAGAATTTACTCGTAAACAGAATTATCCACATTATGACCTTTTCAATAAAAATGTTGAAGAGACTAAAAGGAAAACTCTGGAATCTAAACAGAATATTCTTTCCACTAAACTAAGTTTCCACTAAGAGGAAGACTCCAAAATACCATTAATACCGTCAAAGCCAGTTAAATTTTCTAGAATACTCCCACAGATCATTCTATTCTCTAGAGCCTCTATACCAGTTGTATAGAAGATTTTATGTAACCGTAGACCTTACTGCAACTGAACATAATACTGCTGAATAATCACATTGGGTAGTTTTTCTAACTGGTTAACTATCCAACTGGGTTATCAACTGGAAAACCAATTTTCCCCAATCTAGATAGAGAATTAAGCAGTCTGACTGAAATGACAAATAGCATTGTAATCTTTTGCTAGGGCATCTGCTAATAGTCACTCTGCAAACAGAATAAATCACTTGTACAGCTGTATAAACAACAGATTTTAACATTAGTACAACCAAGCTTACACTCATCCTTCCTACTCAAGCATACCATGTTATTGGCTTCAATTTCAGCAGGCAGGAAAATGTTTCTCTTGACGATGTGAATTTTACAAAATTCTATTGGAAATATATATTATGTATATATATAGAGAGAGAGAAATGTTAACAATAATAAAGGCAGCAAAGGTTAATAACCGGAATGTAGGACCGAGAAGTAGAATGTTAAAAAAAGAAAGGCTAAATGAAGTAGGACAGTTTGGACAGAGACAAACCAAAAAGAATAAGGAAGGTATAGATGCCTAAACACCATGAGGTTTAAGGAATGCGATATTGTCAAGCTCGCACTACTAATTTCTTTCCGTCTATTTTAGTGCATTTAAAGCATATTTTAAATATAAAAAATAATGTTCACATATTTTTGAAGCAGTCTGAGTTTCTGTAAATAGTACTATGGAACCCAATGCTAATTAAATCTTAATGCAGGAAATAATTCATAAAATTAGAGGAAACTTCTGCAATGTCTTCTATCTAACTTTCTCCAGAGATCTTGAATATTCGGGCAGGATATACATAAGATGCAGTTAATAGGCTCATTTTTCAACAATTGACATACACCAAGCTCCTCATCTCAATTGCTTCAATGTGCAATGTACCAACCAGGCACTTCTCAGAGAAGGAGGTAGAGAAAGACAAGTGGGGGAGGGGAGGGGTAGAAACCTTACCACATGCACTGAGGGGAGAGTTTCAGGCCTGCATTGAGACCTGGAAACAGCAGATTCTCGTGCTCTCTCTCTACCATGATGGGTATTTTCAGAGGAAAGAAAATAATTTGTTTGAAAATAGAAGAGTCTTATCCTTAACCGTTAAAATGTGCAAGTTATATTCTTAATAGTTCTACGTAAGGTGACAAAAAGGATGCTGTCTATTTAAGCCATTTCAATGGGAGTGAGAGCTGCTGACCTTTTCACTGCTACTAGCTGAACTGGAGGAGAAAGTGGAAGTATCGGAGTCTGGGCCTTCCATGGGGGAGCTGGGAGAGATGTCAGGCCCCTCAGTAGATGACTGGGATCCCCCCTCAGCCCGCTGCACACTTACAAGTTCAGAGCTGTCTGACGGGGTCACAGCCGAATCAGGGCCCTCTGTGGTCTGGGAGCTCTCACTTAGCGGAGACGTTGTCTGATTGGTCTGGTCATTCAGATCTATAGTGGTATCTGACTGAATGGTGCTAATCTGGCTGGAGCTGCGGCTCAGAATGTCATCATCCTCCCCTTCGTTTGCAACATTGGTCAAGTCTGATGTCACCGTTGAACTATTCAGATCTACAGATTCTGCCGCCTGTAAAGTATGTTGGGAACGTGGTTGCTGGGTGATGATGTCGTGCCCTGCAGAATCCGGCAATGGGCTTGTAGAACCTATGGTGGAAATGCCTGAAGATGATGGAATTTCAGCAGCTTCCTCGTTGTTCACTGAACCTAAACCAGGGTCAAATAAAAGAGCAATTCAACATATTTTCCATTACATTTCACACGTAGACAAATGTGTTGTACATAGGACTGGTTCTGTGTTTCAAATACAGTGTAAAATTTATAATTAATTTAGGGGGACATAATCCAAGTCTTTAAAATGCTAAGAGAAGGATGTAAATATGAAATTGTTGCTTGTAGTTTAACAACAGAAATACAAAAAAGCCTCTAACATGACCAAAAATTCCCTTAATTCCCACACACAATAATTTATACTTCCCCAAATCTGAGCTGAAGTCAGGAGAGACGGAGAGAGCAAGAAAATTGACACAGAGGGTGCAATACAGAGATAGAGAGAAAATAGAAAACTAATAAGGCCCAAAAGACAATGACAGAACAGGTTGCTATGCATCAGGGTCCTGGGTGCAGACTGCGGACAGGGGAGAAACTAGTAAGCGTGTTGGTCAATCTCTCAATGGACGTAGTTTGGCGGAGCCTTATAGTAGGTGCCTTTTATGTGTGGTTCAAGTCGATTAGAGATAGTTTTGTACTTCTGTTTAATTAAAATTAAAGTTCATTCTTTAGCCTACAGCTAAAACTGCTGTTGACTATTACTACCACAACACCCTGTGCCTGTTACAATATCCTATGAAGAGTAAACAAAATTCAAATTGTAATCTTAAACGAAATGTTGAAAGAAAATGTAAAATTCCTAGCTCAGGACAAACCGTTTGGACTAATGGTGGACTAATAATAGAATATACAATTATACCATCTGCATTCTGGAGATAGCATACCTGGAAAAGTCGTGCCACCTGGAAAAGAAGCACCACTGATCTCAGAACGTGTCTCTGCTTCATCTTCCAGTCCTTCCTCTTGTCCACAGACCACTTTTCCTATTATTAGAAATAAACATTACATTATGTAATTGCACAAAAACAGATTTGCATATAATTCTTGCTTTTAAGTTGCTATTTCACAGTGCTAAATAACAGATCTGGATAATTTGGAAGCATAGTATGCTATCATGATTTCATTTCTTAGTATAGTTTCACGTCATGGCCATTTGTGTTACCTTGTTGTGTGCAAATTGGTTGCCGCGTTCACACACAAAAAATAGTGACTATACTTTACAGGATATCACATGAAGCGTTTGGAACATCCTCCCAACCTGAATGCCAAATGTAATGATTATCTGAAAATATTTAAAATAAAATATATGTTATGCCCAATGCTAGGTGAATTATTTCAATGTATTCTAAATATAGCCATGGAGGTTTGCATACATTTCCTGCTTTTATATAATCTCAAACAATCCATGAACCTTCCCAATACAACCTTCAGGGTTTGTTTTAGGTAATGCAAGTGCTAAATTGTCATTAATACAAGTGCTAAATTATCAGTAATTGAACCATTTTAGCACCTATAATGGAGTATTAACATAATTCGTCTGCATCACAAAACAATATAGCCCAATTTTAAAGATTAAGAGAAACCAAAATCAGTGAAAGATTAAATACAGCACTGTTACACCACACTGTGCAGTGCCAGCTAACAGTGGATTAAGCAATACAAACAATGTTCTTGAGAGTAATAGCCATTACAGCACTAAACATCTTCAATTTCCCAACTCGAAATCAAACATTCAATCATGTGTGATGTCTGGCAACTTAAAATATCCCAATTATGTAATGTTCTCCTCAGTTATACTTATTTAATGTGAATGTGGATGATCGTTATACCAACTTTATGCAGGGAGCATTGTCTAACTTGCCAGCGCTCTCCCCTCTGGATCAGAAGGCTGTGTTGTTCAAGACCCTACGATGATTTGAGCTCATTGTGCAAGCTGAGGAACGGCATCTCTGCATTATCAGAGACTTTAAACTGAGGTCTTTTAAACTGGTTGTTCATTGAATAGCTGTTCACGGGACTTTGCCATTTGCTGTAACCAAATTGTCTGTCTGGTCTGTTGCCTCGTGAAAATCACTACGCATGACAGTTATTACTTATGAAACGCTTGGAGACATTTCAACATTATAGATGCTATAAAAACAGAAGTTATTTTGATTTGCAAATAGAAACTTTTCATTTAGTTTGAGCTGGTGCATTTTGTTTAACCAAGCATGCACTGTTTTTAGTGCCATCAATAATTCACGAGCATATTAAACATTTCAAATGCATCAAGGCAAGATCTTGAAGGACAAGGATAATCACCTTTTGGCTTTCTGAGAAGAACAGGACTGCAAGAAGNCCCCCCTCCAGCTGCATGCAATGGAAGAGAAAGACAAGAAAAGAAGACAAGAGATATAGTGCCCATTCTATACTCAAGAGAAACTGCTGTCTGCTACCAGAACTTAGATAATTTTCATTGCAAAAGAGGATAATGAAAGGACAGCATTTAAAACATTCAATATCAAACTGTTTTTTCTTTCAAATTACTCCTGCAGATTTAGAAAAGTTCCATCGCTAGCAGTGTGCAACTAATTTTCTTCTTACTAAACGAACAGCCAGGTGAGAAATACAACGATCAGATGAACATAGCAAGTCACAAACAAAAATTTCAGCCAGCAATCAGAAATCAGCATTGACCATTTGTGGGCAATGTGCATTCAGCACAATGACCTCCTATGTTCCATTTGTTCAAAGTTTTGATGCAACAGTTAAGAGTGTGGAGAAAATGATGAACATCTGTGTATAATTCAACTTGTGGTGCATTGTCTCCAAGCTTTACAACAACAACAAGATCCCATTTATAGAGTGCCTTTCACGTCGGGAGGACGTCCCAAGGCGCTGTACAGTTGGGTCAGGACCCGAGGATTGGGGGGAAATGGTCAGGGTGAGGGGAGGGAAGGGAGGGAGCGAGGAGGGGGTAGAGAGTCGAGAGAGGAGCTGAAGGCACGATCAAAGAGAAAGGTCTTGAGACCGGCCTTGAAGGAGGAAAGGGAGGAAGCGGCGAAGGCACTGAGGGATGGAGTTCCAGAGCCTCGGGGCTGAGAGGCTGAAGGCCCGACCACCGATGGTAGGGCGGTTGGGGCGGGGGGGTGTGGAGCAGACCGGAGCCAGTGGAACGGAGGGTACGGGCAGGTAAGTAGGGGGATAGTAGGTCGGAGAGGTAGGAGGGAGCGAGGCCGTGAATGGCCTTGTAGGTGAGGATAAGGATCTTGAATTCGATCCTCTGGGGGATGGGGAGCCAGTGGAGGTGAGCGAGGGTGGGAGTGATGTGGTCCTGGTGCGGGACAGGACACGAGCTGCAGAGTTCTGAATGACCTGCAGCTTGTGGAGGGAGGTGGCGGGAAGGCCGGCGAGGAGAGAGTTCCCATAGTCCAGCCTTGAGGTGATAAAGGCGTGGACCAGAGTTTCAGCCGCGTGAGGGGTGAGGCAGTGCCGTAGTCTGGCGACATTCCGGAGGTGATGGAAGGCGGTGCCAGTTGTGGCGCAGATATGAGGAAGAAAGGACAGCTCAGGGTCTTTAGATGGGGAAGAAAATCATCAGTGTTACTGCTTCTATTGAAATCAAATGCACAATTACCAGAAGTTAAGAAATCCATTCCTTCATTTCTCTAAGAGGCCAAGCCGGCAGCGATCACTCTCCAATCCTCTGGAACAATTGTAAAACCGATGCCATACTACTTTTTCTCCCCAGCAAAACCGAGTGAAGACTTAGGTTGCGTCTTCATTCACCTCTAAATGTGAGGCGTTCTTTTGCATGAAAATTGCTATAGATCACTGTTGCCTCTCAAACACAAATTTCAAAAAGTATTTCTACAACGATATAAAATGCAAGGATTATTATTGTTACCTTTTTATCACATTCACTACCTGGGCCCTAGAAGTCTTACTTCATTTCTAACATCCAACTGTTTCTGGATGTTTCTGGAAGGCTCAGCATTCCGAGACGCTGCCCTTCCTGAAGGGCACTATATAAATGCAAGCAGTTGTTGTTGAGGCTGAGAAGGCGTTGGATAACTGTAGCTGATTAACAGCATGGCATGGAGACTTCAGGTTGGATCTCCAGGGTACAATAATAATAATTCTTGCATTTGATACAGCACCTGATCACGTCGTTGAGACGTCTCAAAGCGCTTCACAGAATACATTGTAAAGTAATTGACTATATTTTGTGGGTGAAACGCAGCAGCCAATTGCACACAACAGTGTCCCACAAACAGTCATGGATTGAGTCACCAAAGGGATTATTACCCCCGGAAAGCAATCCACCAATCAACTACTAACTGGGTTCCAACTTACTGCTAGGTAAACAGAGGAGCGTGGAGCAAAGAAACCTGTCTAAGGTTTCGCCCCACCTGGGAACCGAACCCAGGTCCTCTTGCTTGCAAGACAAATGCTCTAACCAATAGGCTACAAGACTCGAAAGAGGTTCACTGGGAGCTTCAAACTATTCTGTCTGAAAGACAGCTTTCCTGAAACTGTATTAAGTAGCTGGGCACCTATGTAAAGGTGTGGTCATCTTTATTGGAAAGAGACTCCATCTAGCAGCCTCTGCTCCCAGCCACAGAGGATCCACATGAATCATTGAGTTCTGATGGAGGAAAAAAAGACTGCAAGAGAAAACAAGTCTCCCCAGAGCACTCTTGTTCTTTTTTTAAAAAAAAGTTTGATAGCAGCAATGTACAAATGGTCAGATTCCTGGGGACTTGCATGGAGGGGTTAAAAATGATTGTTGAAAGAACTAGTTTTCCAAGAAAGTGAAGAGACTCTTGAAATAATCTGCTTGGACACTAATATACAACAATAAGCAGGTCTTCCCTCTACTAGGATATGGTTTTAGCTATGACAATCAAGCTATGAAGCTTGCTTGCAAAACTGCAGCCTTTCTGTGAAGGCCTACTTTTAGGAAGAAGTTTTAATTTTGCTGGGTCAAAGAATTATTCTAACTAATCACAAAATAATGCACCTCAGTCAATAATTTTGCAATCGCTGTTTGGATGTCTTGTAATATTCCAAAGAACCTTGGCATGGCTGCAAATTGTGCAGCAGATATCTTCCATCTGGCTATTTGAAGAACATCCTCAATAAAGTGAAAAAATTGCCTTGGACGCCTGGGGATCCAACGACTCATGCCAGAGACTTCTTTCTTGGTTGCTCCTGGGGTGGGAGTAACTGATGAGTTACTGCAAGCTCCTTAATGGCATCAAAGACAGAAGAGTGCGAGTACTAAGAATTTACAGATAGCAGGGCTTTCCAATAAGTGCCAGGACTATATCTATCTATCTCGCTGTGGAACTGACTGCAGCTCTTGTGAGAGCTCAAAGAGTAGGAACCATCACATTAAGTGGCACTAAGCACTGACATAACAAGGTTAAACCCTCAACTTTCTGGATAACAGTCAGCCTGGCTCAGTTGGCAGCACTCTCACCTCTTAATCAGAGGTTGTGGGTTTAATATTTACATCAGCTACTTGAACTAACAGTCTACACCGACACTTCAGCACACGCTGTGGGAGCGATGCAATGTCAGAGATGTTAACCAAGGTCCCGTCTGCCTGTTCAAGTGGGATTTAAAAAGTAGAGTCAGGTGAGGGTGGGTATGATCGGTTCACAGAGCTTGGTAAGGGAAAGGGAAGAATTGGTACGTCTGGCAAGCAGGGAGTGAACATAGTCAAGCCTGGATGTGATAAATGCGTGAATGAGGATCTTGGCGGCTTGAGGGGAGACCGAGGTGGAACCGGGCGATGTTGCCGAGGTAGGGGAAGGCAGAACGGATCATTGCATAGATGTAGAGTTTGAAGGCTAGTTGAGGGTCGAACAGGACACCAAGGTTTCATACTGGCTGTGTGAGGTGGAGAGTACATCCATGACACTATACTGCAATGCCAGGGAGGACCACAGAAATCTTTTTTTGCTCTTCTTGCAAGCAAGTCCTGAATATAATACATTTATTATTTATTATTTATTATTTATTGTAGGTGCACAACTGTATTGTTTCCCTTCAGCATTCAGTAGTGCCTTGGGACATCCTCCCGACGTGAAAGGCGCTATATAAATGTAATTTTGTTGTTGTTGTAGCTGGATTGTAATCTGTCCACACAGCAGTCGCAGATATTAATTTTTGTTTCCATGAAGTATCTTAATTTCTTCCACAGGACGAGTCCAACATTTATTTCGTGTGAAGCAACTACACACGTTCCTGCAGTAGATTCCATTTCAAACATCTGATATTGGCAAAGGCCCAGTCAGAATCCAAGATTCACAAATATACAAGACAACCTGACAGTTGTGCCAAGAACTATATGCATTACCTCATTGCTGCCTGAGTACAAGTATACAGTACAGATGAAATTTCATCAACAAATCGTGCACACATTTTCTCCAGTTTGCATCATCCACCTGTTTCCACTTGTTGATCATTATGGTATTAACCTTTTCCAAATTAAACAATATTTGTCAGGCAACAAAAAACTGCACTAACGTAAGAAGCATTGTATGTTTAATGCTTGCACTAAATTCTGACAATTTCAGACACTTCCACATATATTTACATGATTGAACTATGAAACAACAAACATGTGGACATTTTTGACAAAATGTAACTGTATTTCAGTCACTCTTCTTTAAAAAATTTTTAGGAATTTAAATTGACAATAAAATGGATAATTCTAACCCTAATTTTAAGAACGGGTCCATTACTCATTGATGTGAAGATTTTATATATACATATTCAATTATACTGCATCTGTTAAAATGTACATATCTCATGATTATGCCAAAAGCTAGAGAAGCAGGATCAAAAAGATCTGAAATACAATGCTGGCTATTAAGAATGAACACGTTAAGAGAGAAAGCTACACCTCCTTTTCCACGAGGTCAGGTTACACTGACCTATGCTGGCGCTGGGGAAAAACAACAGACAGAAGATCTGGGATCGCAACTGTCTCTTGGTAACTGACAGCTTAATTACTTTCATACAGCAATTTGATTCATACGCTTTGTAAGACATCCATAACGCCCATTTTGCCTACAATTGTTTAATCCATTAATCCTCACATTGTGGGCAGGTTCAGCAGCCTGGCAGGTTTTAGAAGTTTTAAACACCCGAATGAGCAGCTTAATTACTAGAACCATAAAATAATATTTTTTTCTCTTAGATTATCCAATTTACTACTGAATAGACCATTGAGGCACTAAACCTACTTAAGTATCAGAAACATATCAACCCTCTTAAACTGCCAAAAGCACAATTTAAGAAATGGCAGAGCAAACCTATACATATCTTGTGGCCCCTTTACCTAACCTATCCTTTCCTAACCCACCAAAAATAATCCCTACCCTTTGCTGTTTTTAATCTTTGCTGAGACTATCACCATGCATTTGATATGCAGAGTTGGTTTTCAACCAATGAGATCTCAGGTGTGAGCAGTTCCTTACAGCTTCAAAGTGGAGGACAGGGCTAAGAAAAGAATTGTAACTTTGAAATGCTTCCTGTGGGCTTGCACGACCCACTTTGCAGGCTAGAGCAACTTCTAGAACTTGGATTTCACTGGCTGAAAACCACACAAGAGAATTTTCATTAATGCAAATGAAAAGCCCAAGATCAGAAGGGTGAGCTAGTTGCGACAGAAGTGACACCGTCAACACATAAAATTATCCCAGAACATAGGAACTGGAGTAGGCCATTCAGCCCCTCGAGCCTGTTCCGCCATTCTAATACATCATGGCTGATCTGTACCTCAACTCCAATTAACCTTTTGCCCCCACATCCCTTGACATCCTCACCTAACAAATATCTATCCACCTCAGTCTTGAAATTTAATTTAAAATTTGCATCTGCAGCATTTTGGGAGAAAGTTCCAGATTTCTAATATAATAATACCTAATAATATAATAATAGAATAGGGGAATGGTCAACGAGACTGGATACCAGAAGGAGGCTAGTCATCAGCCCCCAATCGAGAAATCAATGTTGACAGGTTTAAAGAATGGCATGAAAGACGTTACTCAACAGGGGGAAAAAAGAATTACATGGTGAGTTAGCTGCCAAATTAAGGTTGCTTAATGATGAAATAAAAATGACTGTAGATAAAAATAATTGTACTGTCTCAGGTGAAATTAACAGTTAAATTAACCAATAACTGCAATTTTTATTAAATCAAAGTTTATTGGGAAAAAATACATTTCTTAGGTAATTACCTTAGGTAATTGTCCAAATAATCCTCCTCACTAAACATCTCCCATTTCAATAACAATTTCAAATTTAATATGTACTTTATCAAAAGTTGCCAATTAAATTGTATTATTAATCTAAACAAGTACTATTCTTGGACTAAAAAATTGACTAATTCAACAACTTTCACTTATCTTTCATGCAAAGTACTTAATAGAGATGGAGTGGGAGCGCGAGTTGTTTGGGAGATCGGATAGTAGGAGGGAGAGAGAGAGGTGACCAAAGAGATAGTTTTTCTTTAAAACAAATACGGAGGATGTGAGGCAGAGGGATTTTAGGAGTGTGCCAGATTAGGGGCAACAAGGCTGAAATTCCCCCGCCAATGGTGATGCAGGAGACATGCAGCAACCTTGAGTTAATAGAGAGGAGGGAGTGGGAGATGAAATAGATCTAGATATGGAGTGGGGCAAGGGCATGGAGACATTTCATGGTGATAATGAGGATCTTGAAATTGATCCGCTGGGGAATAGAAAGCTAGTGGAGCCTAGTGAGTAAGGCAATAATGGTCTGGTCTCATGGAGCCCGGTGTGGTAAAGGATACAGGCTGCGTGGTAAAGATCACAAGATGGTGCTGCACATTAAATTGCACAACAGGAAGTGATGGGCAGGATGAAGATTTGATACCCCAGGATGGGAGTGAAAATATGAACCACTCTGGGAGAGGCAGACAGGTATCCCACCAGCTACAGTTAGAGTTTTAAACACAGAGGCTTATAATTCAAGCAAAAATAAGGGTTTTGTGATTTATTATAAAGTACACGTTACAAGTGAAATATAAAACACCATGGGACGTTTTCCTGACGTAAAAGGCGCTATATAAATATAAATTTGTATTATATTGCATAACTGGACAAAATATCTTCCTGAAATACAGAAGTAACCTCTACATTACAATTTATCAGTGCAAATGGTATACAACAGCTCTATAAACTCTGCTTCTTAATTCAAAGCAGAGATGTACATCTACTCTTGCTACAGTGGACTGAGAAATCAAAGTCAATTAAATACAACTGCATACATCACAACAGCATAAATAATGCAAATAGACACCCAGTCCTGTAGCTCAGTGGTTAGAGCACTCGCTTTGCGAGCGAGAGACCTGAGTTCAATTTCAGGCAGAGGGCGAAACCTTGGGCAAGTTTCCTTACTCCACACAGAGCCTAATAATAATCCCTCCAAAAAAACAAAACAATAATCAATTGGTCATTTTCAATCTACGACTGTTTGTGGGACATTGCTGTGCGCAATTGGCTGCCGCGTTCGCCCACAAATATGCAGTCAATTCACTTTACAATGTGTTCTGTGAAGCGCTTTGGGATGTCCTCCCGACGTGAAAAGCGCTATATCAAATGCAAATATAATAATTATTATTATTATATTATTGTTATTATATTATATTCAGGGGAACAGAATACAAAAGTACAAAGTTGTGTTAAATTTGTACAATTTGGTTAAACCATATTGTACTGTGTACAGTTCTGGTCACCATAATACAAGATGGATATTGTGGCAATGGAGAGTGCAGTGTAGATTTACTAGGCTGTTACAAGGGATGAGAGATCTGGACTGGACAGGCTTATTATTTCCAATGGTGTAAGCTTGGACTTGCAGGATGTCATTTTTCTCACATAGCACTATAAACGTACTAATGAGGAAGTCTAGAACAATTTCAGGATTCAGCTTTACCTTGGTGAAAGCATCCACAGAAATACAACAAAAATACACCATGATATATATCCTCAAGCAGTTTGGATGTCCTGGCATGCAGGCAACTATTAACATTGAGTCTTTTTATTTTGCTACTTTAATCTTAGGTTAAACCTCAGCAAATGGAAAAAGCGATTTCATCTATAGCAAGGAGAGGTACATTAAAGCCACATTCCTATTTTACAACCATCACTCTAGGTTGAATTTCTCATGAATATAAATACTGAATCACGAATAATGCTACTGAAAGAATCATAATTGTCTGATATGACAATTTCTAAGTAGATTCTATAAGGAGGAAATATGAAATAGGGAAACCTTACAGTGTCCTGACTTACCTTAACCATCCTAGGCTGACTCCTAGCCTGCTCCAATTGCAGATTGAGTCGGAGCAAAATTCCCACCAGTCTTCATGACGTACTTTATTTTCTCATTAAGGAATCCCGTAAGAAACGCGCATTAGACCTGTGTGACTGAAGTACATTAGCCAACAAGTAGCAACGGTCTTGTTCGATTGACTTGCCTATTAATTCCACAATGCTGCCACTTCGAAGCCGGTTTGTGGTTTCATCTCGAGCAATGCTGACTCTGGTGATGCTGCCAGGAGTGGTTAGAGCCTGGAGGAGTTCAGGAGGAGGAGTACGAAACAGCTGCTGCAACATTTCCAGGGCAGCTGTTACCACATTGTGGTCCCTGTGCTGGGTGTAGTGTAATGTTAATTCATAGGCCTGTATAAAGCAAAATATTATAATTAATTCCTCAAATTGTAGTAATTTTATTGACAACAGAACATCAATTAACACAAGTTATGATAAATACATAAATACCACTAGCCTTGGGACATTCTCCTGACATGAAAGGCGCTATACAAATGTAATTTGTTGTTACCACTAATTGTAAAATCTTCTCCAAAAAAACCAGTTTTAAAGGTAGGCTCCACATCTGGACTTGAACTCATAGTCCAGGCTGGGGAGTGCCAAATTATTAGATATAGCATCCTTCATTTGAGATTTTAGACCAGGGCTCTGTCTGTGTGTTCAGGTGGATGTAAAAGATCCCATAGCATTATTCAACAAGTTAAGGGAATTTCTCCACACAATCAACCAAATATTTTTTTAAAAAATTTAAATGTCTCTTTGCTGTGTGCAAAAAGACTACATGGTCACTTAACTTAATTATCTGTGAATGCTTTGAGATATTCTGACATGATCGGCATAATATCAAATTAAAAACTATATACTACATATACTATCAACAACTTACTCAATGGAAGTGATATAATAAATGCTGACCCAGGCAATTAAACTTTTAAAATGGCATTTTATTTATTCTGGAGCAATATTCCTACTTTAAATATACCACAGGATGTCTGAAAATGTTAGGAAAAATCAGCAAGATAATTTTACCTTATGTAAATTCCAGAACTTTCTAGGTTATCTATTTGTTTATGATTATTTACTTACACAATCACATTTTACATCAATAAAACGTTGTTTATTTATTGCCTGATTATCCCTTTCTCATTAAGTTAGATCCCATCTGCCTTGCCAGTTGAGGTGGATACAAAGGAGTTTCTATTTACGCGTCTGTACACAAGATCACAGGGTTCACGATTTAGCCGCGCATTGCAAGTGCAAACTAGCTATGCCAAGGTGTTTATTTAGCAATTTGTTATTCGGTTAGAGTCACAGAGAAAGAAATAGAAATTTTTTAAAAAGTGAAGAGACAAAACAAGGAAGTTAAAATTTAAGAGGGGAAGTCAGAAATAGACAGATTTAGAGACACGGAAATCAAGGGGGGAAGGGGGCAGGAGACACACACACACTCGACAGAAGAAGTTTTTGGTTTATGCATACCAACCAGTTTTGAAAGGCCGATGGACCTGGATTACAAGTGTGGGTATTTTGGGATCCACAAATCAAGCATCCTATACGCAAACCCACATTATAACTGAGTTTACCTGTGTTTAATTTTTTTTTAAAAAGTCGACTCCCATGATGGAATTTAGTTGACCAAAGGAAAACATTGCTGCCGAAATACGAAACTTTCCCAAGCAGAAGAACAACTCAGATCCGGCTATCTATCACAGAAGGGTAGTCTCGTCTCTAATACATGCCTACAGGCCACTTCTCTGGAAGATTAGGTCCAGTAAGTACAAGCCCCCCGACTTCCACAGCAAGAAGTTTTTAGAATCTTTACACCATGAATTATCACTTTTTACCTCAGACAATTTTCAACTTAACTCACTAAATTCCGATTAACTCCTTAAAAGTATCACATGGATTTTATTAAATGCTTTTTGAAAATACTAATACACTCTAGTGAAGCATCACCTGAGCCAATAGAAAAGTGTGAAAATATGTGCCAAAAATTGCAGAGAGATTTGATGAATCTTGTGGGAAATTGCAGGGGGTTGATTGCTTTTGATTGGTGCTATTGAGGTACATTTTACTGCCGACCTACATGTTTTCACTTTATTGATAAAAACTAAACATAAGGAAATAACACATATTAGATTGTTGCAAAAAAAATTAATTGCTTCTTTAAGATGAACTGTGTGGCCCTTTGGGGGGGGAGGACTGGGGATGGGGGGAAACGACACCAGTGAGGCTACAGGAGCTCAGCACCTCCTGCCTCTCAGGGCCAGCACCACACACACACACACTCACACACACACACTCAGAGACATACACATACATATAGAGACACACACACAGGCACTCACAAACACAGACACCCCCGCAGACACAGAGAGACACACAGACACAGATAGGTATACAAACACAGAGACACAGACACTCACACATACATAGAGACACGCAGACACTCACACAGAGAAACACACACAGACACTCACAGAAACATAGACACACAGACACTCACACAGGCAATCGCAACAGTGAGGCCTCCGAGTGAAGCCCATTTGCCTCTTGTGCCGCACCTCGCATGCGTGTCGGAGCCTCCCCACCCACAGTGACATCAGGTAAACAGCGAGCAGCCCGCGTTTGTTTACAGCAGGCTTGTACCTGGGTGGGGGGGGGGGGGGTTTGGCAGGTTCAACAGAAAAAGTACAGCCGCACTTTTCTATTGGCCCAGAGCATGACCCATTTCCTCTAAATCCATGTTGAATACTCCTCATAGCTTCTATGCTCTTTAGATGAGCATTCATAGCATCCCACCTAACAGTCTCAAACAACAACAAGATTACATTTGTATAGCGCCTTTCACATCGGGAGGATGTCCCAAGGCGTTGGACAGTGTTCAGCATTTCAACATATTCCCACAAGACAGTAAAACCAATTTATGTATCACTGTTTTGTTTGGAAAGGTTAACATCTTGTTATACTGCAGGGCTCAGTTTGTGTTCATGGAGTTTCTCAAACCAGAGCCTCGTCACTCCATCAAGGATCCAATTGATTCCTTCAAATGTTTGAGTTTCTTCAGAACATGTACTACAGTAATAATCTCCTTGTTTTTAAGATCTGCTAGCAAAAGCTAGAATTAAAACTTGTGAAAATTGATGTGAATAATCTGACATTATTCACCTCATGATCTTCAATAATATCTCTTCTTCCTACTTTATCCTCCCAAAAAACACACCTGTCCTTCAGCACATACCTGTATAAGTTGCTCCAAAGAAGGGGAGATTTCAGCTTCCTTCCGAGTCACACCAAAGCTGCCTCTCAGACTAGTATCCTTGACTTGTTGTCTCAGCAAAGGCATTAGATACCTGAGTGTAAGCATTACTCCTAGGATAAGTGGAGTAGGCCGATCTTCCTCCACGGGGACTAAAAATCCTGCAGCATTATAGAGAATAAAGGAATATAAATGTCAGATCTCAATACTTTCTCAGCTTTGTTGACACATTTCATTCCTCTAAATAAAGTAAAAGTGCTTTTACGTGCCACATTCTGTTCAGTTAATATGACGCAATAGCACTAACTGTTAGGCTAACCATCAGCATTAATGCGTTCCACATGTTAAATTCTAGATAAGCCAGCAATTAGTCATGATCCCTTTGCAAAGTTACTATTAGTTTTACAAATTTAAGATGAACAAGGGGCTTGAAATTCTTCATGTTTGATTGGCTTAAGAGCCATTTGGCTTCCAAATGAACAATTTTCAAAAATGCCACACAACCTGAAACTAAGATAAGCATAAGAACATAAGAAATATTAAAATGATCATAGAACATGGTTACAGATGTAAACATTTTTTAAAAAATCTGTCAAAATAGCACAGGATGGATTGACAATTGTAAATATTATATCCACCTAATAGATCGACTGGCAAAGCATTAGTCATTTAATTAGGCCGTTGTCCCATTTTAGGTCTTGGCAATAATTAAATTACGTCATTGCAAAAACTGCAATTTAATTTTCTTGTGCAAGTAATTAGACATCCTCCCAAAAGCCCTTACGAAGCATCCAATAAGAAAAGGTTACTGCCCTTATAAATAATGGTGAGGTAATCACTCTTCGAATCTGGTGCAAAGTCCAAAATGTAAGTTACTGGCATGATATAATTTCTTACAATTATCCCAACATGTCACAAGATTAGTTTTGATTTAGCTCACTTGAGCTCATCCTTCCCCTGTGGGTATTGTGGAAAGATGAGATCCAGTGAGCTGTGTTGAAATATTATAAAAGTTATAATATCCCGGCCAGTGTCGCAAATCAGCACAATGCATTTTACTAACAAAGTAACAGTGATCAAGTAAACAAGGCATTTCCATCACACATAATACTTGTACTACAATTTTAAACTATGAAGATATACAGTATATGCAAAGTAGCTATCTGGAGCTCCTCATTGTGTTTACACTATCAATTAATTTTTTATATCAATTGTCAATTTTTCATTTTCACATTCAGTATTGCTCATCGAATCATTGTACTGTATTGCTTTATTCTTTCCTTCAATTTTCCCCTCATCTTTCCTGTCTAGTTTTTGTTGTCCATGAGCAAACCATTTCTCTTTAAGAGGCATGGTTAAGGCTACAGGATTGTTTTACCCAGCTAACACTGCCTCAGTCGCACCAATTCTTGGAACAAATCCCTCATCAAAAACTGGGTTGTCTTCTAGTCAGCATGACCTCCCGAGGACAAGACAGTGAAAGAAGATTAAGTCAGGAAGAGGAATTAGACACACGGTAAGGAAGAGATAAGTGAGTGTTTTGGCTTTGTGGTTATAAACGATATTAAAAAACACACAGAAAAGGACTATTACTATGCCTGGATGCATTTGCTCAGTAAAGCAGATAAGGTTTGCTTTGACCTCAAGTGCAAAATAATCTTGAATTCAAACTACAACCTTGCTTTCATCTTAAGTCCATTCTTCCCCTTCCCCATCAATCCAAATAGTATATTGTGCAATTTAATCATTTGCATTTTAAAGGAACCATCTTTCCAAATACATGGGCCAGAGACGAATTTCTAAGCAGCTAAATCTCTACACCTCCAATTACCACAAAATACAGGTTTTAGCCGTGACATTTTTACTTCACACCAGTCTTACCCAAAAGCACATTCAATAGCCAAGTGTAGAAATACTGGGTCCTTCTTGAATGCTGACAGATGACAACAGCTGAACTGGCTGCAGTTCTCCGAATAGTTGGAGAACTCGATTTCAGGTTCCCAATAAACGTCTTCAACAACATCTGAAATTTCAAAATTAAACACTTAATTTCTCTTTGTGTTATACCCTACAGCTTTTTTTCCACATATGTGGTGTCAGGTCACTTGATGTCTTATCAATAGAATATTTTGGATTTAGATTCAATCTACAAGCAAAGGCACCTATAATATATTCCATTTGATTCTGACAGAAGCAGGAAAAAGATAATCTAAAATGAAGAATAACTTTTCTATAGACAAGTGTAAATGACAAAAACCCAGTATATTCAGTCCTCACTGTATCACAAGTATGAATACAACCCATGTGTGCTCCGACACTGCCACAGTGTGAATGGTGCTATATAAATGCAAGTTGTTGTTTCACTGTGGCCCACAGTAGTACTGCACACTTCCAGCACTGACTGGCCAGTGTCCTGTGCACAGCACACAGAAGGCCTTCCAGTTTTCTGCACAGTACTACACTCGTGTGCAGCATGGCCTAGTTAATTCATTGGTGACGTCATGATCCAGAGCTGCTGGCTGCACTATAGCTCGAACAGGAATAGATAGAATGCAGGGACTCCTTTCATGGACCCAAACTGTTGTTTTATAACAGGTTCTAAATATCTGGTATATTTATGTTGCATATTGCAAAGTGAAGGCTATTGGGAGGAAAAACATTACAAAATACAAAAACAGAATGGATGAAAAATACTAAGAGCTTCGAGCCTCAAATATGGCAATTCTTGCACTTTCAATTTCCGCTCCTTAATACTATATATATCTTACCCCAAAATGATCCCCTAGACAAATAGTCATTAAAAAAATTAATTTTAAAAAATGGACTAAAGTAAAATAGTTTTGCAAAAACAATAACAAATTGCATTTATTTTGCCCCATTCATGTCGGAGAAATAACACTAAGTGATACAATTCGCAACCTACAGAATCCCTATGAAAGCTTTTAAATCATATGGGACTCCTAAGCATCAAGAAAATACATTACATCATCTTCTAGATTTAGCTCATGATAGAATCCTGTAATCCCCAGACACCTGTAATAGTATGCTAGATATTCTGGTGTTTCTTAAGACTTTATTTGTAATGTTCACACCTTACCACAACATATCATCATCTTTGGGGGAAAGGAAAAAAAAGGGAAATCAATTAGATATTAAAACTACACTTTGGTGAGCTAATTGTTACTTGAATAACCCCATTAAATGAGGTCAATAAGATGTGCCCCTCAAGGGAAAGAGTGTGTATTCCATTCAAAACAATCTATCTCTGGGATTTCCATGTGTAGGTGGGAAGCATGGAATTCTCAGTTTGGTTTGGACACTCTAAAGCATGGGGATGGGTTTTCGCATGGGCTGACCATTTTCCAGCCGGGTCACTAGATAATGAACAGGAACAGAAATCTTGGCAGATTTTCCGTCCTCACTAACTCAAAACCAATTGTAAGTACCACAACAAAATGTCCTCACAATCAAATAGCTTGCTGAACACTCAGTGGAGGTAGAGTATGCGTGAATAAGGGCCACTTGGGCGAGTTACTAGAAAGTGACCAGAACTCTGTTTTCCTGAATCAACTGCCTTCACAAAGATAGAAAACTAGTGGGGAAAACCCTTCAAGGGAGTCACCACGAATTAGCATTACGGAGCACAGAGCAAAGGAATTGAAAGCCTCTCTCAACATAAAAGAATCATAGTAAATTTAAACTACATTATAAAATATTGTAATTACCTTGAGATTGTAATTTAATCTCAAGTTTCAGATACCATTTCCTTAAACTTTCCTTGAAGTGCTCAGGGCCATAAATGTTGCTGCTTTTAAAACATTTATAAGCTACTTAAGTTATTCCGAGGCGATCAGGCACCGTAAACCACAATAAGGTTGCTGCCTTGAAAACCATTCCACTTATCAATTAAAGAAACATTGGGACCTTAAAATCTTATTTATCTTTTCCCACCTGAAATTAACATTACTGTGGCATTGCAGGCTAGTTTACGTTACACACAACATCCTGGGGGGAAGAAAATAGATTGTGTCCATGTTCACCAAAAATGCCATTCCTAATTTTGACTAAAAATATTTTTTTTCAGTTAGTCAGTTTCCAACATGTGGTAACCTATCACCATGTTTATGAGTAAAAGAAAGTAAAGAAAATGATAGGTGAGCAAACAAAGACACTATTAACGGAAGTAGAAGATTACAGTACTTTAATTTCACTGTCGTTTGCAAAGTTGCCCAGAGCTGCCATGATCTTCGGCACAGAATTGGCAAGCGTCTCCTGCACAGCTTCTTCTGGACGTTTGCTGATCCGAGCCAGACAGGGAAGTAGGTTCACAAGGTAAGGCCTAAAGAGGGGCAAATAATGAGACTCATTAAGGTTCAAAATGCACTACAAAGTGGAAGCTTCAATCCCGTGCTCCACTGAAATCAAAATCCCAGCAGTGCAGCTTGACAATGCTAACAAGAGTGCAAATTATCTCCTAAAAAGAGGCTCCACCTAACCATCTCTTGACATTTAACCCAAAGCAACACTGATATAAACTACTGTTTCCATGCCATAACACTATGTAACACTTGTGAAGAACTAGTAGATGCTAAAGAGAGGGCTCTGTATCTTAAAAATAAAAAGTACACATACTCAAAATATCCTTTTCCCTAAATATTTATTATATCAGCAACTACTGAAGAGTTATTGAATCCAATATAATATGAATTAACAGATATTGTTGATGCTAAAGCACTGTAGGCTAATATATATATATACACACACACACAGTGAATTCAGCTCCCTCAATCTAACAAGTTCAGGAACACTAGTGATGCTGTCAGCGCCTGAGGTGAGAAGGCGCTGATGGGAGCCAAGTAGGAGAGCCTTGGTCTTGTCGATATTCAACTGGAGAAAATTGGCTCTCATCCAGGACTATAAAAAAAATCCACAGAAACATTTTGTTTAAATAAAAATGGTACAGGAGATAAAAGATTTTTAAAAGATTTTTATGTTTGAAGAAACAATTTATAAAGGCACACTAAAAGGTACATTAACAACTAGATGTATGTAATATAGATCACCTGCACTTCTGTGGACGAACAAGGTGAGCCAGCTCAGCAAACCTCCAAAGTGCAGCACGAAGACTTCGAGAGGGGCCATTCTGTACATCGAAAGAAATAAAGTTGAGATGTCTCAAATAATTTTACAGACTATACTGTAAAGTGAATTAACTGTATATTTTGTGGGTGAAACGCAGCAGCCAATTGCACACAGCAGTTTCCCCACAAACAGTTGTGGATTGATTGATCACATTTTTTTGTTGTGTTGAAGGGATTATTTCCCCTTTTTATTATTTATTGTTACATATTTGATCACCCTAGTTGAAATATTGGGCTCTTAAAGACAATCAGTAAATGCAACGGATTTAATATTGTCCCAGATTATGGAACTTAGAAGTTGCCAACAGCTATCTGTTAAACAATTAAGTTGCCTTGATAGTAATATTTTCCCCAAGCTAATTAACACTACTCATCTTAAAAACATTTGGCATATAGATTCCATTCCTATGTTGCTTTAGATATTGCCTGACATTTACTAAATCAAGTTAACAATGCTCACTTTTGAAGGAGCAAATCACTATTTCAAATGCATTTCTATAGAATCTCAATAAACAACTGGTGTTAAACATGCTGCACCTCAACAATGCTTAATGCCATTAATAGACAGAAGTTACAGTCTGTGTCAGTTTACTTCCATCAATTTCAGTCACAAATTTAATGCAGATTGAAATGGAATTTATGAAAGGAATACAATTATGCAAAATCATCATTTTACACGATTCTGTGGAAAAAAAATCGGTGGGCATTTTTCAGATTGCTTACCAACCTTTTTGATTTCTTTATAGAGCTCTAATTGCAACCTCGGCAGATTCGAGTCCATCAGGGCCTATCAACAAAAGAAACAGCTAGACATTGGATTTTGCTTTAAAAGACATCTTTAGTGTTAATTAACAGCCTATATAGACCTTAAATGTTAAAATTACAGAAAAACATTCTTACATTTTTACAGAAGTCTCTGAAGAAGGCAGGGTTAATTCCAACTTCATACTAATCAGTTTTCTGAAATTTTATTGTGCAAGTGGCAGAGTTTAATCGTCTTATTGTGATTAGTTGCCAATAAGGATGTCACAAATCCTTAAAGGTTTGAACAACAGAGAAATCAATTTGGGTCCAGATACACACAGATGGCATAATAATAATCCTTGCATTTGATATAGCGCCTTATCACGTCATTGAGATGTTGCAAAGCGCTTCATAGAATATACTGTGAAGTGAATTGACTGTACATTTGTGGGCTTCATGTATCTCAGAATGCTTAGATATTATCTGATGAAAACATACTATGAACACCATACACTGCCAGTTTTAAAAAAATTATACTTACTTTGATAATTTTATTTAAACATTCATCAGCTACCATTCTAACGTCAGACTCTGTATCGTCACAGCACAATAAAAACATTTCCATTGCAATCCCCAGCAGTTTCTGAAACTCTGGTGAGTTCCTGTAAAATAAAAAAAATGTAGAAATCACCTTTAACACTGCAAGCATGTTTTTCAACAATAACAACCTGCATTTATGTAGGGTCCTTCACGGGTAGCATCTCAGTGTGCTTATATATTATCTGATAACAACATACTATGAACAGCATACCCTGCCAAGTTTTTATTTTAAAAAGAAGGTATTTTTAAACAATCAGAGTTAGAACAAATCTTCAGAATTTCATTCAGTACTGCATCTGCTTTTCTTGTGATCTGGAGTGCTTAAGAACACTCTGAGATGCTACATTGTGTGAAGGGCGCTATATAAATTCAAGTTGTTATAAACAGTTTTTCTCTAGTTACTTCCTACTTCATTCTCCTCTTGGTTTTCTGGGTCACACACGAACTGTGAACAAACAAGGCCAGCAACCAACACCAAAGCCATCAAAATATCACTGCGAATGTGCTGCCAATCCATGTGCAAGATCAACCTAGGCACTAGTGCTGGTGATGGATGTTATTTTTCAATCCTGTTGGAGGTATCTAATCAATACAAACATTGTATTCCAGGAACAATGAAAGTAATTCTGGGAGGAAATAAAACCTACTGTATGCAAGAGTGAGATCAAAAAATATTTTTAAACAAAGTTACAAAAATGAGCAATCCACTGTCCCAGAAGAATCAATTATGATGTTTAAAAGGGAGATAAGTATTCGGGATGTATTTCCGTATTGAGGGGAAAAGGAAGAAAAGTCAGAGAAATCAGATACCACGATCAAATTGGTGATAAAAAGCTCAATAGGCTGAAAGTTAAATTAAAAGGGCTTCAAGTCAAATAGATAGTGGCAAATTTTATTCTACATTATTCAATATACAATATTGATTAATGAAAGCTCAGTAGATTAATCTCAAATGAATATTCTCACAAGCACAAGCAGCAAGTAATAACTCAAAATTATAACATTAATATAAATTTAGGTTAAATCTAGTTTACCTCAGAGACTGTGCAACAATGTTTTCACAAATGGTCAGGCAGTGTGTTACACGGTCCTTTTTGGTAGTGGCAGATTCTTTCTTCCTAAAGAAAATGAAGACGTGAGAGAGCAATTAGATAGACATCCACAGAGTAAGGTAGATAACCATAGGCAGCTGAGGCAAAAATCAGAAATGCATAATAGTAATCTTTGCCTTGGATATAGCGCTTTTCACATCACAAGGATATTTCAAAGTCTTTCACAGAATTTTTGGTGTAAAGTACTGTGGTTGTATGTTTTGTAGGAAAACTCCAATGGAGAATCTTAGGTAAAAACCAATGCCACTCCACTCAACGAAGAACACCGATGCTCCTGCTCCATGTAGACTCAGAACACAAAATAATTTGTGCATTTTACTGGATTTGATGCTTATTTGTGAAGTTTACATTTACTGGAGGTGCAATAATTCACAAGTACTGCATGTGCTATCAAATCTTTCTCATGAACTAAAATAATACTGCTAATAATGTAATATCCAATAATTTGTAAAATGCGCTGATGTGTGGAAAAACATATTAATTCAATTGTAAATGTCATTACAAAGTAGGGAAGCTCACATTTTGTAGGGAAATACAGCCATTATTCGTTAATGCTCATTCTCCAAACCCTTAAATATTTGGTTTCAGGTTGTAGTTGTGATAAACTTCTTTAAGTTATAGATGTGTGGACAAGATTGCTAAAATTTAATTGTGTGTAAAAATGCAACATAACACGGTATTTAATATAACTCACAATTCTACATCTTAAAGCTTTACAGTTCAAGAAACCTGATCCACATTCATTTTGCACCAAAATAATTAAAACTCCAAATTAAAACCATCCTATATCGAACTGCTTTAATTAGTCACTCACTTCATGGCTGTTTGCTATTAGCTTACACAATGAACCATATTTGCACATTGAAACACTCAACAGGAATGAGAGATTTGACTTCTCAGAACAGACTGGAAGAACTGTTTCCCTAGAACCAGCAAAGACTGAGAAGAGATTTGATAGAGGCTTTTTTATACCGAACAAAGCGATTATTATTATTATGACAAAGAAAGATCCTATTGTAGTTGAGGCATAATCCATTTGCTCCTAATATTGATTTAGATTAACATCTAAAAAGAAGAAACATAAAAGAGCAAGGGGAAGGGGGCCTAAGTAGATCCCTTTTTCAAAAAGCCACCATAGGCGTTATGGACGAATGACCCATATCTGTCCTACACATTTCTAGGATTTTATGTATGGTTCCAGTCTTTGCTATCAAATGAATTGTAGGCACTACATTGCTTTACCTAAAATCAGACTAGCCTAGATGGCCAACTGTATCATCTGTATACTGTGCACGAGATCACAGAGGTGAGACAGAATTTAAACACTTCCATCTAGCTTCCCCAACGATATGGTTGGCAAAGTGGAGCAGCCAGGTGTAGTATTAAGCCACAAACACCAGGCTTGAATCTCAGCTTGTGCAAAACTAACTGATATCACACTATCTATGTAACCTCCTAAAAATCTAGCTATCTAGCCACTCCATTTGCTTAGCTAACACTGACCTGCTTCATGTCCCCTGCCTGATTATTGAATGACAGGTCCTCCACTCCAAGTTAAAAATCCTTCTCAAGATGTACCTCGTTGACAATGCTTTCGGACACCTTTCTCCTTCCCATCCTCTTCAGCATTCACACTCCTCCCCAGCTCGAGTCCCAGCCGTAAACTTAAAGCACTTTTAGATATCATGCAGGTTTGAAAGATGCCATATAGATGTTAATGTCATTGTATTTATTGGGACAGCAGGAAAAGCACAACTATAATAATAATCCTTGCATTTGATATAGCACCTTATCACGTCTTCGAGATGTCTCAAAGCACTTCACAGAATACACTGCAGTGAATTGACTGTATATTTTGTGGGCAAAGCGCTGCAGCCAATTATTATTTTGTTTTGAAGGAATTATTACACCCGTAAAAGCGATCTGCCAATCGACTAACAACCGGGTTCCTATTTACTGCTAGGTAAACAGAGGCGTGTGGAGTAAGGAAACTTGCCCAAGGTTTCGTCCTGCCTAACAAAAACAAGCTAACCACTGAGATACAGCTCTAACCACTGAGCTACAGGACTCCACTGCAATGGTAATGATACTGGCCAATGATGACATTTCTTTATCATTATCAAGATGTTCGCATTACTTAGATAAAGTCATCCCTCAAATTAATTTTATCCATTTTTCTTTATGATTGATGACTACCCTCTCTTACCTCTTCCCAAAACAGCCAACTTGTATCTCTCTCAGAACACCTACCTTTGAATTTTCTCTCATTGCCACCTTACTTCTCATGGCAATCTCAAACTTGGTTTGACCCAACCCCAAAACTCTCAATCAGTTTTCTTTCTCCTGTTTCTCTGTATGAATATCACTTATTCGCCTCTCCTTTTCTTTCCACTCACAATAATTTGCTCCAGATCCTGCCCTCGCCCTTTTGTTGCTCTGTGTTTATCTCGTCACAGGATCCTCCCTCCTTATCTTGCTCATTCTGGTTCTACTGTTGAGTAAAATGCCGCAGAACTGCTCTGAATGATTTCATGCCTGAATCAGCTTTATTTTACCTTCCTCGCACACCAAGAAATTTCCAGTTTCAAAAGTTATTTGGTATCCAGCCACTAGTCTCTGCAATGACCTTTCCAAGAGTTCTGTATTGGCTCTCTTGCTGCTGGATAACAACTAGCCTCAGCGTTCCTGGATTCGGAGGGAGGGTGCAAAAAGCAAGCAGGCTTTGTGTCCCTGATCTCTGTCTAGTACCACCTGGATATGCACATGTGGACATTGGGTGAGGACAGCATTGATTATAGCTGAAAATATCTAAAAACATAATTTTGCATTTTGCTTTCTGACTCTCCATGTCACTCAAGAATCACAAACAAAGAATGAGTACTTGGGTACGTTGTAGGAAGGTGAGTTGTGAAATCATACCCAGCAAGGGATCGGGAGGGATGGCAGGAAATTGACAGAGGGAGAAAAAAGTCCCCTCCCTCCCCAGTCTAGGTTGGGAAGGGTATCTATGGATAGTGACAAGTGTCCCAAGTGAAAACTGCTGATAATTAATAAATTAATAAATTATTATTATAAATTGACAATGCAGTTAGGATGTATTCTTCTGAAAGTGGGACAATGTTTGTTTGAAAGCGGAAAGGCAGGAAACAATCTAAACAGAGTCAACTCAGGCAAGATATACCAAATGGCATCCTTCTGTCTTGTATATTTCTATGCTTATAACTTTCAAGACATCCAGAATCCTAGGGAAGCAAGGGGTCAGAGAGGCTCCAGGAGTAATGCAGCTCCACTGAAGTGTTTTGACACCTGTCTTATACCCCACAAGCCTCACCTGCATTGAGATCTTCCTGACTTTGAAAAGAGACGAGAACAAACATACGGCTCTGTCCCATAAGACAGTGTCCAAAGCAAAGTTTCAACAATCGAAACAAAGGTCCCTTGTAACGTCCAATTAATACCTTTCAAGGTCCTCTCCCAAACCATAATATCGTACTTGGGGCACTCACTAAGTGGCACAGTGTTCAAGATGTTCTTTGAATTAGTTAAGTTGAAAAATGTTTAAAAACAATTATGCTAAGAAAAACAACTGGGATTGGTAACCTTAGAATCAGGCAGTTGCCATAACCCAGTAGAATGATGTAAGATTACACCACAGCACAGGATACCAAACCAAACACAATCCAGAGTTTCAAGTATGGATGTTTGTTCCCACTTTTGATTTTTCCTTCAAAGTGGAATTAAGAAACATTTAATAATTCAAAGGAATTTTAACATCGCTTCTGAAGAGATTCTCACATACAATTAATTTTTTAAAAGGCTTCACTGGATAGTGATCATGAGCAGGAAACTTAGTCGCCATTTCCCCTGCATTGCCCAGGGGCACGGAGGACACACATAGCAACCCATCTGCTACTCAGTTAACACCACAAATCGGGATTTAAATCCATGACCTTCTGGTCTGTATGGCTGAGTGCTAAACTGGCTCGTATCTAAACCATCTGGGGAGTTGGCACAAGCTTTATTTGCAAAGTTAGAATCTATTAACTAAATTCTCTTCTGACAAACAGAAATGATCTCTTAAGTTCAAGTTCATAGACCATTTTAACTCTTTAATCTAATTCTCATTGGTTTTTTTTCAAACCTCAATCGTGTAATGGTTAATAAATCAGACTGTCAAAGTGTGCAAGTACAGTAAATGTCAATCTGGAATTAGGAAAGAAAATGCTGTGATGAAAGTCACAACTATAAATACTGAAGTATACTTGCACCGTAGGTTAGTTTAACATACTGGCAATGTGTTATTGGAATAGTAATTCTGCAGATGTGCAAATCTGAGATGTCTTTGCACATGTGCATTGCAAGAACAATTTCAGATGTTTTACAAAAATCTATTAAGACTGATTGTCACTTTGTAGTTAGGAGTACTGAATTGTTTGGTTTCCTATTGCTCACAAAATTGTGCACTACCAATCTGTGTTATGCAAATGTTCACACCAAAAGCTTCTTGCAGAATTGTAAACAAGATGTTACAAGACAGCTCTATATATTAATACTAAGACTAGATGGCCAATGTGACCAGCCAGATCAACGCTTTGGCCAAATATTCTAAAATGCATTAGTAGGTTTAACATAATTTGTTATATCAGTCACCATTTCAAGATATGTACGAGCCTAATTTTTAAATAAAGGCATACAGGGATACTCAGTTGGACCTAACTTTCTTTGCATCAGTACGCGCATTAGTTATAAAACTGCATGCAAAATTAAACAAAAGGTCCCTGTGGAAACAATGACTTTTAGTGTGAAAACGAGCAGGTACTCTTTCCTCCCATAACACAGAAATCCACCATAGTATGAAACACTCATATTCATAAAAAATAAATATGAAGTGGTAACCAACGATTACAGTGGTTTACCTTTTTTTAAAATCAATTTAGCGGATTTTTTAAGATAAATTCCTTTGCTCTTCTGATTCTGTCTATTGCTAATTCTCCTCTACACCATTA